ATCTGAAGTCTCTAACTCACCACTGTTCTCTATATAATTCAGTTGGCTGGCCTGTCTGTCGACTAAATAACTGGCATGTCCTCTTTTACAAGATGACTCTGAACTTGCTTGTAATTAAATAAATCTGAAAACATTGGAAGCTATAGTCTTTCACTCTGTGACCCAGGACCAGGACTTACTTTTGCCGTCTGTCCCCAGAGTGTATCTTGAAATGGGTAAAAACAGTTTTAGGTCCCCTGCTCCTGCAGCGTGGAGTTTACTGCAGGAGAGTATGGATCTGAAGGAGCCGGTCTCTCTGAACGCTTTTAAAGCAGTTTGAAGGTTTTAGAGGAAGATGCATCAGGCTGAAGATGCTTTGTTTGACCATTTCTGTTATATGTCCCAGAACATGTTACCAAATTTACAACAGCGTGTTTGTATATCTGTATCTTTGTTGGAAGGTGTTGCTGCTGTCTTAGGCCAGGACACTTTTGGAAAAGAGATTTTTAATCTCAGTGAGGCTAAATGTAATTGTAAAAGAAATGTCCAGATTAAAGAATAAATTTCCAGATTAAAGAATAAAAGTCACAGGCCGGCTGACAACGGGGGGCTGCAGGGTCAGTTGTCCTAGGCCCCTGGTGAGTGTGTGCGTGTTCTTTATCTGACATATTTGTGGTGGGCTCGTTCTGCTCTGAAACGTTCTCACGCTCTGACTGATCCCAGAATACAACAGGAAGTGAAAGGGGGGCTGGGACTGTTTTTAAAGTACAGGGCCTTATATGTCTGTGTGTGTGTGTGTGAGTGATTCCCTCAGCAATGTATTTTTATCTCACTGAGTGGGGTTGATGCGGGTTATATACAAAAAAAGTACATTTGTCTCTTTGTGTGAATCAAAGTGTGTCTCTGTGTGTGTCTCTGTGAGTCCCTGACTGTATCCGTGTGTCTCTGAGTGTCTGTCTGTCTCAGATTACCAAACTACCTTCATCATCATCATCATCATCCTCATCATCATCATCATCATCATCATCACCACCATGATCACCCACAGTCAAACTGCCCCTCTGTGTTTCTGTAAATTACAGACTTCACCTGAACGCCTCAAGCTCTAACCACTCTGATAAACAAACATAGCATCTGTGTGTGTGTGTGTGTCTGTGTGTCTGTGTTTGTGTCTTTATAACCAGTCATGAAACAGTCTAAATGACCACTGTAATTACAGAGAAATGTTCCCTTGTTCTCCCCCAGTTCGTTCCTGTGAGGACCATCTGCTAACACCTTCAAACCCAGACTTGATCTTAAAGGACAGGTCCAGGTTTGGTAAAGTCCGGAATCTGTCACAGGGTCTTGGCCTCTTGGATGACCTTTACAAGACAAAAAGTCTATTTGTAGAACCACGGCCAGGTAGCTGACTGAAACTGTTAACTCTGTTTGAAATAGACCACAGGTGTCAAACTTAAGGCCCGGGGGTCAAATCTGGCCTGTGGAACAATTATATATGGCCCACGAGGTCATATCATATTTGGTTTATTACTGGCCCACTCGTATGAGGTCTGCAGATTTCTTTAAAAACTTTCAATAAAAGATTGATAAAAACAAGAGGATGCCCTCAGAAACACTAAAAGATCTCAGTTTCTACAACAAGTGAATCCTTTGCTTGTTGTTAGTGGTGAAATAGCACTTTTACCTGTAAACTGACCAAGTTCAAATGAGCACACATGCCACCTAGAGATCAATTTAGGAATGAGTTCTGATCAACAGTGGAGCCTGGGACAAAAAAAACAAGCTAAACTCCAGATTTTCCCACTCCTGAGATTTACTATGTCGGTGATTTTGAACTGTCTGTTGGTGTTTATAGTTTGTCCGTAGGTGTACATAGTCTGTATGTTTACAGTCTGTAGGTACTTAGTTTCTCTAAATGGGTATTCAGTGTTTTTTGTCAGAGATCAGGGATTGTTTCACTCTGAAATGGAACAAAAACCCTCACAGTGACAAATCAGTCACTCATCTGTCCTTTGTCTGATGGTCACCATGGAGACGACTTAGTTTAATAAAGAACCATGCTGTGAAGGACAGGAAGCAGCAGTGCATGATGGGAGATAATGACACCATGAGAGTAAACAGATAGATGTGTCTACAGAATATTAAACAAGAGATTTCATAAAGTTCAGCCAGAATCAGAGAGTTAAAATCTAGAAAACGAGCTCCACACTTTCAGTCATTTATCTGTTCATAAGTTCACACTGAGACAACATTACTCTCTCTTTATCTTGATTATCGTGTTTACGGTTCTCCTGTACATGTCTCTGATACCGTAGTCTCATCTACCTCACACAACCTCAGGCTGCTATAAGGGTATATGAGGTAGATATGAGGGAGATTTGAGGGAGACATGAGGCAGACATGAGTGGGATATGAGGGAGAGATGAGGGGAGACGGGGAAGATATGAGGGGGATATGAGGTAGATATAAGGGAGTATTTGAGGGAGACATGAGGAATAAATGAGAGAGACATGAGGGATAAATGAGGGAGACATGAGGGTGATATGAGGGAGAGATGAGGAAGACATGGGGAAGATATGAGGGGGATATGAGGGAAACATGAAGGATAAATGAGGGAGACATGAGGGAGATATGAAAAAGAAATGAGGGAGATATGAGGGGAATATTAGGGAGACATGAGGAAAATATGAGGAAGGTATGAAGGAGAACTGAAGGTGATACAAGAGAGACATGAAGGACTGGCTCTTAACAGCAGCCAGATGTTGGGTATATTTGGTGTATAATCACAATAAACTTTGGGTTTGTTGGTTGGTGTATGATGCCTTTCTGCTGGGCCCCTTCAGCCAGTAGTATTATGGCTGTGGTATTTTGGTTTTGTTGGCTGCTTTAAATCAGGGTATGTTGGGTTATATTAGGGTTTTCTTCATAGGTTTGTGGTTAGTGTATAATACTGCTTTACTGACTTACTCAGTCAGGGGAATATTATAGTATGTTGGTTGGGGTATGATACTGTTATGCTTCAGCTCTCTCAGTCTGTGGTATATTCAGGGTATATCATGGGTGTATCTTTGGTTTATAGGGGGTATGTTACAGGTTATTGGTGGGGGTATGATACCGTCATGCTTTAGCTCTCACAGTCTGTGGGTTTAGTCTCACTGTGGGAGGTTGTCGGGTGAAGCTGCTCTTGGTGTTTATGTGCTCTGCTCCTCCTGAGAGCTCTGGAATTACACATTTTGGACGCTGGCCTCTGAAGATTATCACTCTGAAACAGTCTGAGCAGCAGGAATTCGGCAAAGGCACTTCCTGTTAGGAAGAGGATCGACCCAGAGCTTGGGGTTAAGGTCGTCCCCCCATACCAGAGCTGAGAGTCTCCCCCAGATTCAATTATCATCAATGTAAATATGGGTATATTGAGCATAGTGTGGCTGGCTGCTGTATGGAGGGTCAAAGGTCACTTCACACTTTCTAAACCGCTTCATCAAGTTATTCCAGGAGCTGCTCACCAATTAGCCATTAACTCTGCTGACACTATCAGAGAGCATGTAAAACTATAAAGTATACTGTCTGTGATACAAAAGTGTTAATCATCATGAAATGAGCACATTAATTTAGGAGTCTGTACAGAAACAGAGAAGAACTGAGTGATACTTTCTGTTCTCGAACAAACAGCAAAACTCTGAGAAGCTCATTTAACAAAGACTCGACCACACAGATCTCTGAAAACACCACCACACTGAAACTTTAGGGTTAAAACGCTGTGACTCATCCAATAACACACAAATCAGATCCACATTGTATCTGTGCTGTCCTCTGTTCTCCCATCCACAGTCCGGGAGCCTGAGGGAGGGGGAAGGAGGAGGGGAGGTGGGGGTCTGATCCAAGCAGGCAGGAATTCCTCCAGAATAGTTTTTCATCCTGCAGAGAAGAGCCGTGGCTTTAAAAACATAAACAAGGTCGTGTGAACGCTGAGCAGCCTCCTGTTCTGCTCCTAATGAAAAACTGAGACAATCATCTCCTCTGACTTTATCTGAGACTGAGAGGAACATTCATACCAAAGCCTGAACCCCGCAGATCTGCAAGTCTACTGTTTAGGATGTTCTCCATCACATTTAAACGGTTTCTACAGAGAGTTCAATGTCTTCTTCACAACACAAAGTTTGTCAACAAAGTGTTCAGCATATTATTCAAAGGCTTTAGTATGTTCTCCATATAACCCTGAGTCCATCAGAGCTGGGGCACTGTGTGAAATGTTGAATAAAGCAGAATTTTAAGTCTATAAGTAACTAAAATTGAGCAAAGAGAACAAATCAGATCTTAAAACACAAGAATTGTTTTTCTTTAATAAAAAATCTGCTAATCTGATGTTTGTTAAAAGTAGCTTCAGGTTCATGTTTCTCATCGTCTGTCCCCAACTCTTCTTTCACCAACTCTGTAGACCTTTGTGAACCCAGCAGACCAGGTTCTGGAGTCAGATAAGAGGATTTTAGCTGCTCAACAGTTCAGGGTCTCCTTTGTCCTGTTTTTGATGTCATGATGCTCCAAATGTTTTCAATGGGGGACAAGTCAGGACTGCAGATAGACCAGTTTATCAGCAGGACTCTTCTGCTACAGAGCCATGCTATTGTAATCCCTGTTGTCAGAATGTGGTTTGTCATTGTCTTGCTGAAATATGAAGGTCTTCCCTTAAAAAGTCTTTGTCCGGATGGCAGCAGATGTTGCTCCTAAACCTGTAGATATTGTTCAGCATTAGTGGAGCCTTCACTGATGTGGAAGATACTCGACATGGACTCTAATGATCCTCTATATGTTCCTCTATAACAACGTTCTACAAACATATTTCTGACTTCAGACATTTTTCATAAAACACTAACATTTGTTAAGTTGTCTTCTAACTTGTTTTAATATAGAAAAATGCTTTGCAAAACAGATTCTTTTTTTAACCTTATTTTTCTACGTTACCACGGAGATGATTAAGCCTGTTTCCGTGGAGATGATTAAACAAAATGAGAGCAGAGACAGGCTGTAGAAAAAACAGTTTTATTTACAGATAAGATCCAAAGTTTCTATTAAAGATTGTCGCAGTTAAACACGTCTAAACTGGAACATGTGATTGAATGAAAATAAGTCCATGCTCACACCTGCACAGGTGACCCATTCCAAAATAGTCTGATTAGAAAATATAGACATCGATACAAACGTTTGACTGTACAGCTGAACATGTGAAATATTTTATTTCTCTGTGTTCGAAATATTAAAATAACAGCTGCTGACCAGAAAAAATACACTCTGCTGCTCTGTGTGTGAGTGTGTGTGTGTGTATGTGTATGTTGTGTAAATAGAGAGGTGTATCCTTTATTATCTAAACCCCAATAATGGAATAAATCAGTGTATTTTACAGAAAGCTGAAAATCAATCAGTGCTTATCAATAAAATTAGTGGTCAGGAGAGTTTATCGAGGTCAGGGGTAAAACAGACACAAACAGTAAACATGTTTGTTTGTGTCAATGACTGAACTCAGAAACAAACAGATTGTTGTTTTAATTCACATTCAGATTTTTGTGTTTTTCAGTGAAGCTGTGATTTACAAACAGTCAGTGAAGGGGCCCTGACTGACTGATATACAGAGGAGGACGCTCAGTCAGACACGCAGGCTGTCAAAGTCAAAACAGAGCACTGACGCCGCCTGCTGGCTGCTCTAGGTACAAACACCTACACACACACCTGTTCAGTAACTGCCAAAACTACCTGACCGACCAGGTAGCCAAACACACACAGGCGCGCACACACACACGCATGCACACACACACACACACACACACACTCTGTCAGGTTTATTGCTGGAGGTAAAGCAGCCTATTCTTCACAGTTTAAAGTGTTTCTGAGGTGAGTCTGCAGCTGATCCATTAACACCCGGCACAGGTGAGTGATCGATCACCTGTTCAGGAAATGGTTCAAAGACATGAAGCTGTGAGGAACTTTAAATAACATGTTTAAAAAAAATTCAAAAATGAACCCCCTTATGTCAGCACTGATCACCCCCTCACACCTATCTGAACAGACTGAAGGTGATCTGGAGTGAATCCAGAATAAAGTTTTCAAAGGAAAAGGAAATAGAGTTCAACTGGAATTCAGATAAAGTCAAGTTTAAGTAGGAATCAGATAATCTGACATAAAGTTCATCTCAGGCAGCGTCAATCTGGAAAAAGTAAATCTGGGGTTAATCTGAAAGAGATTGAGGTGAAAAATAATCCTGGACAAAAATCAATTTGGATTCAAGTAAATGAAGAACTCTGTAAAGGTGAAGTTAAAAAGATCTGGATCAGAGTCAAAAGGCAATCAATTAAATCTGGATCAATATAATCAGAAGTTAATTTATCTTGAGTTAAATTAATCTGGATTTAATCTAATCCGGGGTGAATGTGAATTGGTGCTAATCCAGACTTAATTCCCTGCCGTAGAAAGAAGTTTTTCCATCTCGGGGTTATAGTCACACAGCGGGTGAATTTAGGCAAAGATGTGTGGGTTCATGTTAACGTTCTTATTAATCAATATTTGAGGGTTTCAGGTAATCTATAATCAAACTGATTGAGAAAAGCCCGTTTACCTGAGGAGTTTCACATGATACCTGCCCGGATCAAACATCTGAGTCTGAACATTTGAGTTTGTTTTCTTTATTTTGACGTTTGTATTTTCACTCTGTCTGGGTTAAAGGTTTGTTTCTCTAATCTGGTTTATTTTTTGTTGATAATGATCATTTCAAGTCTTCGCTCTGTTGCCTCTTCAGTTTTCTGATGTACAAATTCACCATAAACAGAGAAGAAGAAGGTTAATAAAAAGGTAGAACAGGTACCAGGGGAGGACTGGAATTATCTTTCTCAGATAAAGATGGCTGATCTGACCCCAGGGTTGATCTGTTGGCTGGACTGTATGCTGTTTTACTTTGCTTTTAAATATAATAGGATAATTTTAATGTAACTATAGAAACAAGGAATGAACTGACACAAAACAAGGAGGAAAAACAAAATATCAATAAAATAAAATCCTTAAATAAACGAATCAAACGCTCATGACGACGTCTGATCTCAAACTCGATCAGCTCAGACCGACACCTGACTCCGCCCCTCTGACATCACCAACATGAAGCCCCACCCTTTACAGGCATCAGCTGATTGACAGGTCATATAACCAGGGTCCACTGACCACACCCTGGTCTGCATGGAAACTGAGCCCACCTGGCTGTTACTGCCTACAGGGACCAGAGGACACAACTGGACTGTGACTCCTCCTCCTCTTCATCGTGTGACGCACCTGAAGGAAACTCCTACTCTTCATCAGAGGAAGGATATTTTAGACAGCCAATCAGGAGAGGCAGAGGGGGCTGGGGAAGGTGGCCAGGGTGCAGACAGGTGTGGGGAGGCCGTAGTAGGCGGGGTCAGTGAAGGGAAAGAGGAAGAGGAGAAAGAGGAGGACGCCGAGCAGGTAGCAGCTGAGGACAGAGACACGGTGGGGGTGATCCAACGCTGCGCTGATGGCAGGAAAACCCATGTAGTTACAGAATGAGTGACACAGGACCGGACCCATCAGGTGACCTGGAACACAAAGAACCAGGAACCATTTCATAAGACACATTCTAAGTGGTTTTAAGGAAAATTATTAATCCACTTTGTTTGCGAGTTTGATTCTGATCCAGTTCTTGCTGGGCTCATGATTTTGGTTTTCCAACAATCGTTGTTACATTACTTTGTTTTCAATAAATTATACTTTGCACCAATGGAATTATTATTATTATAGTTTCCATGGAAACCTGGTCAGCTAGGTGAGGAGGGAATAAACACACAGGATGTTTTCATGGAGGTGCCGGGGGTGAGAGCTGCTCACCTGTCCTGATGAAGATGAAGGCTGTGTAGGCTCCAAACACGGCTGTGTAGGAGAACTGGAACACTAGGACCAGAGGAACATCATCAGTTGATTGTACAGGTAACACACACACACACTTGAAAAACCAACACCCGAGCTAACCTGCAGACATGAAGATCCCCGACACTGTCCCCTGTCTGAACCTGAGCAGCTCGATCACATGATGGAAGTGAGCTGAAACACAGATACAGACGGTCAGTGCAGATCAGTCACTTAGAGGACATGAAACCAGTCAGCAAAAATCAGCCACTGTAAGTGAGAGTGAAGGCTGGCCACAGACACAACATGGAACTAGATGTAGACCACTTTGAGAGCTAGAAAAAAATATATACCTGTCACCATCATGACCTGAGGACCGAGAGTGTCAGAACTCACCGACTCCAAAGAATAGTGGGCAGGTGAGGATGGCGAGTGAGGGTCCAGCACAAGGGACTAACATGGGCAGCATACAAGCTCTGAAGACCAGCTCCTCAGTCAGCGGAGCCACCACCTGATTCCTCAACCACCGCATGTCACTGAGACATAGAGTCCAGAACCACGGGTCTGCATGGGACATACAGAGAACATTAAGGGGACATGCTAAGAATGTACAGAGAAAATACAGAGAACATGCTAAGAACACACAGAGAATGATGTAAACTATGAGGCACATCACTGACAAATGGAGTCCACAACCTCTGGTGTGTTAACACACTACACTGTGATCAGGGTTAAAAACTAGACACTGTCTCTGACCTAAAGCCACTCTGATCCCGTCCATGAAGGTCCATGGACAGTCCAACGCCAGCTGTGTGAGGGGGCCCAGAAACAGAACCTGAAACACAGACAGTATAAAAAAAACTGTTTCAAAGGCACAGACAGTTTTAGAGGTACAGAAACCACCATCATCACCATCATCCTCATCACAGAGGTCAATTTCAATTTCAATAGGCTTTATTGGCATGACTGTTTGTACAATATTGCCAAAGCATAATAATATTAACAGCAGTAACAACAACAATAATAATAACAAGAGCAATAATAATAATAATAATGTATATAATAGATAATATAATACAATAATATATATAATATAATAACAACAAATAAAATAATAATAATAATCACTGTCCCACCATAGTCAGCAGCAGAGGGAGGACGATCGCAGGAATTAGGCCTTCAAACCGGATCCCCATGAGAGCCAGAAATGAGGAGCTGGTCTAAGTGACACACACACACACACACACACACACACACACACACACACACACACACACACACACACACACACACACACACACAAGGTTCAAAGTAGTACACCTATGTACGTGGTCCAATAGCCTCATAGTGATGTTACATCAAGGAAACCGATTGAGGTGTGGGTGTGTGTGTCTTACTGTGACTCCTGTGAACTCCCTCCACGCCCACACAAAGACAGGTGACAGTCCGGAGACGATGAGGACACTGGTGAAGCGTCTCTTGATGACTGTAGGGTGATCCCTAAACAACAACAACAACAAAAAAAAAACACTGCAGGTTACATCTACACACCTGAACCTCCCAATTATTTTACTGTCGCTCAAACGCAACATGGAACATTCACTTATTAGTAAAAGAGTCACAAGGAAACAGAAGGTCAGTATAAGGGATACAAACAGCCGACTCTTAAAGGGATATCCCGGCGTAAAATTAATTTAGGGTCAAACACACCATAACACTGCGTTAGACACCCCCTCGAGAGATGAATGTTGCCGACCGCTTGCTTCTCTAGTAATACCAACTTTAGTAACGATCACAGGACAGCGATAAAATAATGCTCAGAACAGCACCTAACTTCATCAACAGTACATATAGGGTCCCAGCCATAGCACTAGCCACCAACATCTTTTTAGCTTTGCCTGATTTCATTAGCAAAGAGACAAAACACAACTCACCTACTCTCTTCTAGCAGCAGGCCAGCTCATTACGGACTGCAGCGGGGTGACGCAACTCAAGGAAGAACATTTATGATAATTTCTTCATGGAAATGCAAGCAGACTGAAACGCTAAGGCAGAAGAACTACCAAGTCTGCAGTGCAAAATGATTATTATGGTGATTATTACTTCAAGGAAATTATAAAATAATTATCATAATCATGTTCTTCCTTGAGCTGTGTCACCCCGCTGCAGTCCGTAATGAACTGGCCTGAGGTCTCGCATCTGCTGAGAAGCTTTATGGAGACACAGATTTCCTTTTCCAGCAGGACCTGTTACCTGCCCACAGCACCAAAACCACCAGAAACTGTTTTGCTGACCATAGCATTACAATGCATAGTCCAGCTAACTGGTCTGACCTGAACCCCATAGAGGATCTCTGGAGTATCATCAATTTAAAGTAGGGATGCACCAATGCGATATTTGGATTGGATATCGGCTCTGATATTGACAAATTATCTGATGAATGGTGCCAATCCAGTGTTACCTTTTTGTTTTCTTTGAATTAATATCATACACAGCAACACAGCGATTCTGTTCGCTCTATATTCTATGTCTGTCTATCCTTTTACACTAAATGTTTTGGATGCCTAACTTCTTTTGCTGTGTGCTAATATGCATCTTGTTGTTTGTTAATAAATAATATTAAGTCAATTTATATCTGTGTTAGTTTGTTACCTTTTTTTAAACAAGGCTAATGTCAAGCCTGATGCCTTAACTCACAGGGCAAGGTACACAGAATTCATTCAACAATAATATTGAATCGGATATCGGATATCAGCCGATACGCTCAGCCCAGGCATCGGTATCGGATTGGATCGGGGGAAAATGGATCGTGCATCTCCAATTTAAAAACAAGAGACGCCAGACGAGCTGAAGGAGCTATCAGGACCTGGACTTCACTAAGAACCCATCAGAGACTGATCAACACTGATACAAGGATTCATGGTAAAGGGGCCCTGATTAAGACCTCAGGAGGACTAATGACCTCCTGGTGTTTTGCGCAGGTCACCTGAGCAGGTGAGTCCTCTTCCCTGACAGCATGTATTCGCTCAGGTGTGCCTCTCTCCTCGCGCGCGCTCAGCTTTTTCCCTCTCTCAAACCTTCTTACCTGGGCAGGTGACTCCTCCACACGTACAGACTGCCCACATAGGAGCAAGCTAGCAGCAGGCAGCAGAGCACAGACACACAACACAACCCGTCGGCGGCGTGTTTCCGGTCCGTCCCGAACCCGCCAGGTACAGGTGAGAGGGGGGGCTCCTCCTGCGGCATCACGGTGACCCGCTGACTCTCAGACTAACTGCAGGGGAGGGGGAGGACAGGTAACAGGTAAGAGCACCTGTCCGCCTGTCGGCTCTCTGCTCATCCACAGCTAACAATGCTAACAGCAGCAGCGCTTACTGCTGCGGCGCTACATTCATACGTCATCATAGCGCGCCTTTCTCTTCTTCTACACGTTGTAGTCTATCAGGGCTCATGAGCGCCAACAAACGGACAAAGATGTTCACAACGTCTCCTCCTTCTGTTTATAACAATTTCAGTACTTTAAAAGGTCCCAAGATCACATTTTACATCTAACTTTACTTGTTATCGTCTTTGATTCAATTTCATTCTTTTCATTTAAAAGCAGTTTTACTCAGAGTTAAACAAAAAACCCTCAGTGGGGATAAAATCTCTAAAACAAATTAATAATATGTATTAACTCTGTTTAATCTGTGTTTATTCTGTGCTTATTCTGTTTACTCTGTTTATCCAGTGATAATTCTGTATATGCTGTATCCATTTTGTTTACTCTGCCTATTCTGTTTATACTGTGTTTACTCTGCTTATTCCATGTTTACTATTTTGTTCTTTTTATTTAGTGTTTCCTTTCTTTTGCCTTAAATTGACAGGATTAGACACAATCTACAATTATCAATATTAACCAACAAATAAAACAAACCAACAACCAACAAATAACTAATTATAACAAATTAACACCAACAACAATTAACCATCCCCAATAACTAACAGATAAAAGATGATAGATAGATAGATAGATAGATGGATAGATAGATGGATAGATAGATAGATAGATAGATAGATAGATAGATAGATAGATAGATAGATAGATAGATAGATAGATACTTTATTAATCCCAGAGGGAAATTCAAAAAATCAGAGGCAGCACTAATGAAACACAGTACACATTCTAAAAACACTGTGACAATACTTACACCTAATAAAGAATAGATAAAAACAGTCTATAAACATGATCATAAGGCAGTAGGACTAACAAACAAAATGCAACAAACGAGCGAAAAATACAGAGTTGCTGCTGGGTGCTGCCGATCGTGACAACGCAGGGACATACAAAACAACACCAACAACCAACAAATAACAACAATCAAGGATTTACAACAACCAACAAGTAACAACTGCCAGCAACCAACAATAACCGAGAATTAACCACCACCAACAAATAACAGCCTACAATGAACAACAACCAACAAATAACAACCCACAATAAACAACAAACAAAAAACAATCAACCATAAATAACTACAACCAACAATTAACAATACCAACAAACAAATAACCAACAATACACAACAGCAAACAGTCAACAGCAACCAACAACAACTGACAAGAAATTACCAGCAATCTGCCCCAGTAACTAACAAGAAATCAACAGACAACCACTTAAACACAAGAACCAACAACTACCACCAACATTTAAGACTCACTAACAGCCATCAACAACGATCAACAAATGCCCAATGAATGACCATTAAACAAACAACAACAATTCATGAACAACCAACAAATAACCAATGAATGACAAATAAACAAACAACAACAATTCATAAACAACCAACAAATGACCAATGATTGACCAATAAACAAACAACAACAATTCATAAACAACCAACAAATAACCAATGAATGACAATTAAACAAACAACAACAGTTCATAAACAACCAATGAATGACCAATAAACAAACAACAACAATTCATAAACAACCAACAACAACCAATAAATAACCACTGGCAGCAGGAGATTAGATAGGAGGAGAGAAGATGAGGAGATGAGGAGTGGGGAGGAGAAGAGAGAAGATGAGTTTAGAAGTCAAGAGAGGGGAGGAAATTAAGAGAGGAGAGAAGGAGCGAGGAGAAGAGAAGAGAGGAGAAGAGATGAGGAGAGGGAAGGAGGTGAGAGGAGACAAGAGGAGATGAGATGAGAGGACAGTAGAGACGAGGAGGGCAGAGGAAGTGATGTAGAGTGGCTCCTTTCCTGATGTCTGTGATGCATTTACGTTCAGAGTCTCAGATTTTTCAAATTTCTCCTGAAGGCAACACGACGTACACGTGACAGTTTTTATTTTTTAATCACACACACACACACACACACACACACACACACACACACACACACACACACACACACACACAGGGTGAGTTAGAAAGAGAGACACAAAACACATAGAGGTATCAACAAGGAGGGTGAGGAAAAGAGAGATAACAGAGAGAGGGTGTGGAAAAGATAGAGAGGTATAAATCGAGTGAAGGCGAGGGAAAGGGAGATATAAATAGAGAGAGGGTGAGGAAAAGAAAGAGTTATAAATAGAGAGAGGGTGAGGAAAGAGAGAGAGAGAGAGATAGAGAGAGGGTGAAGAGAAGAGAGAGATATAAATAGAAAGAGGGTGAGGAAAAGAGAGAGATATAAATAGAGAGACGGTGAGGAAGAGAGAGAGAGAGATAACCAGAGAGATGGTAAAATAGGGGGTGAAGAGCGAAGAGAGGCACTGTGTAGAGATTCAGGGGCGTGTCACAGCGCTGCATTTTCCGAGCTGCAGCGAAGGCGTCACGGTCTCTGGTGTAACGTGAGCGGAGGAGAGGCTCGTGCTGCTGATGCTCTGCGCCCCTCCCCCTCCTCCTCCTCCTCCTCCTCTCTGCTCTTCATCTCTGCTGCTTTCTCTCTTTGCACAGACCAGGCCGCGCACACCGACACATCCCGGACTAACACACCCAGAACCGGATTACAGCCAGACCAGCACCGGTCCAGACCCATCAGCGACCATCAGCGGGTAAATACAGGAACACAAGGCGCGTGTATGTGTATGCGTGTGAGTGTCAGTGTGTGTGAGTGCGTGTGTGTGTAAGCTGGCCTGCAGTCTCATAGTGATGGAGGTTAGAGTCACCTTTAATGTGATGATTGATCACCTGTAATCAACTGATGGATCATGATGAGGTCATTAATGGTGGGTGATGTCACCGAGCTCAGATTCAATATGGTCATGTTTCTGTTTCTCTGCAGAGCTCTGAGCCTCTATTATTTACCTCTACATCACTGCTGCATGTGTGTGTGTGTGTGTGTGTGTGTGTGTGTGTGTGTGTGTGTGTGTGTGTGTGTGTGTATGTATAAATATCTGTGTTTTGTGTGTGTGTGTGTGTGTGTGTGTGTGTGTGTGTGTGTGTGTGGTGTGTGTGTGTGGAGGATTCCCCTGTGTAAAAACCAGCCTGCATGCTGCACTTTAGAAAAACACAGGAGGAGGAGGAGGAGGAGGAGGAGGAGGATGTTCGTAGAAACAAATGCTGAATTATCGGCAGCTTCAGAATCAAGAGTCAGTGTGTTAAAGCACTGAACACGGAGCCTGATTAAGTCTGCTGGTGATGGTTATTAACATCATCGCTGTCTTCTCTGTAATATAAATCAACAACATTATCACCTTCATCACAGTATATCTATCAGATCAGAGCTGATAGTGAAAAAAGGAGTAAGCATGGTCATTAGACAACGCAATCAGCCACAATTCACACTCGACTGGAAAAATAACATGGGCTTAGCAGTAGTTAAACACAGACAGAAGAGGAGTAATACCACAGACAGAAGTGGGGTAATAACACAGACAGAATAGGAGTAATTACAGCACAGACAGAATAGGAAAAATAACACAGACAAAAAAAGGAGTAATCACATAGGTATAAGGGCAGAAAACACAGAAAATAGAGGTAATAACACAGACAGAAGAGGGATATTAATACATGCAATACAGTCATAATAACACAGACAGAAAATGAGTTATAACACAGAAAGAAGAGGAGTAATAACACAGATAGAACAGCGGTGGTAACATAGACAGAAAAGTAGTGATAACACAGACAGAATAGTAATTACAGTAGTTACAGCACAGACAAAACAGAAGAAATGACAGACAAAAAAGGAAAAAACACAGAGAATAGAGGTAATTGCACAGAGAGAAAAGGGGTAATAATACATACAATATGGTCATAATAACACAGACAGAAAATGAGTTGTAACACAGACAGAAGAGGAGTAATAACACAGACATTACAGAAGGTAAAACACAGACAGCAAGGAGTAATAACACAGAAAGAGCATAAGTTATAACAGAGACAGAACAGGAGTAGTAACACAGACAGTACAGGAGTTATAACACAGACAGCAAGGAGTAATAACACAGACAGTACATATGTTATAAAAGAGACAGTACAGGAGTAATGACACAGACAGAACAGGAGTTAAAACTGAGACAGTTCAGAAGTAACTATACAGACAGTACAGAAGTAACACAACAACCAGTACAGGAGTTATAACAGTGTGAGTACAGGAGAAATAACACAGACAGTAAGGTATTAATAACAGAGACAGAACAGAAGTTATAAGACTGACAAAAAAGGAGTACAAACACAGACAGTGCATGAGAAATAATACAGTCAGTACAGTAGTTATAACACAGACAATTCATGGGTTATAACACAGAGAGTACAGGAGTTATCACACAGAGAGTACAGGAGTAATACAGGAGTAATAACAAAGACAGTACAGGAGATATAAGACAGACATTACAGAAGTTTTTACGCACAGGAGGATTTACACAGACAGTACGGGGGTTATAACACAGACAGTACCGGAGTTATTGCACAGACAGTAAATGATAAATGTCACAGTCAGAACAGGAGTTATAACAGAGACAGAAGATGGGGTAATAACACAGACAGTACAGGAATTATAACACAGACAATACAGGACTTACAATACAGACAGAAGAGGAGTTATAACACAGACAGTCCAGGAGTAATAACACGAAACGGGGTAGTAACACAGACAGTCCAGGAGTTGTAACAGAGACAGTACATGAGTAATAACACAGATAGTACATGAGTAATAACACATAATAGGAGTAATAACACAGACAGAGGAGGAGAAATAACATGGTTAGTACAGGAGTAATAACACGGCCACCACATGAGTTATTACACAGACAGAGGCGTGGTTATAACACAGTCAGTAATAACACAGACAGTACAGAAGTTAAAACACAGACAGCAAGGAGTTATAACACAGACAGTACATATGTTATAACAGAGACAGTACAGGAGTAATAACATGGCCACTACATGAGTTATTACACAGACAGAGGCGTGGTAATAACACAGTCACTACAGTAATAATAATAATATTGAATTGTGAACTTTATCATGAAAGAAATAGAATTTTTTGTGTTTTTTGTGTATTGCTTCTTTGCTGAGTCACATGCCCTTTTCAGTCTTCTCTCTTTTACATGTCATATATGTTACAGTTTGATTCCCTGATTCCAGTCTAATTTGCACTGAAGTCTCTGTATCCCAGAGCCAAACCTGCACCCTGCATGACATAAAAATCCACCCATCAGTAAACTGAAATTGAGTTAACACAATATCAGATACTGAGTGGTTATATGGCATAAAAAATAAACCATTCAATAAACAAATGCCCACTAAGACGAATATACATAAAACAGACACTCTGGAACAGTGTCTATATATTGACCTGACCCCATGACACCACCCAAATCATGTGATTGGTTCAAAATATCAAATAAGAAACCAATTTTATCAGAATCTCACTTGTCACAAAGACTGAACTCAGGATAAAAAAGGAGACAAAGAGACAGAAAACAGAGATTACAGAGAGACATATTAGACATGAGAGACAGGGGGGAAAAGAAACAGAGAGACAGAAGACAAAAGGAAAAAGATAAAAAAGAGATAGAAGGACAGAGAGACATAAGAGACAAAAGGACTGGGATACAAAGAGACAAAGTGACTGGGACAGAGTGGCAGAGATAGAGAGGAGAGACTAAAGACAGAGAGAGGAAGAGACAAAGACACTAAAAGACAAGGGAAGACAAAACAACATACAAAAAAACTGAAAGACATAAAGAAACAAAAAGATCAAGGACAGAGAGATAAAGAGACAAAAAGACACAAAAAGACAGAATGACAAAGAGATGAAGGAACAGAGACAGAGACAAAAACACACAGATATGAAGAGATGACAAAGAGACAAAGTTAAGGACAGACAGGGAGAAAAAAGACACAAAGAGATAAAGTGACAGAGGCCAATAAAGACAAGGACAGAAAGAGACAAAAAAGGACAAAAAGGCCAAAGACAGAGAGACAAAAACACAGATATAAAGAGATGACAAAGAGACAAAGTCAGTGAGTTGTCTGATAGTTTTCAAATAAATCTGATTTTAACATCTTTTGTATTTTCAGAGAATCTGACCTTTTTGTTTACTGTCTGTCATTACATCATTCTTTATTATTTCCATTTGTCCTCCATCATTTCTGAGTCTATATTTAGACAGAGTGTGAGTGTGAGAAGACGAACGTGAAAACAATCTTTATTTAAACAGGTGGAGGAGCAGAGAGCAATTTTATATTCAGCTCATAATTCAATGCAGGGTTCACCAACTGGAGTAAATCTAACTCTGTCTTCATTTCTGTCTGTGGGACACATACGCACACACATAAATATATATATGTACTCCTGTTTCAGTGGGAGTGTAGAGGATCTAAAGCATACATAGAAAAATTACAGAGGCTGATATTTACAACCTTGATTCTATCAGTTAGGCTGCTGTGTAAAATTTGATGCTCTGTAGATAATGATGTAGAAACCATTTAAAGTCTGTGTCTTAATGAAAATGGTGTGAAGACCACATATCAGACTGACACTGAAAAATGTTGTTTAATTAGACATCTGTCATCTTAAAAATCTGATTCCATGAATGTGTTTGTTAAAAGTTGGTAAAAAAAAAAACCAACAGGTTATGAGACACTCAAAGCTGTCTCCTAGAAGGAAAGATGGAGAGACTGAGTGAGAAAATAGTTCAACAGTTTCAGAAAAATGTTCGTAAGTGTTAAATGTGAAAGAATGAGTGAATTTTATCATCTACAGTACATGGTATCATTCGAAGATTCAGAGAAAATTCTGTACAAAAGGGACAAAGACCAAAACCAGGACTAGATGGTCCAGATCTTTAGCCCCTCAGGCAGCACTGCATTAAAAACAGACAGGACTCTGGAGTGGAAGTCACTGCCTTTTTTAATGTGAGCATGCTCAGTGGAGCAAAGAGCCTTGGGTAATTAACACCTGTGAGTTCCAGAATTTAATCAGGATCAAACAAAGACAGTCAGATACAGAGACAGAGACTGAAGATGATGAAGTCACTTCTGGGTATAACCCCCCCACACACACATAAACTGATGTTTTTTGGCATTGTGTGTTGTTGTGTGTTGTTGTGATCAGTGTGATTATCTAACCCTCTCACAGGAGAACAAAGCCTTCAGGTTTTGTCATTTTTTACAGTGTAGGAGGTCCTGCCCACCTTTGATTAATAATAGACTCTAACAACCTGAGAGACTGTTTGACTCACTATGTGTGTGTGTGTGTGTGTGTGTGTGTGTGTGTGTGTGTGTGTGTGTGTGTGTGTGTGCGCGCACGCATGCTGAAGAGAGACAGGAAATGTGGGGTGTAGAGAGTGAGGGATGAGTGGAGGCTGGGAATCAAACCGACAACCACTGGTTCTTTGACAGGACTGACTCTGTGGTTTATCGCTGCGCACTGACATGAAGTTAACCATTGGAGTTATTAATTTTTGTCGAAGTTATCTAGTTACTTTCCCCCTGTGCAGCAGTGGGACACAGTTTGTTGACTTAATTTATTTAGTTATCTGGTTAACATAGTTTCGGACCTCTCTCCCTGCAGCAGTGAGCCCCAGCCAAGGCCGGTGGGCATGGTTTTGGAGGGCAGCTCAGAAGCGCTGTGTCCCCCCCCATCTCTGGAGCTGAGGCCATCCTGCAATAAGAGCCAGCCCTCTCCCCCGCTGGGCTCCAGCTCTCAGCCCCACGACGGAGTCTTCCTGGAGGACAAGGAGCCCGTCAAGTACGGGGAGCTTATCGTCTTAGGGTAAGACAAGTTACCATAGAAACTATCACTGAAACAGGGGTCATCTTAAATGGTAAATAGACTTTGTTTATATTGTCTTTTCTCTGGTCTTCTGAACCATAGACTGTATTTACTATGGACTGCCTTCCTCCAGGAAACAGATTTGAAGCCAAATTGCTTTCTGTATTTCCGCAATTTATCTACATTTCCTGAAACCAACATTGCGCAGTAGTGTTGTACGCACTTCACCACTTGTAGCATTGTGCGCATTCCGTGAGAGAGTCGCCGAGAGTCGCTGTAATGACGCTCGGCTCAAACAGCATATCATCCCCTAGATGAGCTACACAATCTTTGTATGCCCATAGGCTGTATCAAGTGTCAATCACAGAAAGCATGAACCCCCTAATAACTTTTAAAAAATGGAGCTGCGCAGAAAAAAAGAGGACTTGAGCACAAACCAGTCTTACAGTAACTACATGTCAACATCGCAACTAAGGGAGAGAAAATTTAGGTTCTGTGTAATGACGTTCTAAAGTTTGTCCACAGCTCCATAGAGATTGCTGGAGGAGGCAGAATTTATGATCTATATTGCAGCCTGTCACCAGAGGGTGCTGTTCTCGCGGTGGCTTCATCCAGCAAGGAGGCAGACGACATCTATTCTATATGCAGTCTATGTTCTGACCACTCATGTCAGTTATTAAAAGAATAAGTGTGCATGGACACTGGCTTTTGAAGGACAGTCTTCAGAGATCTGATCCTGGTCCACACCTGGACATGGTCCAAACATATCGGCTCAGGATGAAAGAAGTTAAATAAGAATAACCATTTATCTGTAACTTTAACCAGAATCATTATCAGAACCAGAACCAAAATCAGGAGTAGAACCAGAATCAATATGATGCTAAATTTGCTCCTCACTAATACAACACAGTTATTGTAAAATCTCAAGAATACCACGTTTGTTACATTATTATCTTTTTCACAGTAGGGTTAGCCTTGTTTATATATCATTAAAATACTCTGTTCTGATATAAATCCTCTTTCAGACACAATGGGTCTCTGGCTAATGGGGACAAAGGTCGCAGAAGAAGTCGTCTGGCTCTCTACAAGAGACCAAAAGCAAACGGAGTCAAACCAGATGTTATCCACAACGTGTCCACACCACTGGTGTCCAAGGTAAGTCACAACACCTCGGACCGCAGACAGAGCATCAAAATGTAAGCATGCCAACACGCCATTAACAACAAGTCTGTTGTCTTTTACATGTTAGCATGCTATTGTGTGAAGTAGGGAGTCAAACAGCAAAAAAACAGTTACTCAGAAAATCATATAGACAGCAGCACCAGAGGGGAGCTGAAGATCTGTGCGCTTAGAGTCAAAGAACCATTCAGGCCATGAGCAGTTCCCTCGGGAAGCCTGCAGGGGGCAACATCTCAAAACAAAAACACCTACACGCACGGAGAGAGCTTACCTACCTACCAAACCTACACAAGATCGATTTCATCAAACACACCCTCAGTCTGTTTTTCTGTTAGAAGGTCAGAGCAGTCAGAGAGCTGCAGTGGGTGATTAACTCTGAACACGAGCAGGTAATGTGTCCAAACATGATCCTCCACATTCATGTAAAACCAGCCTTTCTGGACTGTATTTGAAATCCAGTTTTTGTCCGGACAAGTCCCTACTCTAAAAACAAACGTGGCTTTTATAATTTAACGTTAGCTAAGTTTTCCTCTCTTGTGCGGGAAGACATGATGAAGTCATCCAGTTGATGACCTCACCATGATGAAGTCATCCAGTTGATGCAGTCCCATGCTTTATGACTGTATTTGCTCCAGTCTGAAGTGTCAAGTCACACAGCGTTTAAAACCCACAGGATTCAACATGATGTACCAGAACATAATAACTGATAATCAGTCCCTTGTTAGCTGAAATAAAAAGTTTGTGATGAGTTTCCGCACAGCAGCTCCCTCTTGTGGCAATGCAATATTAATGTAGAAACCCATGCAGCTTTATGCTGTCAGACTAACCACAGAGTCTTAACTGAACGAACCAGTTCACTACAGCAGTGACCTGCATCATGTGACCTACATCATGTGACCTTACGTTTCTGTCCACAGGCACTCAGTAACAAAAGTCAGCACAGCATCTCGTACACTCTGTCACGGAGTCATTCAGTCATCGTGGAGTACACACACGACACCAACACAGACATGTTTCAGGTGAGTGTCAACACACACACACACACACACACAAACAAATACAAACACACAATTGTGATTAATCTGTTTAGTTTTTGATTAATCGGCTGAAGTTTGAATAATTAGTTTCATTTTGAATAACTTTCCATCCCTTATTTCCTCTCTGTCTCTCTCTCTCTCTCTCTGCCCCCCCATTGCAGATTGGGCGCTCTACAGAAAGTATGATTGACTTTGTTGTCACAGATACAGCAGGCAGCAGTGGTCAGGGTGGGGGGGTGGCAGGTGAGGGAGGGGGCGGAGGACAGTCAGCTCAGAGCACCATCTCTCGCTATGCCTGTCGCATCATGTGCGAGCGCAGCGCCCCCTACACTGCCCGAATCTATGCTGCTGGCTTTGACTCCTCCAAGAACATCTTCCTGGGGGTGAGTGCGCATTTTTGTGGTCAGGGTTAGGGTTCGGGGGTTGGGGGGTGGGTATGTATGGGTCAAACATCATAGCAGTGATGTCAACATATGGAGCAGGTGTGAACGATCACTTACAAATGACTAACAAATTACTAGCTGACCACTATGAGATGACTAATAGATAACTAACTGATCAACTAGACATCACTAATAGATAACTAACAGATGACTAAAAAGCAGTTCTAGAGATTTGTTGGATGTAGGAGTTGAAGGATCTATCTTGGTCCAAAAGAACTCCCTGATTCTTAACTGTGGTGCTGGATGCCAGACTGATGCCATTTAGTGCAGTTTCATCCTTAGAAAATGCCCCTCTAAGAACTTGTGTCGTCATGATAGAGTAGCAGAAAGTTTCTGGTCATCCAGGTCTTTATGTCTTTAACACAGGCTTCAGGTGAAGTAGATATGTTGGTTTCTTTTGGCTTCAGTTATGGGTATAACTGAGTGTCATCTGTATAACAGTGAAAATTTATGGAGTATTTCCTGATAATGCATAGTGCATATATAAGGTGAAAAGGATCGTTCTTAGCACTGAACCATGTGGAACCCCATAACTTACCTTGGTCTTCACAGAATTTTAATTAACAAATGAAGAATCTGACAAATCAGATTTAAACCAAGCTAGAGCAGTTCCTGTTATACCTATTTGTAGTTTAAGCCTTTGGAACAGGATCTTATGATTCAACGTATCAAAACGGCACTGTGATCTAACAAAACAAGTACTGAGAGAAGACCACTGTCCAAGGCCATCAGTAGGTCATTTGTCCCCCTCAGTAGTGCAGTTTCAGGGCTATGGTGGACTCCAAATCCTGAATGAAAAATCCTCAGATGAACTGTTACTGCTGAGAAAGTCACAGAGAGGATTAGTTCCTACTTTCTCAGGCAACTTTGAAATAAAGGGGAGGTTTGATACCGGCCTATAGTTTCTCAAAGAGCCTGGATTGGATTAAATTTTATCTAATCTAATCTAATCTAATCTAATCTAATCTAATCTGATCTAATCTATTTGAATCTAATCTGATCTAATATAATATAATATAAAATAATGTAATAAAATATAATAAAATATTAAATAATATAAAATCTAATAGAATCTAACACAACATAATATGATATAATATAATATAATATAATATAATATAATGTAATAAATTTAAATTTATCTTATTTAATTTTATATAATTTTATCTAACCTAATCTAATTTGTAATTTTAGGTCCTGGGTCATTGTTATTTTACTCAGTGATTATTATTGTTTATATATCCCTACACAAGAGTCAGAACAATGTGTTTTTATTGGCTGACAGCTAATCAGTTTTGTTGACACGACAAATTTCACTCTGAGCTAAAAATAGAAGAACTACTCAGCAGAAACTCTTCATCTGACCTCTACATCTGTGTGTGTTTGTGTGTGTGTGTTTCCTGTCATCGTGCGGCATGTAGGAACGTGCAGCAAAATGGCGAACGTCTGATGGGTTGATGGACGGTCTGACGACAAATGGCGTGCTGGTGATGCACCCGGCGGGGGAGTTTGTGTGTGAGCCAGCGCCGGGTGTGTGGAGGGAAATCTCTGTGTGTGGAAACGTGTTTGCACTGAGGGAGACTCGCTCCGCCCAGCAGAGAGGAAAGCTGGTGAGGAAAAAAGGGCTGATGGGAAAGTGAGTCCTGTGTCTGTGTGTATGTGGTCACATGACCGGAAGGTGCTCACCTGTGAACGCTCACAGCTCCACTCCACACCTCCCCCAGATCCTGTCCTACCTGGAGCTGAGGGGAAACGCCGTGCTGTGGACGTTTGTGATCAGTAAAAATGTGGAAATAAACGTTTGTGTCTGGATCAGTAGTAAAATTTAATGATTTAGAAGATCATTTAAAACTTTAAAATCATTTTCAGAGCGTTGAAATTGATAAATAATATGTTACAATAAGACTGTAATTTATCTCTAATGATGGAGCTGCAGATCATTGATTTTTTCTTTAATGATCCAAATTATAGATTACTTATTATTATAGTTTATCTGATATCATGATCTTCTAATATCAACCTGTATACCTGTCAGTCCATAACCAGTGTTACCTAAAGACAGCTAACTTGCAGTGTCACAACTTTGGTTTTATTTCATTCCCGGCCTAATGAAGGTGATGAGGATAAACATGTGGAGCACAGTGCCACCTGGTGGTCATGTGAGAGTGTAACCTTATTCCTGTAGATAACCTCGAGATGGTTTACTTGTCAATCAGCTGATCAGCTGTTTAACTCCCTCCTCCTCCCTCCTCAGGTGGAGAATGAGTCAAATACTCTCCAGGACGGCTCTCTGATCGACCTGTGTGGGGCCACGTTGTTGTGGCGGACCCCCACAGGCCTTCGTCACACCCCCACCCTGAAGCAGCTGGAGTCCCTGCGGCAGGAATTGAATGCGGCACGGCCACAGTGTCCAGTGGGCTTCAACACGCTGGCGTTTCCAAGCCTGGCTCAGCGGGAGATCGTGGACAAGAAGCAGCCGTGGGTGTACATGAACTGCGGCCATGTGCATGGGTATCACAACTGGGGCTACAGGAAGGAGAAGGGCCCTGCTGGCCCTGGGGGCACCGCGCCTCCCAGCACCGGAGAAAGGGAGTGTCCAATGTGCCGCCGCGTTGGCCCCTATGTGCCACTCTGGCTTGGCTGCGAGGGGGGGCTGTACCTGGATGCAGGACCCCCAACCCATGCTTTCTGCCCGTGTGGCCATGTTTGCTCAGAGAAGACCGTTGGGGGGTGGAGTCAGATCCCATTACCCCATGGCACCCACGCCTTTCACGCCGCCTGCCCCTTCTGCGGCACCTGGCTGACAGGTGAGCAGGGCCACATTAAACTCATCTTCCAGGGGCCCGTCGACTGAGACCGGGTCCCCTGGTGGGCAAGGGGAGGGGCTTAAAGACTTCAGAGACAAAAACTGAAGAAGAAGAAAAGTTCTGATAAACAGACGACATGACAAGCAAACAACAAATAAAACGTCTGTACGTGGAAATGTGTAAATAAACAGTGTTGTCATGGAAACGAGTTAACGTGTCTTTTATTTTCAATTGTCATAGTCCCAAAAAAACTATCGAACAAAGAAGTTGATTTTACTTTGTGTGTGTGTTTGTGGTGCTGATGAAGTTCTCTGGTTAAGAGTCATCCTGCAGTCGGCGCCACAGAGAGAATCAGAGTCTGAGTCAGAACATGTTCTCAGTAGATCCTCAGATGTTCTCAGATAGCAGGAGCAGACTGTCGGACTCACAGTGACTCCAGAGGAGCCTGTAAGGTCTCAGAGGGGAGACAATGGGATCATGGAGAATGTCACAGTGTCAAGGATGGGGGTTAAAGTTCTGTTACCTGCCAGGTAGCATCACCAGGACTGTATTTGTGAATATATCTTAGTGTGGAAACACTTAAAGCAGTTGTGAGAGACAGTGTGTTTGTGCTTGTTCACAGCAGAGCCTCCGAGAACAGGAAGCTCCTTGAAGAAACAGAAACTTTGGCAATAATCTATCTTATCTGGGCCCTCTGTTGCTCTAACTCTAGTGGAGGGGACACAGAGACAAACACCTCAACTTATTTTGTCTCGCATATGTGCCTGACTTAGGGAAATTACATGGTAGAACTATAGACTGTATATACTACAGACAAATTGATTCCGCCTTCTGCCAGTATACGGATTTGAAGCCAAAAAGCTCTTGATATTTCCACGTTTTTTCTCTATTTCCTGAAACCAATATCACGCAGTAGCGTTGTACGCACTCCACCACTTGTGCAGTAGCGTTGTACGCATTCGGCGGGAGAGTTGCCAAGTTTTGCTGTGGTGACGTTCGGCTCAAACGGCATATCCCCTGGGTGAGCTATGCAATCTTGGTAAGCTCATAGGCTGTATCAAGTGTCAATCATAGAAAACATGAACCCCCTAATAACTTTAAAAAACATAGCTGCAAAGAAAAAAGAGGACTTGAGCACAAACCAGTCTTACAGTAACTACTTGTCAACATCGCAACCATTAGGGAGAAAAATTTAGATTCTGTGTAATAAATTTCTAAAGTTTGTCCACAGCGCCATAGGGATTGGTGGAGGAGGAGGGATTTATTACCTATACTACAGCCTGTCACCAGAGGGTGCTGTTCTCGAGGTGACTTCTGCGAGGAGGCAGACGGCTTCTGTTCTATATACAGTCTATGGTTATAACTTTCGCCTTTTACTAAGTTGTGGTAACTGATTTTTTGCATAAAGACATTATAGTTTCTAGCTCATGACCTTTGTTTTTCCCAAATTTTTAAGGTTGTAAACGCTTATAATGACCATCGTTGTGAGACTAAATGAGATAATGTGAAAGCTTTATGTAGAGTAATCTGTGGAAGATCTGATAGAGCTGTGTTGAAAACCAGGTTTTGGTGAGTGGGTTCATTTGTAAGTGTTAAGTTGTAAAATGTGGTTTAAAGATTATTGAGAATGACTGTCAATGTTGTTTTTGCTGGAAAGACTGAAGGGAAGTGTTAAAATGTTGTATTTTGGATTGTGATGGAGTTAAAAGTCAAGTCAGGTGTGGGAGTTGTAAGGCTTGAGAAGTCAGTGTATGAAGGCTAAAGTTAAAACACAGTGTTTTTGATTGTGACGCAGTTTAAAATGAGGCTTGAAAAAGGGAAAGGCCCACAATAGAAACCAGGAGACTGGTTTTGGTTCACAGCTGGAAAGGGTCTGAGTTTGGCAGGAAATTACCAAAACAGTTTGTACAGACATTTATCTGGCCCTTGTCCCGATCTCTCTTTGCTTACATAGCGCCTTGCTCAACTCTCTAAAATCCTGACCTTGTGTAAGGGCCTACTTCTGCTTTTTTTCCTTTTTCCATGACAGGAGCTGACTGTGTACTCTGGATTAAACACAAGACAAAGGTGATAACTGAAAAGGGACAGAGAAGTAAAGTGATGACTGTGCTGTTTTCCATTGCGTAAAAATTTCCAAAATTAAATTTAGAATAATAAAAAAGGTTCTCCTTCCAAAACTTCAGGCATAGCAAGAAAATAAAAAATGGGTTTACAGGAACACTGTTGATCAAAGTGAATCAATAGAAATAAAGGAAATGGGTATAACTCCAGTTGCATTGGTAGGGTGTAAAATGCTGAACACTTAAATGATATCCAAACACTTACAAAGAAATGGGGAAATCGTATCAAGGGGTTAGAATCTACATGGCCTAGAGGAGGCACATTTGATTTGACTGTGTAGCTGCGAGTTAAAGACCACAAACACTATGATTAAAAAAATAAAATAAAATAAAAAAACACCAAAACAAAAACAGATTTGGAATTTACCAAGCCAGAACAGGCCTCCCCTCCTCTCCCTTTCAGAGCATCTCCCCCTGCAGTCAGCCCACGGACACACAGACAAACAGGACACCTTGTTGATTTGTCAACTCCGGGTGTTTCCAAACGTTGAGACGCAAACTCAAAGTTTTCTATGACCTAAAATCCTTATAAGAAATGTATGTAACGACAAGACATTTAGATCAACAGATACCTACATAAAACTGTTGGAAAGCATCAGCTGTAATGCAAATCTGGATCACACTGGCTATGATCTGAAATCTGCAGTGAGGGAACCTGACAGGTGAATGGGTTTTAGAGGTGGAGTTTTTGACAGCCATGCTTATCTCAGAGGTAAGCACGATCAACTGAGCAGATGTAGAGTGTGATAACACACGTCATGGCTCTGTTTCTTCATTCGCTGTTTGTTTGGATCAGTTCGCCACGTTGACATCACTCACTTTGTATTTACAGGGTCAGTGTTTTGTGGCAATCAGCCCAGAAAACTTTGCTCCGGGGTTCAATGGCAGGATGACAGACTTGCTTGGCATCCACATAGTGATGGATCCAGTAAGTGCTGCTGCTACTGCTGCTCAAACGCAACAACCACTAAGCGCCATCATTTTAATTGACTGTGAAACAATGTACAGTTCTGTCACAGAGCTAAGTGTAGTGAATGCTGCTTGTTTCTTTAGGCGGACCCTAACTGCCCTGTTCTGGTGGCTGGAGATCCAGAGAGGATGAACATGAAGAAGTGTGATGACATGGGCGGCATCCCTTATCACATAAATGTCGTCAACTACATGGTAAGAGATCAATTATGGAGTGAAACATGATAATATAGTTGATTAAGCTCTGTAGATATATGGACCAATTTTCTGCTTTTACACCTAACTGACTTTAAATAACTTTACTACAATGTAAGTTTAAGTTGTACTTTTTTTATTAGTGTGAAATTTGAGCACATTCAATCCGTCTAATCCGTGAGCGAGCTGCTGCCATGTGACAAACTCATCTCTAATTAGTGGCTTCAGTCAAGACCTCAGACTCATATGTGTGTTTATCATCAGCAGTAAGGAAATTAAGATCTGTTACGACTTATTTCATGTGATGGCAATCAAATTTCATAGATTTTACCAACACTTTTTTAGTATTTTAAATAGTTACAAGCTATTAAAACTTAAAATGATTAAAATGATACTATTTAGATTTGTCTATTTATTCATTTATTTTTATTTTTTTATGGGACCCCTTCAAAGTAAAAAAATATTTCAAATATTTTTTAATTGGAAGATACAACCTCCAGATCCCAATTTAGATGTTTTTGAATGCTGTATCTCTGAAAGAAAATAGGCACATGATTTTTACAATTTTTACAATGGGTTTTATATCCTGTTTACTGTAGGAGACTCCAAAAATACCTTTTTATTCAATAAAAACAGATCAATCAAATTTTTGTTCACAGGTATTTTATTTGTTCTGTGTGCCACCTGTGTTTAAAGCTAAATCTTTTTTTAATAAATGGACATTCATTTTATTGCTGTTTTTTTTTTTTGCTTTACCTTCATGACAAACAGCAAAACAGTTAGTGGCATTTAATCACCATGTGGTACATTTTATGCTATACTGTTCAGGTCATAAGTATTTTTACTGTACTGTTTGAAATATGACATCTCTTTATTTCTGTTTATGCACAAGAAATTTACCAAAAGGAAAAAGCTTTTTTTTGTTTTGATAGGGGAAAAACACAGACATTCAAAAGCTGACGATGTTACTGACGTCCTGGTCTATTTTGAAGGTTATTAAGATGATGGTGATGATGATGATGATGATTATGATGATTATGATAACAATGATGATTTTGATTTCAGTTATAATGATGATGTGATGATGAAGATGGTGATGATGACGATGAAGATGATAAGGTTGATGAAGACAAAGATGATAATGATGATGATTTTGATGTTGGTTAGAATGATGATGGAGATGATGAAGATGTAGATCAGTTAGTATGTTTATATCATTTAAACCTGTTAGACTTGTACAGTAATAGTCTTGCTCTAGTTCGCCTCTTCAGAGTCATCTGGTTCATGGAAATGTTTGTGCCTCAGAGTCATTCTTCGCTCACTGACGGCATGTTTCCCTCAGGTTTGATATGCAACAAAGATCACCAGAGCACAGATCTTTAAGCTTCCAATATGTCCTCAGAGGGTAAACATTCTGTCTTCATCAGAGGTCCACCATTAATGAAACTCCTGCTTTGATTTATCCTCCTCCCCTTTCATGTACCTCAGGTATCCATCCTCCTCTTCCACATCCTCTAATCTGACTGCAGCCCCGACAGGTGCACTCAGGTAAACGTTCTCCCCTCTCTTGTCACTGTGAGGAGTAGCAGCAGCAGCCTGCAGACCCTGGTTGATGTAGTTTGCCTCCTCGCACGCCTCAAGCTCTGGCAGCTCAGACATAACATCTCTCAGAGTCTGAACCAGATCCCCAAAGTCTGGACGCAGAGCTGGATCCTCCTCCCAGCAGCTCTTCATCACGTCATATCTGTGAGGAGGGTAAGGGGGAAAAAAGTACATATTTATATATATACATATATACTGTATATATATATATATATATCTTAAAACATCTAATAAATTGATTAATTAAGTCAAATAATTTTTTTGAAGATATTATAGACTGTATATAGAATGGACAACGTGGCTCCACCTCCCATCACTGTATGAATTTGAAGTCAAATTTCTTGGTTTTTCTTGGATTTTTTCCATTTCCTGAAATATTCTGTGTAATTAATTTTCAAAGTTTGTCCACAGCTCCATTCATTTTGCAGGAGGAGGCGGGGTTTATGACATGTACTGCAACCAGTCACCAGGGGGTGCTGTTCTTGCTGAGGCTTCACCCAGTTAAGAGGCAGATAATGTCCATTCTATGACTAGTCTATGGGAGAGATGGAGTGTTCACTGGTAGCACGGGAACGCGGCTTTAATTCTAAACTATCATACGTTTTTTATGTTTAGATATCAGTTGTTGCATCATAATGTTGTGTTATTGTGGTGTGTGTAAATAGTGTGTGTAAATGTGTTATAACGTTGTGCTGCAGTTTTTTTTGTTTATATGTTCAACCTTTATTTAACTCGATGAAACCCATTGAGAACAAGATCTCATTTACAAGGCTGACCTGGCTAAGAGGTCAGCAGCACACATCATGAAAAAAATGTATGTAATGTAATGTAATGTAATGAACATATGTATGTATGGGGTGTACATGCTGTGTTGTTGTCTCCTCACTCACAGTTTGAGGTTTCCCTCTGGTGGTGGTTTCAGTCTGAACCCTGTTCTCAGCAGATCCAGCAGCTCATGGTTATGGACCCCCGGATAAGGAGTCTGACCCCGAGACAGAATCTCCCACATGGTCACCCCAAAGGACCACTGAGGGCACCACACAGAAACATGTTAAAACTAAAATCAAAGTATGTTTAACAAAACACAGGTATAACATTATAAATAAAAACAGAGAGCTATATTAAACAAAAAAAATATATGAAGAATTTAATGGATTTTATTTTACTTTAAAGATCAGTCACATGCAAAACGAATACAATATTTAAATCAAATCAAAGGATGTAATTAAAAACAGATAATTCTAATATATTTAAATAATTTTAAAGGTACAATGTGTGTATTTTACAACTACTGCACATTGTACCTTTAATGAAATATTCATTTGTCTGTTTGAATTATTGACATATATAAATATATAAATATATATACAGAGTCTTGTGAATCTACGTGGAAACAGGTGGCAGTGGAGGATGGTTAGCCATCCTCCACCACCATGTTTTTACACAAGCAGAGCATGAACAAACTAGTTAAACACATTTTCGAAATTTTGGAAATGCACTGAGCAGCAGAAGAACATTTAATCATTCAGAGCCAATCACTGATCCTGTGACTATCTGCTGGTCATGTGACTGATAGAGTAAGGAGATGTCAGGTTTACAGAACGTCCTTGAACTCACCACGTCACTCTTGGTGCTGTAAACAGATTCTGATAGACTCTCCATTGACATCCATTTAATCGGCAGTCTGACTATCACTCTCTGACGATAGTAGTTTCTGCTGTAGATCCTCTTAGAAAGACCAAAGTCAGCAACACACACTCTGAGGTCATCCCCCAGCCTAGAGAACACAGACACAGAAATGCACAGAGAGGACAGAGACAGTCTGTGAGGACAATGTCCACACCAGTCACCCCAAGTGTTGCCCCCTGGTGGACTCACATGCAGTTTCGTGCGGCAAGGTCACGATGCAGGAAGCCCTGTGAGCTCAGATATTCCATCCCAGTGGCGATGTCAACCATGAAGCGGATCAGACTCTGCAGAGGGACGAACTGAAGAGACGAGGAGGTTCATTCTGATGCTGTTTGACTACTTCACACATTTCAGAATCAGAACCAGAATCAGCTTTAGTGGCCATGTACGTGGACAAATACACAAGGAATTTGACTTTGGTAAACTTGGCCCTCTATGTGCAAACATTAAACATGAAATGTTAGAAAAACTGTCACCGAAATTACAAAGTATGCACAAACTAGAACTGGACATTAAACTTAAGACATTTAGGGTGAAAAAAAGCTCCAGTCCTGAATTTTTTATCAGCAATAACACCAGACTGACTTTATTCCAGTAAAATGTTCATTAAAAATTGAACCCCTGAAGATTTCAGTGAAGGTGCTCCTCTGTAAGTTGGCACAGAGACTAGTTTTGACTGACATCAGGTCAATCCGTAGGTGATCAGTCACTGACTCTGACAGAGGGAAGTCACTGTGAGTGTCTGAAAATGTCTAACCATTGGGACGTCTCCATAACGTGTTGCAATAAGGAACCGTCTCAGGTCTCCATGTTTCATGTAGGGCAGAATAACCAGGGGGACAGGAAGATGAGAGTCCTGCTCTGTCTGCACAGCGACCCCTAAAGGCCAAACACGAATCACGTTAACAACAGGGTCCCTTCTATCTCAGTTACCCTCAGTAACAGAAGAATTAGAATCCTTAAATGCCACACTATTTAAAACAGGTTTTCTATCATGCAGCTGGATGCCTGCTTTGATCATTTTAATCATCAGTGTGGTAAAAAAAAAAAACTCCTTACCCAGAAGCCGGACTACGTTTTCATGATGGAAGTTCTGCATGATCTCAGCCTCTTTCATAAAATCGAGGAGCTCTGCCTGACTGTGTATACCAACTGAGCAAACACAGAAAGTCAGAGAAATTTTTTTTTGAAAAATTCAGATTAAAAAATTGTTTTATACTAACCTCTGACTGTTTTCACAGCAACCTTCATGTTCACACCTTCATCTGGACAAAAGAGCCCCTCATAGACCAGACCAAACTCCCCTGCAATACAAACATGAAGTCAAAGACCAGTTATTTGGTGAAAGTTAGACCTCTCAATAACCACTAATCAAGTTAAAGCAGTACTGATCAACGATTAGAAATCTAGTTAAAGTTGGACTGTTAAATAACCATTTATAAAGTTAAAGGTCCACTGTTCAAAAACCTGTTACCTGGTAATGGTGTTCAATGAAATTAAAGCTAGACTTTTTAATAACCAGTTATACAGTCAAAACTGAACTGAATTCAGTAACATGTTAACACTTTAAAGCTGGACTGTTGATTGATTAGTTATCCAGTTTAGACAGGACTGTTCAGTGAGCAGTTATTAATCTAAACTGGACTGATTTATAAACAGTTATCAGGTCAGCGCTCAGACAGTAAGCTGACCTTTGCCCAGCTCTTTGCCCAGAGTCAGTTTGTTTCTGTCCACCAGGAAATTCTTCAGTTTGTCTCCAAACATGAACAGCTGCACCTCACCTCCACCAGCTGAAACACAAAATATGAAAATCAGTATCCCTCAAAAAGTAATTAGGGCCAACATCAATATCTATTTCACAGTATAATCTTACAGTAATTTCCCCATATATCAATCTATATCTGCTTTAATTACATTTGACTCAGCTCCACCTGTCCTCCACCAACAAAATCATTTAATTCTACCTATTTATTAAAACAAAAAGCTGAAAAATCGTATTAGAGATCCAGATAACAGATATTATTATCACACAGTGATTAAAAAATAATCAGCAGCTCAGATTAAAAAGGTTCATTCTATTTTATTAATATTTACAGTTTAAATAAATAAAGACTAATAGAAACATTGATCATATATTGACTGTTTTGTAAAAGACGATGTTAATACTGTCTTTAATGGATAATCACAAAATAAACCATTTTAATTTAAGTGACATAAAACCTGTCTGACTGTTTTCCTGCAGTGGGAGGGTCACCACCTCTCGAGCACGTCGGTAAGAAACTCCAGTGTGTAACAGGAAAAGATTGCCCTCCTGTTCAGACCTTTAAAGAAAACATTCGATTAAATAACAAAGATCTGTAACCACTCTGATCAACTTAGCTGATATGAGGACAAAGAGGGTTAGGTACAAAAACATTAAGATTTTGGATGAGAGTGGATCTGTTTCTACTATGATGTGTGTAGAGCAGGACCAGCCTGAGTTTGTCAGGAACAGGGATGAGGTGTTCAGGTTAGGGTTTTACCTGTGTAAGGTGTGTTTGCATCGCCGCACACAGAAAGTAGCAGGAAATGCAGCTGCGAGCAGCAGACTAAAGATTAAAACTCCAACAATCAACCACGAGGTGGTACGAGCTTCATGCTGAGGAGCCACCGCAGGCGTGATGGAGTTCGCAGTCACCATGGCGATGGTATTGGGATCTTTCCCTAAAATTTAAAAATATGACAAAGACTTTAACTTCAAAAGTGTGTTTTCTGTTGTTTCACTGAAACTGGGGCTATAATGAACTATTTCCATCATCAGAAAATCACATTTTAAACCAAAGATCTGACACTGACTTTAATAACAAAGATCTAACTAAGATAACAAAGATCTGTTTGTCATTACTGGATATTGAAGAGTGAGAATAAATTCAGTAAGACAATCTCATAATCTTCATGAAAGCGTAGATGAATATATTCTTACATCTGTTTAGGCTGATGCTTGTGGTGGATGGAGGTGGCACTTTCTGCAGGCCTGACACCTGGTTCCAGGCTCTCACTGACAGTCTGTAGTTAGTCTTTGGATCCAGTCCTGAAATGTTGACTGAAGTCCTGGTCAGACCAGTGGTGTTAGGAGAGAAAACGACTTCCTGTCTGCAGTTTATCCATGGACCTCCATCATCAACCAACTCCTCACATGAGACATCATACATCACTTCTTTTCTGCCTCCCTGGTCCAGAGGAGGGTCCCAGCTGAGAAGCACCAAGTCCTCCTGATGACGGATCGAAGGATTCAGGGGGGCGGAGGGGGGCTCTGAGGACCACCAGACAGGAAACAGAAACATGGTCTGAATAGGAGCTGAATAACATCTTAGCATCTAAGGATAACTCTTGGCACTATATAAAGATTGATTGATTGATTGATTGATTGATTAATTGATTGATTGATTGATTGATTGATTGATTGATTGATTGATTGATTGATTGATTGATTGAGTAAAAAAAGATTCATTGATCTTTCTTACTGGTGCAGCCAAGGTCAGCAGGGTCCGAGGTCAGGCGGCTGAAACCCTGAACACACTCACACGTCTCTGATCCCTCAGTGTGTGTATGGCTGTTTGACGGACAGAGTCTACATCCTCCACTGTTATTGGCTGGTTTGTAGAAGCCCTTCCCACACGCTGGTGAAACAGGAAATAGAGAACATGTCTGTCACAGTTCAGCTCCTCGTCTATGTTTTGTAATGTGTTTGATTTTGTTTTTATGGTTTGATAAGTTTAATTCTTTATCTGATGTTAATTCTTTGATAATGATGGCAGAGCACTCCAGAAAATAGACAAATATAAATATCTGGGTGTGTGGGTTGACTCAAAACCTACTTTCAAACCACACATGTCAGTACAGATTCATAATAATAATAATAATGCTAATAATCTTTGACATTCTGCAAATAAACCTCTCTGTGATCTCTAATGTGATGTTGTTATTCCTCCACCCTCTCATTAAAACCTAAAAATATCTGAAGACAAACTCTGAAACAAAACCCTCGAAACGGAGAGAAGGGAACAGGAAAAGAAAACAGGAAGTATTATTCTTTGTTTTTATATCACAATAAGTAGCAAAAGAAAAAAAAACAGTCCAACAAAAAACACATGTGCTGTGACTTACTCAAACAAAACTCTCTCTCAGCCTCCTCACCTGCACAGGTATGATTTGTCACATGGTGTCCAGGTCCACAGGTGCAGCCTCCCTGTAGGGGGCCCCAGGCTCCGCCCACCATACACTCTCGAACAGGGGGAGAAACCTCCACAGCCCCCCTCACACAGGAGCCAATCACAGGACCAGACCCAGACCCCGTCCCTTTGAAGCTGACCAGGTTATCTGTGATGTCAGAGCACTTCCTGTAGTACAGTCTGATGGAAGTCACCAACACACATGTCCCTGAGTATGAGAAGCCGATCTGAAAGCCTCTGCGGCTGACTGGACCCAAATCAAGACCCTGGCTCATGTGCAGGTAAGTCAGCTCTTCTTGTGAATGAGTGGTGGCTGGGAATGGCCTGGAAGACTGAAGGTCTAGGACCGACCTACCATACTGAAACCCTGAGACACGTGTGTCTGAGTCAAACAGGTGGACATGCAGAGGACTCAGCTGACCTGAAGTTTCTTCCTCTTGTGCGAATGAAACATCCATCAGCAGGTAGTGAGCGTCTTTACGCTCCATCCAGTGACTCAGAACTGACCTCTGTACTTGCTGACCACACGCCTGAAGAACTGGAACCTGCCGCTGTGACTGCTTGACTCTGAGATGGACCTCATCCCACTGAGGACATGAAGAGACAGACACCTGAACACAGTATACCTGTGAGTATGTACAGTAAGTGTGTGTATTTATGTATTTGTATACATATTTACCTTTGTTGCTGTAACTATATGTTTTCTTATTTATGTTTCTGTATATATTCATTGATGTATTTATAAATATGTTTGTTTATATCTATACTGTATCCACTGATCTTTTCTGCCCTCAAACCTAACCCCCATTTTATCAAGTCTATCTTATAAAATGAGACCCTGTGTCTCAATGAGATAATCTGTATAAATAAAAGTTTGATGTAGAGGTTGTTGATATATATATATTTTTTTCATCATATACTTTAATTGTCCCTGCAGGGAAATTAAATAAATAAATGAATTAATAATGGTAATAATAATAATAATAATAATAATAATAATAATAATAATAATAACAACAACAACAACAACAACAACAACAACAACAACAACAACAACAACAACAACAACAATAATAATAATAATAATAATAACTACTGACCATACTGTTAGGTTTAGATGTCCAGCCCAGGGTCGTTTGTTTGTCTGAGTGAAAAATCTCTGAACACAGGAGAAAGAAGAGGGTCAGATTTCACCCCGTCCATCACTTTTCAGTTAAAATGATTGCAACATAAATTAAGCTTTATAATCCAATTACATACAAAGATCATCATTTCTGAATCACATAGTATTTACTCTAACAGAGAGCCCTTTAGACTGACGTGGGTTTGGATATCATAACTCTTTGGTGAAGGCAGTAACTGATGTATTTTCTATACACTGTTGTTCAAGTTTCTTTCTGAGTCTGATCGTTATAATGTAAAATAAGGAACCGGTCCAGAAATCATTTTTTTATGAGACTTTTCTCCTGAGTTAGCACCTAAACATACAAAGCTCAGTTGGTTGTTAGGATTCGTCATTTTTCTTCTTGCTGAGGTTGCAATTACTGGGACTTTCCTCTGTATCAACAGGACAGATGGGTTAAACATCATTCAGATGTTCATGGTCCTCAGAGGATAAACTGGCTGGTGTCCTGAAACATGTCGAAACTCTCATGAGCTCCACAGTAACGCAAATCAAACTAGTAACATATAAGTTTTTGTGTTTAGTAAGCAGCTTCATGAAATGCACAAACAAGAAGAGGAAGGAAGAAGGATAAAAAAGGAGTAGAAGAAAAGTAGAAGAAGAAGAAGAAGGGATGGGCTGTTGCTCGGACGAACAACAATTACAGATAAATAAACATTAAATATTGTGAAACATACAATTTACCATTATACTGAACTAAAACATCTATTTACACATTGACCCACTAAAAGTAACAGAAAACACCTTCAAGATTTAACTATGTGATTTATTCATTAAAAACAGACAAGGAATTAATTCACAAAGATTAACTAAAGAACAAATTAATAAATTAACTATACATACAGTACTAAAAAATAAGCATCTCCTAAATGAGAGACTACAGGGAAGCAGTCCCCCTCAGGACCAGGTGAAGCTGATCACCAATCAGTGACTTCACCTGGGGAAAAACACAGGAGCAACACACAGTCCAACACGAGCAAAACATGCTCCTTAGTTTGAAATATATATGACATTACCATCAAAACAGTTTGTTAATTTCTTATAATCATATTGACACCACCACCTTTTTAATTCTATTAGATCTAATCTAATCTAATCTAATCTACATGCTATCTTAAATTCAATATGGATCTCATCTTAAAAATCCAGAAAATGAAATCTAAGTAGCTCACCCTCCTCTGACTGATGTAGAGAGTCAACGTTGGCTCCACACACACAGATCCACAGGGTGGTCACAAAGAGCCAGTGAGTCCTGAGTATGAAGTCATAAACCTCCATGTTTTAGATTGAATATATCGAACCATTCATGTCACTTCTGTATCGTTTCCACCATTAATGCGGTCAGTTAGCTCCTTAGAGATTAGTTCATGTCTGACTTAATGCGTTGATGTAGTCTTATGACTTAACTCTGAGAAATGCTGTCACCGAAATGCTGACATGGCTTTTCTTCATCTAAAAAAAAACTCATTCGTTTCCTGACCAGCTGACTTCCTCAATTTATCTGCTGTTATTGCTAATTTCAAAAACAAAACTTAAAATAAATCTGAACACTGTCAACAGTATTTCTATTAATATTTTAGACAAGACAATTTGCTTAAATATTTGAAAAGTGAACAAATTCAATGAAAAGTTCCAGTAAAACTTAGATAGGGGAAGACAAATCATCAGACCTTTAGAAGATGCTCTTGCACATTTGGTGTCGATTGAGCAAAGTCAAGTTTTACAAGTTTTACAGTTTGGAAGTGAGTGATGGACTTCATAATTTCCTGTGTACTTCAGTTCAGTTCAGTTGCCTTTACTGTCCCCTAAGGCAACTTTAAAAACATACAATAAAAATCATAATCTCATGTAAAAACAAGACAGACAAATCACAAGCAACAATCAGATTGATATGGTTAATTTTCTATTTTTTTTAGATTTGTTCAATAGTTTCTTATCTTCAGACAAAAAAAATCATAGAAGATGTTTCTTTTCCTGCTTGACAGTTTCACCTGAGACTCCAATCTTCCTCAGAAGCATTATTAGTCCTTACATTAAATTCATTATGAACATGGACTTAAAATCATTGTTTTATTTAATGGCCTTTGTGCCCTCAAAAAATTGACAACACAAAAGGCCAAGTGGCCTTGCCCCTGAAATGGCGAAATTCCAGGCCTGGTGTACATATCTCAAAGTTTCTCCAGCAGTGTTATAAAGGGCAGCAGTAGCTCAGGAGGTAGAGCTGTCGTCCAATAACTGGAAGGTTGGGGGTGCAATTCCCCCCTATCCTTTGCCTATCTGTTGTGTCCTTGGGCAAGACACTTAACCCACCTTGCTCCCAGTGTGTGTGTCCTCCACTGGTGTATAATTGTGAGTGTTGTGGGGTGGTGGTTGGAGAGGCCGTAGGTGCAAACTGGCAGCCACGTTTCCGTCAGTCTGCCCCAGGGCTGCTGTGACTACTAAGACAGTTTACCACCACCAGGGTGTGACTGTATGAATAATGTATCCAATGTAAAGTGATTTGAGGGTCTCTGATAAAGTGCTTTAAAGATATCATTATAAATATTTTAGATGTATATTTATTTGTTTAAAAATAAACTGCCCTTTTGTGAGTTTGAGCCCCTGCCCCTCTACAATCCTCTGCACATCCCTTTTTAATGGTATGACAAGGATTCTCACCAAAGTCAAGTTAAGTAATTAAGTGTTTAAAGTAGTGTTGTTGTCTGGTCTGCTAGTAGAACTGTGATCTGTTATCTGTATGAAATCTGCACTGACTGGGTTCCTGGACAGACTGGTTCTGACATCACTCTGAAGTTATGAGGATGTGACGGTGTCCTTAGATCAAATGCTCACAGACACCAGGACTGACAAGGCACAAAGGAGCAGCTTCTTCTCTCCTCACATAAAGGTTGAAAGTGTCTGTAAGCTGACCTGAACTCTCTTCAACAGGTGAGGATCCTTCCAGCGAAATCTGATCATACCTAAGGATCAGGATCGGTGTGCTCACACTGGTGGTGCTGGATCACCGTTAAACTGCAGAAATCTTTCTTGATGCTGATTGGCTGTTTGAAACATGTTGTAGAATTTCTCTCTGAGTTAAAGAGCAGTGATTTTAGACAGATCCACCTGCTCTATAGTTGACTCAGCAGCAGTTTGACAGTAATCTGAGTCACAACACTGGGGAAAAATGCAGGGAGTGTCTGAACTGGTCTGACAGTCTGGATCAACTTGGCTCAGGTGCTTTTATTTTGAAATTGTTGATACTCTGAGAGGTAAAGGGTTCAGAGGTCAGATCACTTCCAAAACTGAGACTGAATTGGTTTTACTGGAGACATAGCAGGGTCCAGGTCTCAATGGTCCCAGAGTTTTCAAATAATTTTAGATGGAAGAGAGCCAGCCCAGGATGGAAGCGGACTCAGTGTTTGGTTGAAACCTCTAAGCTGTCAGGGGCCCCTATGAGACAGAAAATGAGCCATCCTATGTTAGTGTTTGATATTTGTCCAAATTTGAATATTTAAAATCAAAACTAAAGATTTTTTTTTTTTTTATCAAGAGCTGAGCCGTAAGGTGGCTGAAGTGGGTTTCCTTCACAGGGTGGCCGGGCTCAGCCTTAGAGATAGGGTAAGGAGCTCAGAGTAGAGCCGCTGCTCCTCCACGTCGAGAGGAGTCAGCTGAGGTGGCTCGGGCATCTGGTCAGGATGCCTTCTGGATGCCTCCTGTTAGAGGTGTTCCAGACGTGTCCCACCGGGAGGAGACCTCGTGGCCGGCCCAGGACCAGGTGGAGGGATTATATCTCTAGTAGCCTGGCCTGGGAGTTGGTGGAGTTGGCTAGGGTAAAGGCCGTCTGGGCTTCCCTCCTAAAGCTGCTGCCCTGTGACCCAGACCCGGATAGGCAGAAGAAAATGATGACGACGACAAACTAATCAAATATGTTGATTTAAAAGGACTTTTTAAAATTTTACTCTTACTCATTTTGACAACAGTTTTTTACACAACAGAACATTGTGATGACCACAGTGTATTTATGGAAGAGTCTGGGGGCTGTAACTCATTCTAGACTCATGAGATCCTGTTACAGGCTCCAACAAGGTTTCTGTCTGTCCTGAATATTTGTGTCGTGTTATTGACAGGAATAAGAACTGAAGAAGTGTCCTGTGTTATAAAGCTTGTTGTACTGACTGAGCATGCTGTTGTGTTTGTGTGAAGGTGGGGGCTCTGCTATGAATCAGTGTGAGAACAGAGAGGAGGGAGCCCCTCCCTCTAAAACCACAATATGGAGGGGACCACTCTATGAGAGCCAGACCAAAGCTCAGAGGTGAGATGAGGATCTCCAACTGTCCATGACTCTTCTTCATGTCAGAGCTCAGCACTCACATCACATGTCTGTGTGTGTGTGTGTGTGTGTATGTGTGTGTGTGTGTCTCTTTCTTTCTGTCTTTCTGTCCATCTGTCTAAGACCCGAACAACAAAACAGGCCAGACTCTCCTGGACCTGCTCCCAGCTGTCTGTCCTTCCTCAGTGACCGGTCTAAGACTCCAATTATTGATTTCAAAGATGGACATCAGTCTGATTGTCAAAAGTAATAATCTATAACAACAGCACTCAAACCTGGAAGATTTTCAGTGTTCTTGTTTCTTCATAAGTGTTTGTGTTTCTGTCAGAGTCAAACGTGAGAAACCAGACTCTCCTGGACCTGGACCAGGACCTGGACCTGGACCCAGCTGTGCGTCCTTAAAGAGTGACGGGTCGATGTTCAGACTTACTGATTTCAAAGTTGGACATCAGTCTGATTGTCAAAAGTAAAAATCTATAACAACAGCACTCAAACCTGGAAGATTTTCAGTGTTCTTGTTTCTTCATAAGTGTTTGTGTTTCTGTCAGAGTCAAACATGAGAAACCAGACTCTCCTGGACCTGGACCTGGACCTGGACCCAGCTGTGTGTCCTTAAAGAGTGACGGGTCGATGTTCAGACTTATTGATTTCAAAGAAGGAGAGATTCGTGATGAGGAAATGTGAGCCTTTCAAACTGAACTGTTTTGTTGTGTGTGAAACTTTTCATCCTAACTGTGGTCAGTGTTTTCACTGTGAAGTTGAAGATTTTTCAGGGTTTGTGTTTCTATCAGGCTCCAACAGCAGTAAACAAGATCTCAGCCAGAAAGAACTGGACTCTGTATCTTCATGAGTGTCCTGTGTTTGTAGGACACTCACATCTATCACATGTAACCCTGTGTCTCATTATATTATATCCACTACATTAGATTCTGTTTGTTCCACAGAGTTCAGCAGCAGAGTTCAGAGGTTCCCAGTGGTCAGTCTGCCCAGCAGCATCAAACACGGCTGGACTCCATATTTATGGTGTGTAAATGTTCAAACACAGCTCCTACTGATCATCAGAACAGACACACAGTATATTTAGAGCTTTCTGGATTGTTCCCTGATGACACTGCAAACATCTTCTCTGCCTGAATTATGTTCACACTCAGGGCTCTATTTTCGTGTACGCCGGTGAGGCGACGGAGAGTGGCGGACCCCGCGCAGTTGTATTTTCGTCTGGCGGAGCCCGGCATACAGCCAGTTTGGTATTTTCGTGGACTGAGGCGCACAGAGGCGAACTGAGATCCGCCAAGCTGGGTGTGGTGGCATGGCAGGAGGAGGTGTCGACAGAATCAGCGGGCGCAGTGACATGTTCGTGCTCACCAGTGGCGTGTAAAGTGTGCTGAAAGCTCGCCGATTCAAACCTGGTCAGCTTTCAGCTGGTCTAGTAGTATTTTGGTAGACCGGCGGCGTATCGGCATACGTCACTGATGCCTCACTGGCAGGTTTCAACAGTGTCAGGCACATTTCAGTGCAATAAATAATCAACAACAACTATTAATCTAAGTCAGCACATACATTTAGATCTATATAGATATATTCGGATCTATATCTGATCTGATGAGCGCATTTGGCGTTTGCGTTTTAATATCTAGTAAATAAACACACATGATAAAGTTAACAAGATATTTAATTCGTCTCCCTCCCTTTCTTCTTCCTCTTCTTTTATTTCTCGCGCAGCTCGACCTGGACATGTCTCTGTGTCCTCTCTCCGTCCTGCTGCAGCGGCGGCTGAACAGATGATTTGTTTCAGTGATCAAATGAGTTATTTACTTTAAGCCGACATACGAATATTCTAATATTCAGTTTTGTGAGCCAAATTTATTTCATATGCCAACATCTATGAAAGAAAGAGCCAGGCCACGGAGTGCGATGTGTCATTTACGCACAGGCGGTTCCGATTTTAATGCCATTTATGGAGTTAATGTTGTGATCTGTGCGCACAACCCACCTTTGTCACGTGAGGTTTGACCATATGCAACTTTATGTGAGTGTCTTTATTTGTAGCAAAGGGTGTTTGTCTTACCAGTGGGTCCAACATTACACACACCAAATCCATCTGTGCTCAGATGAGAGAGTGTGGAGGACGCCCTCTGCAGCGCTTACAGTGACACTAGTTAAGGAGCTGCCTTCTGTCGCCATCGTGTGGCATTACTGTCTTCGGACATCTCTTGAGCTCTTTGACTACTTCATGAAAATTGTAATATGCCTCGCCGGTGGCGGATTTAAAGGCGAGGAGAGGAGCTGATGTGATTGGTGAAAACAGGTCTTGGCTGTGTTAAACCCACTCCATGCCCTCTCTCCTCCCTCGCTACGACTTACGCTGCTGGGAGGAGCTGAGTCAGGGAGGGGGGATACTTACGCCGGGCTGCGCCGCTCACCAAAATACCAAATTGTGCTTGGGAACGCCTTGTCTGCGGCACGTCTCCGACGAGGCATGAAAATAGAGCCCTCAGAGTTCGACTGATTGAATGAACCTTTACATTTATGACCTGCACAGAGTCAGAGGTCAGAAGAGCTATGCCATTGGGAAGCAACTCCTGGCAGGTTTACCAAATTAGACAGGTCGAGGGTGAGGAGTTGGACAAAACACAGACAAGATTGGCATTTATTCCGATCATTTGTGCTCATGTAAACGCAGCTAGTGGCAGCCACTCTTTCAGCTTCATTCTAATAAACACATCACCTCTAAAGTCGCTGCAGACTTTTTCTCCATGAAACCACACCAGGAGATTTCTCCAATATGAGGTTCAGTTCATAGAAACTGGATTTGTAGGAGACAGGACCATCCACAAAGTAAACCCTGAAGCAGCACTGTGATCCAGTCTTCATGCTGCACTGTCAGCTGGCTTTCTGTCTGTCACAGATGATCTGATGTTCATTTCTACAAGTTCAAGTTCACATTTTGTTCTGTTCCAGCTGCTCCAGGAAAACATGATCAGCTTTGTAAAAAAGCAGCTGATGGAGATCCAGAGAGTTCTGAGTCTAGATGAGCCAGCATGCTTAAAGAGTCAGAGGGAGGATGAGGATGAAGAGCAGAGGAGGAGCAGAGAGGCATTTCTGAAGATCACTGTGCACTTCTTGAGGAGAATGAAGCAGGAGGAGCTGGCTGACTGTCTGCAGAGAAGTGAGAGGATTTAAACAGATTTAACATGATGGAAAGATGAAATGGAGACAACATGGGAGAGGTTTACAATTCAGACTCTACTGTTGATATGATGCACACATTTGTATCACATCTGTCAACTGAGAGAAACTGATCACAGCTGATGAGCTGAAGAGATTTCAGAGAGGAGGGAAATCAAATCCGTCCTGATGTCTTCAAGTGTAAATTCATCAGACTTATTGTAGCCTCAGATTATTCATCGCATTTCTTTTTGTTCATTCAGGATCTGCTGCTGCAGAGTGCCAACACAAACTCAAGTCCAACCTGAAGGGGAAGTTCCAGTGTGTGTTTGAGGGGATTGCTAAAGCAGGAAACCCAACCCTTCTGAACCAGATCTACACAGACCTCTACATCACAGAGGGAGGGACTGGAGAGGTCAACGATGAACATGAGGTCAGACAGATTGAAACAGCATCCAGGAAACCAGAGAGACCAGAATCAACCATCAAAAAGGAAGACATCTTTAAAGGCTCACCTGGAAGACAGGAACCAATCAGAACAGTGATGACAAAGGGAGTGGCTGGCATTGGGAAAACTGTCTTAACACAGAAGTGGACTCTGGACTGGGCTGAAGACAAAGCCAACCAGGACATCCACTTCACATTTCCATTCACCTTCAGAGAGCTGAATGTGCTGAAGGAGAAAAAGTTCAGCTTGGTGGAGCTCATTCATCACTTCTTCACTGAAACCAAAGAAGCAGGAATCTGCGGGTTTGAGGACTTCCAGGTCGTGTTCATCTTTGACGGTCTAGATGAGTGTCGACTTCCTCTGGACTTCCACAACAATCAGATCCTGACTGATGTTACAAAGTCCACCTCAGTGGATGTGCTGCTGACAAACCTCATCAAGGGGAACCTGCTTCCTTCTGCTCACCTTTGGATAACCACAAGACCTGCAGCAGCCAACCAGATCCCTTCTGAGTATGTGGACATGGTGACTGAGATCAGAGGGTTCACTGACCCTCAGAAGGAGGAGTACTTCAGGAAGAGATTTAGAGATAAAGAGCAGGCCAGTAGAATCATCTCCCACATCAAGACAGCCAGAAGCCTCCACATCATGTGCCACATCCCGGTCTTCTGCTGGATCACTGCTACAGTTCTGGAGGATCTGCTGAAGACCAGAGAAGGGGAGCTGCCCAAGACCCTGAGTGAGATGTACATCTACTTTCTCCTAGTCCAGATCAAACTAAAGGACATCAAGTACAACCGAGGAGCTGAGACTGATCCACACTGGAGTCCAGAGAGCAGGAAGATGATTGAGTCTCTGGGAAAACTGGCTTTTGAGCAGCTGCAGAAAAGAAACCTGATCTTCTATGAATCCGACCTGATAGGGTGTGGCATCAATGTCAGAGCAGCCTCAGTGTACTCAGGAGTCTTCACACAGATCTTTAGGGAGGAGAGAGGACTCTACCAGGACAAGGTGTTCTGCTTTATCCATCTGACTGTCCAGGAGTTCCTGGCTGCTCTTCATGTCCACCTGACCTTCAACAACTCTGGAGTCAACCTGCTGTCATCAGCACAAACAACATCTTGGTTGTCTTACTTATTTGGAGGGAACAAAGAAACACGCTTCTCCATCAGAGTGCTGTGGACGAGGCCTTACAGAGTCCAAATGGACACCTGGACTTGTTCCTCCGTTTCCTCCTGGGTCTTTCACTACAGCCCAATCAGAAGCTCCTGAGATGTCTGCTGACACAGATAGGAAGTAGCTCGCAGACCAACCAGAAAACAGTCCAGTACATAAAGCAAAAGATCAGTGAGGATCTGCCTGCAGAGAAGAGCATCAATCTGTTCCACTGTCTGAATGAACTGAATGATAGTTCTCTAGTGGAGGAGATCCAACAGTCCCTCAGATCAGGACGTCTCTCCACAGACAAACTGTCGCCTGCTCAGTGGTCAGCTCTGGTCTTCATCTTACTGTCATCAGGAAAAGATCTGGATGTGTTTGACCTGAAGAAATACTCTGCTTCAGAGGAGGGTCTTCTGAGGCTGCTGCCAGTGGTCAAAGCCTCCACCAAAGCTCTGTAGGTGGACACATGAGAAATTTAGGTTTTATTCATAACAAAACTGTTATATTTTGCATGAGTCCGTTTCTTCAGATAGTCTGTTTTGTTTGGATTGGGGTGAAAACTCAAACAAACTCTTATGCAGATCAAGCAAGTGAACTTCGGTTCCCCTGAAAAGGAGGGTCTTGGTTATCCTCCAGGGAACTTTGGTGTGGCTCTATTGTGGTATAAAAGCAAAGCAGAACATCGTGTAAACCATGGGCAGGAGGTAGCATCACATGCAGTGCATTTGTGCCGTTACCTCACTTGATGTCCATGTAACTCTGTTAACACATGTCTTACTCTGGTCGATGCTCAAACTTTGTTACTGATGCATTCATTTTATGTAAAGACTGATATGCTGAACAGGTGGTTACAGGTAAACCGTATTTTCTTCATCTCTGTCTTCTTCTTTAAAAGTGTTGATATGAAACACGGTTTCCACAAACACAAAGTTACTATAACCTTTGTAACTGCTTGATGTTATTCACGGAGTTGTGTTCATCTGACCATGTTCAGTGTGAAAGCAAAACAAACTTAAAGGAATATTCCGGCGTAAAATTAAGTTAGAGTCAAACACACCGTAACACCGAGTTAGACAGCCCCTCCAGAGATGAATGTTGCAGACCGCTTGCTTCTCTAGTTTTACCACCATAAATGTTCTTCCTTGAGCTGTGTCACTCCGCTGCAGTTGATGGACTCGCCTGGAGATCTCTGTTCAAACAAGCAGCTGCTGGAAGAGAGTGGGTGATTTGTGTTTAGTCTCTTTGCTAAGGAAATCAGGCAAAGTTAAGAAGATGTTTGATGGCTAGTGCTATGGCTGGGACCCTGTTTGTCTAACTCAGTGTTACGGTTTGTTTGACCCTAACTTAATTTTATGCCGGAATATCCCTTTAATGAATGTGTAACAATACTGCTATTTGACCCCTGAACCGAAATGAGTCCCCTAGTCTGTCGGGTAAAACACTTATTGTTCATCAGAGATTAGACATTGTGTCTGTTTTAATCAATTTGTCTTTTTCAGGCTAAGTGGATGTAACCTGTCAGAGAGAAGCTGTGAAACTCTGTCCTCAGTCCTCAGCTTCCAGTCCTCCAGTCTGAGAGAGCTGGATCTGGGTAACAATGACCTGCAGGATTCAGGAGTGAAGCTGCTTTCTGCTGGACTAAAGAGTCCTCACTGTAAACTGGAAACTCTCAGGTCTGTAGATGGTTAAACATAAAACTTTTCTCTGTTGGAGTTTAAAACCAAATAAGCATAAGCGCCATTAAAACAGAGAGCTACTTACTGAACTTTTTTATATACTATGTGGTAGATCAAGTATAGAAAGTCAACTTACCCTGTCATTCTTTTAGGGTAACTAATTGAAATAAAATGGAGACAAAATTGAGTTCATAATTTGTTGGAAGAAGCAAAAACATCCATGACCCTCTGATAATTGAAAATACAAGAGAGCTTATTCATTTAAACATCTCCAATGTTTTTCAGGTTTACTGGATGTAACCTTTCAGAGAAAAGCTGTGAAGCCATGTCCTACGTCCTCAGCTTCCAGTCCTCCAGTCTGAGAGAGCTGGACCTGAGTAACAATGAACTTCAGGATTCAGGAGTGAAGCTGCTTTCTGCTGGACTGAGGAGTCCTCACTGTAAACTGGAAACTCTCAGGTCTGTATAAGGTTAAACATAAAACTTTTCTCTGTTGAAGTTCAAAACCAAATAAGCATAAGCACTGTTAAAACAGAGAGCTACTTACTGTACCTTTTTTATATACTATGTAGTAGATCAAGCAAAGAAAGTCAACTTACCCTGTCATTCTTTTAGGGTAAATAATTAAAATAAGATGGAGATGAAAAATTGAGTTCATAATTTGTTGGAAGAAGCAAAAACATCCATGACCCTCTGATAATTGGAAATACAAGAGAGCTTATTCGTTTAAACATCTCCAATGTTTTTCAGGTTTACTGGATGTAACCTTTTAGAGAGGAGCTGTGAAGGTCTGTCCTACGTCCTCAGCTCCCAGTCCTCCAGTCTGAGAGAGCTGGACCTGAGTAACAATGACCTGCAGGATTCAGCAGCGAAGCTGCTTTCTGCTGGACTGCAGAGTCCTCACTGTAAACTGGAAACTCTCAGGTCAAGTTTTCTGCTGATTGAGTTTTGTAGTTGTTTGAATGAAATTGTCAAAAGTTGGCACACTTCTCCTTATTTCATATACTTTTTCCTGACTCCAGGTTATCAGGCTGTCTGATCACAGAAGAAGGTTGTGCTTCTCTGTTCTCAGCTCTGAGCTCCAACCCCTCACACCTGAGAGAACTGGACCTGAGCTTCAATCATCCAGGAGACTCAGGAGTAGAAATGCTTTCTGCTGGACTGGAGGATCCTTTATGGAGACTAGATACACTGAGGTACAGTGCAGAGGACAGTTACTGGGTCACAGATAACTACAAATATATTTGGTTTCTGCTGCCTGAGGTCTTCACTTAGCAGGCCATCACTGTTGACCATCTTTCTGATGTACTCTCTGATGTGAACTGTTTCATCCTGGATTGTAGCTCTGATGCTCACTGGCTCTCAGCCTCCCTCCTTCTTCTTAGTGTAGATCCTCAGAGTTCCGGATTTAGGGTGAAAACCTCCATTTGAGTATTTTGGTCATCAGGGTCATTGATTACCTATGACCCTGATGAAGGCCGAAGGCTGAAACACGTCAGTCAAATAAAGTTGTTTTCCTGAACTACAAGTGTTCCTGGAGCTCTTTTGATCCCTTCAAGACCTTTTCTCTCCAAGCACCTTGGAAGTTGGTGAAGTTGTGCCAGAACTTTTGCCCCTAGCCTGTTTCTCTGCTACAGGGACAACTGAGGAACTCTGCTTCATGTTGGACAGCAGGTAGGACTCATGTTGGGCACCAAATTATTCTGACTGTGTTTCTTCCTCCAGGGTGGACCATGGTGGAGAGCAGAGGTTAAAACCTGGTGTGAAGAAGTGTAAGTGTGGGATCAATTTGACTCATGATGACCAAACAGCAGACTGTCAGCTAACAAAGAAGAAAGCCTTCAGGTGTGTCTGATAATAACCTACTGCTGTGTTGTGTCTTTTTCTCTCTGTCAGATTTCTGTGAACTCACACTGGACTCAAACACAGCACACAGACAGCTCAGACTGTCTGAAAACAACAGGAATGGGGCATATGTGAAAGAGGATCAGTCATATCCTGATCATCCAGACAGATTTGACTTCTGGGCCCAGCTTCTGTGTAGAGATGGTCTGACTGGTCGCTGTTACTGGGAGGTCGAGTGGAGAGGAGAGGTTGATATATCAGTGAGTCACAGAGGAATCAGAAGGAAAGGACACAGTGAGGACTGTATGTTTGGATGTAGTGATCAGTCCTGGAGTCTGATCTGCTCTGATAGAGGTTACTCTGTCCGTCACAATAACATAGAAACAGACCTCCATCTCCCCTCGTCCTCTGGCTCTGACAGAGTAGCAGTGTATGTGGACTGTTCTGCTGGCACACTGTCCTTCTACAGCGTCTCCTCTGACACGCTGACCCACCTTCACACCTTCAACACCACCTTCACTCAACCTCTCTATCCTGGGTTTAGGTTCTGGTCCTGTTCTTATGGTTCCTCAGTGTGTTTGTGTTCTGTGTAGGAGGGAGAGTCTCCTCCTCTATACACAAACACCACAAACACAAACAGCAGCTGAAGAACAGTTGACCCCCTGTACTAACACAAACTTCAGCTGATTATTGGACTGTTTGTATCCTGTCACGTCAGTCTGACTGTCTGTTATCAAAGAGCAGGAATCCATGTCAAACTGGCTCACTGAACTGGACTGATTTCTGTCTCTATGGAGGAAAAATCCGGCCTCATTCAGCACATTTTTCTTCACTGTATTGATCATAAAGTTTGTCAGAACAGTCAGAGAAACTCTTCTTAACCTGCACAGGTGTTCAGAAAACAGAAATTATTTTTTTAAGGAGCTTTGGATAGAAACAGAAGTTCTGAAATGGGTCTGAAATTATGCAGAGAATTTGTGTCTATTGAGTGTTTCATCGATCCAGGTTGATCTTTATTTATTTATTTATTTTTTAAAATCAGTTGGAACAGCATCAGTTATCAGCCATGAGTTTATTGTAGAGAGGGGATGTGAACTGATTGGCTCATAAACCTTTTTTTTTAGAAATCTCACAGGCAGGATGTTGAGAGCACAGGAGGAGGGTTTCCTTTTATGAATCACTTTAGTGAGGGTAAATATTGAAGCAGAATGAAAAGACTGAAAGACAGCTGTAATTTGAAAGGAAACCATTTGGTTTGGAAGAGGAGGAGGAGTGTCATGTCTGTTAAGTTTTCTTTATTCTGGCACATTAATGTTTCATGTCTAGTCCTTTCTGCTTTGTTTTGAAGTCACTAACAGTTGTCCCTGTTTCAGATGTGTTCCTGCCTGCCCTGCCCCCGTCTTGTCACACCTGCCCCCTGATTGTCTCTCCCCACCTGTTTCCCATAACCCTCATTACCTCTTGTATTTAACCTCATTGTCGTCACAGTCTTCATCTCATCAGGCTACCACAGCCACAGTCTTAGTTTTAGTCGTGCCACAAGACACACAAGCCAAATCTAACAAAGCTTCCTCTCCCCTGACATTTTTTTGGCTACTTTTATAATTTCTGGTGTGAAGGTTTTGCGAAAGGTGGCTGGTGAATGGGGAAAAGCCACCAATCTGTATGTCCCCTGTAGACAGCAATGAAGATCCACCACCCCCAAGACGACCACTCACTCCACCACTAGTCGGGTAACCAAATGGGGGAAAAGGAGATTGTAGAGATTATATATTTGGCATGTCATCTCAGAACACTCAAAAAAAATCGATGCACATTGAAGCAAAGTAAGTTATGACCGTTGTTCTCAAGATTTACCTGCAGCATGTGATCTCACAGCTACAAATGTTATCATTTCCATGCTTAACATTATCTACAAAGATGGAGTACATAATTGCAAGGAGATGGAGGAGGAGGAGGAGAACTTACAGGGCGAGGGTGTTTCATCAAAGGGCATCATATTTAACCTTAACAGCAGGTGGGCCACATGGATAACGCCTCCAACACATGCAACTGCCTTTTAACAATCAACTCTTTTCCTTGACACAGGAACAAATTACACCTGTCCCGTGAGGTAGTCCACGCAGTAACACGCACTGTGGCCTCATTGCGGCTATCCACTGAAAACGTGGTTGATTACGCCATACATTACACCTTCAACAAGACAGCAACGTGTTTTTAACAGTGTCTTCAGCAGTGCTAGGTCAGTCATTGAACGTAACGGAATCCTCAAAATGCGTTTCAGATGTCTGGACTGGTCAGGTGGTTCATTAACATACAGCCCGCAGAGTGTCGCTGCATTCTTTGTGGCATGTTGTGTTTTACACAACATAGCTTTACGCCATGGATGACACTATGACCTCACCGAGGACACATTACTGGACATTAGACAGAGAGAGGCCGAATTGCATGTGCCATGTCAGCAGGGAGAGCAGCAGAGCGCACAAGAGAGGAGGGACCGCCTCGCAGCACAGCTCTACCCTTAAATGTGAGTATTTGCTTTCATTCATTTATACACTTGATTTGTAATTATCCACATTAAAACATCCAATAAATAGTCAAACATGATTGCGTTAACAGGTGTTTTATTGTTCTCCCCTCCCCATTACCCTTCTTCTTCTTTCTTCCTCCTCTTGTGTCTGGACGCTGCGCGCAGTCCGTCAACCCAGGGGGCTGCCCCCATCTTGTGCGCAGCCTCAGCGGCCACCTGGGACAGACGGGGGTGGATGATTGTGCAGATGGCAGCAGCCATTCTGCTACCTGGACCAGTCGATCGAGTGTGGCAACACCAGAGGCTAGGGGGAGCAGGCTGTCCTGGAACATCTCCTGTAGTGACTTCAATTGGGCCTCCAGGGACCCAAGCCTCGCCCCCATCGAACCCAGCTCCCTCTCCAACATGTGAAACCCAGCCCGCTGGATCTACAGGAAGGGAAGGTCCTCCTCCTGGACCTGGATGCGTCTCCGACCCCGTGTTGCTGGCTTGGGTCTGTGTTCTTCCCCCTCCTGCGTCTCCGGCACCGGCTCCCCCTGGTCCTCCTCGCCCTCGTCATCGTTGTCATCGTCGTCATCCTCCTCCTCCTCCTCCTCCCTGACCTCCTGCTCCTGCTGCTGCTCCTCCTCTCAGGTGTGGTGCTGCTGCCGCAACAGTGGCAATTCTGCTGAGGCTGACCAGAAATTTTATTTTCGTTAATGATAGTAATTCATTTTTTTAAATGTAACACAATACTTTCATTCATAATAAAGAAGTTATAAATTGTGTGAGCCAAGTTCATTTCACATGCAAACATTAGCGGAAAGGGAGAAAATACAATCAGGCTTTGTTTGATCCGTCCTTTACGCACAGGTCATTCCGATTTCAATCTCATTACCCAAGGCCCTTTTTTTTTTTAGATCACCTGTGCACACAACACACCTTTGTAACACGTGGTTAAATATACATGATGTTACTGTCTTTATTTGCGGAAAAGAATGTTTGTCTTACTCGTGAGTCCAACCTCAGAGACACCAAACCCCTCAATACTGATTTAGGGGAGTGTGGAGGATGCCATGTCCTCGGCAGGGCTCAGAGACACCATCGATGAGGGGCCGCCTCCGGTCGTTGCTGTCTGGCGACGGTGTTGAGATAATTTTAGTTTAGCCCGTCGTCTAACATCATTGAACCACTTTTTGCATTGCTCAGCACCTCCGGGCAAACTTGGTTGACAGCAGTACTTACCTCCTCCCAGGCTGCTTTTGCATCATTGCCCAGTGGAGATCTGCGTGACCGTATATGCGAGACTGGACCTCCCGGACCAGAACATCAGTTTCCTCCTGGGAGAAGTTCAGCTGTCTCGCACTCGTCTCTTCTACCATCTGCTAGTCTGCTTTATGAAAATGCCAATACGCCTCGCTGACGGCGGATTTAAAGGCGAGGAGAGGAGGTTATTTGATTGGCTCAAATTGGACTCGGCTGTGTTAAACTCACGCCACGCCTTCTCTCCTTCCCGTCTACGACTTACGCCGCTGGGAGGAGCTAAGTTAGGTAGGGGGGATACTTACGCCGGGCTACGCCGCTCACCAAAATACCAAAATGTGCTTGGACACATCTGTGGTGAAGAACGAAAATAGAGCTCAATGACTCTAAGCACTCTGCCAAGCTCTGTCAGGGTTACCTAGACAAAAAAGAATAGGAAGGTGTTCTTCAAAATGGTTTGGCCCCCTCCATCTCCAGACCTTTCTCCAATTGAGCTTGTGCGGGATGAATTGGATCGATCAGTCAGAAAAACGCATTCTACGAATCAGCAGTCTCTTTTTAATGAACTTAAGAAAGCTTGTGTGTCAATCCACACAGAGAAGATCGTCCTAGACAGGAAGCCAAGCACAAAAACCGCACATGTCATCTGGTATTTCAAAATAAAACACCATATGCGGACTACCGACTGTGTATCAGTTTATGTAGATGAGAAATACTTCCTGGTATGGATTTATCAGTAACACAGAACAATCCCTGATCCATGTGGACCCCAACAGGACTTTTAACTGCTAACTCTGTCTGAAGGTGACAGCACAGCATAAAGAAACATAGTTTACCTTATTAAACACGAGTACACCAGCAAAAAAACGAAACTGTAAAATCACGTTGCTTTTTCACATACAGTAGAGGCTCAACGGTCACTGAATAATAACCAAATTAGCAGGAAATAGACCACAGAAAGGCAAAACAACCTGTTGTGAGCATGTTGTTTCCTCTATACTGAGCCCAGCTGACCGGGGCTGCACTACGCTGTTGCTACGCTCCAAATACACATCCTGTATGCAATACCCAATGCTGCTCTATGAAGCAAATATGGAATGCGCACAATACTGATCCTGTACGCTTTCGGGACAAGGACAAGAGGGATTCAGCACCATGACAGGAGTGCAGAAGTTAAAGTTAAGGTCCTTTTTTTTTTTTTTTTTTTACAGTAACTGTCCTTTCTTAACATTAGGAAATATGTCCCCTTGAATGTATTGTGTACTCTTTTGAAAAATATTTGAAGAAATTGACAAGGGCCAGTTATGGGTGTCCATTTCTGTTCCTTGTCAGTCAAAAAAAGGAGAAGTTGTAATTGTGACCAAAAAAAAGTCAAAACAGAGATAAAGTTACAAGATGAAGTGTCAAAATTATGAGATAAAAAGTCAAAAGTATGAGATAAAATTAAAAAACTAGTGATAAAATGCCAAAACTATGAGAACACAGGGGGATTAAACACACAGACAATCAAGGGAGAACGAGACACAGGTGAGGATAATCAGGGAGGAGCAGACACATGAGGCAGGAACATGAGGAGGGGGGATCTGAAAAGACAGAGACAGAGTGAGTGAATTCACAGAAAATAAACCAGGAAATGATCATCAACAGTTCAAAGAAACAAAAACATGACCTAATTCAGGGACTGACTGTGACACACAGCTTTTCCCAGACTTACCACAACACTCTCAGTTCCTCTTAACTCCGAAACATTCGAGTCCCACATTGCATCAGCTGGCATGGAGTCGAGGTCAATTGTACCATCGCTGTCAGTGGAGCGTTCCTCCACTTCCTGAAACCAACATTGCGCAGAAGCGTTGTACACACTCCACCACTTGCGCAGTAGCATTGTACACATTCAGTGGGAGAGTCACAGAGAGTTGCTGTGATAACGCCCGGCTCAAACAGTATATCTCCCAGGTGAACTGCACAATCTTTGGACGCCCATAGGCTGTATCAAGTGTCAATCATAGAAAACATGAACCCCCTAATAACTTTTAAAAATGGAGCTGCACAGAAAAAAAGACAACTTGAGCAGAAACCAGTCTTACAGTAACTACATGTCAACATCCCAAGAAGGGGGCAGAGAAATTGATTTATTATTAAGTTTGTCCACAGCCCCATAGGGATTGCTGGAAGAGGTGGGATTTATAACCTATACTGCAGCCTGTCACCAGAGGGTGCTGTTCTCGTGGTGGCTTCACCCAGCAAGGAGGCAGATGGAATCCTTTCTATATACAGTCTTTGGATTTAATACAAGAGTTAATGAGGGTAACAAGTGACAATGAACAATCAGGAGGCAGGTGTGACAAGACAAGAAGACAGAAATCAAATTTAAAGAGTTTTCATTGTTGTCATGATAACAAGAATGATTATTCAACCTCCTTCTGCTTACTGCACATCCATATTTAAAGAGGTAGAAAGAAAAAAGTTTAATCCCACTCATTTTTTTTTTTTGTGTGACTCTTTTGTGTCTCAGTCAGAATAACTTTAAAGCAGATAGCATGTTTGAAATGTAGATGAATAATTTTTTAAAGAAATGTTATGTTAAAAAAAAAAAGGTTGTGAAAAAATATTAACTGTATTTTTAGTCCAGATAATGCAAAGATTTAAAGGTCCAACATAGTGGTCTTTGCGTAAGCTTGTGCGGTTTGACTTTCTACATCAGCGCTCTCCCTGTCTGCAGTGTTTCCAACCTCCCATTGGCTTTTAAAATGCAAGTTGTGCTCTGGTGCCATAACGTGACTGCTTGGGATACGAGAAGCTGCTAAACTGCCAGACAGCAGCAACATCAGGGTGGTTGTCAGAGTAGCTGCCCAACTGCAAGCTGGAAGACTAACCTGAGGACAGACAAAAATACCTTAATATCAGGAGAGACAGTAAAAAGTCAACAATTTTGGTGCATATTAAGACCATATAAATACACTTTATTTCTTTGTTTCAATTAAAAACTAGGCACTTACTTTTATACTTTATACCTCACTTTAGTCAACTACAAGTTTTCTAAAGTTTTAATTAATACTAGCACTAAATACAAAGATTCATACTTAAGTTTAAAGTCTCTTACAAACATTAATAAATAACTGAGTTTCCACATACTTATCAAAAATAAAATGTAGTTACATGTGCTTGTCATAAATATATTAATTTCTTTTCTGGAAGACGCACGTTCACATTTCAGTGATCATTAATCTTTGCGGTTGGCTTTTTTGTTGTAAATTTATGACTTTATTCTTGTAATATTGTTACTTTATTATTGTAAAATTAAGACTTCATTTTGGAAGTCTGTAAAAAAAAATTTTTCTCAATGTGGCCCTAAAACTCTGTCATTTACAATCACTACATGCTATTGTTTGGATTTCTCCCCCAACAGCGTCCTACTAATTGTGTCCTCTCCTTCTTCTTCTGCCCGGTTTTCCAACGGTTGGTATCTGTATGCACTACACTGTCACCATCTACTGGTCAGTATGAGCAATATTTTTGTCAGTGACAACTTCTGCTAATCCAAAACAAATATAAGGGCCATTTTTTGATTTTTGTCTCAGGCTATATTCTATTTTCTTTTTAGAAATAAAAATTAAAAATCAAACTGTGATTTGACTTTGCCTCACTCCTTCCAGACAACAAAAAAGGAAATCAAGCTGTATCTCAAGTCAGGTGTATTTATTTTAAAACAAAAATCAAAAAAACAGTTGTTTTATTATTTTTGGAATCTGTTTCAAAATGTCATATTCAATTTCCAAAAGACACATGGACTGAAAACCTTTTTCCAATTTTATTTTATTTTTTATTTTTTTGCAAAACCACATGGAAACATTATAGTTCCTTTAAACTTGATATTAAGTTTCCATTTGTAGGCCTAATGTGTTTAACAATTATGTGATCTTGATGAAAGGAAAGTGTTTCTGTCACAAAAATTGTGGGGTGTGTAATACTTACAAATCCTAGCAGGTTACTCAGAGCAATATCGGTATAAGCAGAGAGGAAAGCTGTAAGCAAAGAAGAAATTGTAAGGCCAAAGATTAAACTATGTTTCTCCATTACACTTGTTCAGTTACTTTATCTGATACAGGGCTGCAGTTGGTGTTGCAAGAATTTAGTAACAATTTCTCTTAGGATCAACCACTATATTTGACTGGCCGTTGCATACTCAAGGTGATTTGAAGTGGGAGGTACTAGTTTTATCAATAGTGACTATGCAACATACAGCAACATTAAAGCTAGCAGAATATGGAAGAGAGCCATCTACTACTAAAGGATCACCACAAGTATTTATTTTAGCTATTCAAAAACCTTTTGAAGTTTGACAGAATACTATATTTAAGAAGATTTTCTTAGACATCTTATTGGTACTATGTTATAGGTAACCCAACAGCTCTGCGGGTTACAAACTAGCAAAAGCAACAACAACTAAATTGTTTTGTTTCTGTTTGCACAACACAGGTTTTGTTGAGGTTAAATAAATTTGACATTTTTCCAACACTGTTATCATGCTCACCAGTGGAGACATGCACAGATAGCATCAAGAGTGAGAGTGTATGTACGTGTGGGTTTATGTGTTACCACTGGCAATGGCGAAGAGATGAGTCCTCCAGCTAAAGGTGAAGAAGACTCCTCCAACAGCCATGCAGCCCAAGGCGCCATTAAACCCTGCTAGACCTGAGTACAGAAAATCATGACGCACTGCCATGGACAAACCTGTCAGAGAGTTAGAGAAAGTTCAACAAATTAGATTATTCATACTAAACTAAAGAGTATTGCTCAGCTGTTGATGAGGGGGAAAAAAAATACATGGCTGTTATAGAAATATCCATGTGGTGGTGCTAGACACATACTGAACAGCCACCACTGGTTGTATTAAAAAAATCCATAAAGCTCAAAAGCGTATATCTCTGCATTTTTCATCCATATGTAATGGGAATTTCAATTTATGACCCTTTTCATACTGTCCAAAAACATAAAAAAATTACAGGCCTGGTGAAAAAGGGAATTAATTTGGAGTCTCTCAAGATTTCAAGCACCTTTCTCACCTTTGTGCAAAAGGCTGAATTTCTTTTTGAATTCTTGCAGAAAGAAGAACTACAACAGGTCCATATTTGCCTTTGTAGATTTGGGGTCAAGCAGGACTTCAGCAGGAAACCTCAAAATAATACCACAACACCACAAACTGCTCTGTGCACTAATAGAAGAGTTTATTCCATGTGGGGAAAAAATGGATTGTGTAAGTAATGCCTTTCCGGATGCATGCATTACTTAAACAATCTATGAACCCAAACACATTTTGAGCTCATCAAATACTCATACATATGCAGAAGTTTTATACATTTAAAATTTTGTCCTGGTTCTTGGTCTCTAAGCTCAACCATTGCTTGTCTAAACTTTACTCTATTCCTCATCACCCTCAATCTAATCAGGGATCTCAGAAATGAGGCATTGCAAAAGGACTCACCAGACAGGATTCCAACAGCTGAACCCAGTAAAGCATGAAGGGCCAGCAGGGGGGAATACAGGAGAATGGCTCCCAGGATTAGGGTGGAGGGCCCAAAAGATGCACAGGCAAAGATCTGACCCACACCAAGAGGTATGCCAAGAATTAGCTGCATGAAGAAAGGATTGGAGAAGTTATAAAGAGTTTGCACTATGCAGAAAGGTATCTCATGAAAACATACTGGCAGTAAGTGCAGTTTATGAACATGAGTGTGCGTTCATGTGTGTGTGAATGGAGGGGGCATTTTGGAGCATCATTGTTACACGCTTTTAATTGAGTATTGATTGACTATAAAAAATTATAATAATAAAAAACGTATTTAAAGGGTCCTTGTTTAGTCCAGAGGGCAAAGTGCATGTGCTATCGTACCACCTAGTATCTATCTGTGCAACCCAATGCTAGAAAACCAGTTGTCTGTCACTGAGCCATTCTCGAAACAAGAGCCACCTGCACTGTTGCTCAGATAAGGCTGTCATGCATCCCACCAGACCACCAAGCCACTGTGTTTGATTACTATTAAACAGAGTAGTTTCGAACCCATTTTGCATTTTAAACCAATTGGAAGCTCAAATCTGCTTGTTACCAAATTTCGCTTTAAGTCATACATATCAATTTTTGGGTCAATTATGTGCTTAAAAAAGTACTCACTCCTCTTTATTTATGAGTATTCTTCTGTTAGCCAACACATGTGGTCGAAGGCAGGTGCAGATTTCGTTAGTAGCTAAGATCAAATTGAAGCTAATATATTTACGAATGCTGGATCACCAAAGTCGTCATGCTCACGTTTCATGAATGAATCCAAATGCAGAAACACAGTAACACATACACACACTGCTTTCCAAGCAGTCAGTGTGAAGGGGAAAGGTTTCCATGGCGACGTGACTGGTGCACCTGCCTACTGCTGAAATTTACTACTGACAAATGGTATTTAAGCGTACTGCTTCCGCACAAATCTTCGGATGTACATGCTGTAAGGGTGTGTGCATGTAAACAGCTGTGATGCAGCCAAAACGCTACCAAAAGTGGAAGCTGGAGACATTAAAATATAAATAGGACAGACGTCATCGCTATCTCTGGAGAGGAGTAGAGGAAAGATTAAAAGGGGGGTGGGGGGCAAAGAATGAATAAAGAAGGACAACACAGTTAAAAAAACACACTGGACTGAGGAATGAAAAAATACAAGAATACATTGAGGAAGTGGATTTGTTAAAAATGGAAAGAGGACAAAGGAGAAACTTCAGACAACATCAGTCAATCCTCTTCTCTGTTTAATCCCAAGGCAGAGGCCTATTTATATAATCAATACAACAATAAATCTTTTTTTTTTCATAATGCTGTGGATCACAAGGAATTATCTCTAGGCAGTAAGTATAAAGATGAGGTCAATACTCAAATTCAACATTTCACTTGTTTAAATTTTCAGAAAAGTGACCTGGACTCGTTTTTAATAGTTTTGTGAAGATGGAATGAGATTATCCACTTGTCTCCAGTATTATGTTGATTAGTACAAGTTACAAGCAAGTACAAACGACAAAACAGGCCTGTTTGTAAATGAACTCATGGAGATTTACATTAAGTCAGTCTTTCATGGAATCATGTTGAAATGGCCAACTGCAGGAGTGATCAAGACTCTGAACTCTTTCGTCAAGGTTTTCCTACAAGTTTAGTGGATGTATTCATTAGCATTCACCACTAGTCTCTCCCTCTCATTATGCAACAGCTTGCATGTTAAGTAACCGGTTTTCACTAAGAAAAAGAGGTTTATTGGTTGGGTCTTTTTCCTGGCAGTACAAAAGTTAAGCAGCTATAAATTACTGCTTTATTTCCAGGATAAGACACAATGTATACCCAGTGACCCAGTAAACCATTTCCATCACAAACCTATATGTTTCAGTATTTTACAGAAACCTCCCAAAGTAATTTAAAGCAACAGTCACATCTCTGTTGAGTTTCAATCACTTCGAATTGTCAACTGAAATAGTAAATGTTATTATAATGATTATTTCTAAACAGGTGCTCTAGTAAGAACTGTTGCAATCGAATAGATGAGTCACAAGAGGCTCAAGTGAGAGATATCATTGTGTTGGTATCAGTTCCTTTGTTGTAAACACTACAAGTCAGAAAAACAAAAGATAAAATCGGCCTAAATCCAACATATCTTAGTCCCCCCAAAACAATTTTAACTTATTTTATATATTTTTTATGTAAGCCAAGTTTCCAGTAAAAGCTATCATTTCAATTTTAACTCCCAGTGTTACAGTGAATTATAAAAACTCACCGGGAGAAATTAGTGCTACATCGGTTACTTCCATTAAATAATTAAGGGCGTCACATGAAAAAATCAAATTCGCTGACAACAGACATAGTTTGCTATTATCGAATCCTTCATTTCCTCTTCTAGTTCACATGTTTTCCAATCATTTGATTGCCTTACCTCCATCACAACTAGCTTGGTGCCATTGGGATCCGGCAGCCCCGGGGGCACAGCTGGGTGGTGCGGGAAATAGGGGTTATCTGGGCCGGCACAAAGAAGGTAGAGGACAATAACAGTGTTGAAAGGAAACACAGAGGCCGGCAAATCCCAGCGGTCCAACACTGAAGATAGAGCACTGTAGAGAAAGACACTGGAGAAGAGGTTGGGGTGTCAAAGAATTACCTTATTTACTTTATTACAAAATTATTAAATAAATGCCCAAATGTTGTTTCACCCCAAATAACCCCTGAAAATCTGTCGCATTTTAACTTTTTGTTTTTCCTGGTATTAGGAAGTTATTAGGATCTAAAACTACTGAGTACCAGCTGTACCAAAAGTACCAACTGAGTGCTTCTGACTTGTTCTGACCTCAACTTGGGACTCAGCCAAGCACCTGCGGGCTGCCACTTTCTGACCAGAGATCAGCACAGCTTCGGTCCACCATTAGTGTGAATTAAAAGTGCCACAGCTGACATCTGGACAGCTAACAACAAAAGTTTTGTGGGTGTGACCGTTTATCCAATCAGAAGTCCAACTCTGGAGCACAACAAGGCTATGTAAAAGAATCAGAGGCAGGCACACATTTGATTTATTATTGGCACAGAGTTAGAAAAGATTCATTACTGTTACAGACAACACGTCAAATTTTGCCGAAGCACTTTAAATGTACCAGCCAGTCAATACGATTTAGACAGGATTTAGATCACTGATTTAGACATGGAAGAGACAAAAACTGGGATGTCACTTTTACTGAGCTCACTGCTGATTGTGATGGCCAGTTTACTCTTCCCCCACTTTACCAGTGCGCATCTCATACAATTAACCTCATTTCCACAGAAACTAAGGCTGTGTATAGGAGTAGTATAGCAAAATGCACAGCTCTGTGGACCAAGGCAAGTCTATCCACAGTTGCATCAGAGCAGGTGAAGGAAGTGAGCTTCAATCATTTTACAACGCATTTTACAAGGATACAGAGGTTTCCAGAACCACAGAAATTCCCATTAATGCCTGAAACTGGGAATTAAGTGCATCAATGCCAAGGAGTACAAATTCCTGCGAAAGCACTACAGTGTTTTGAAGCCACTTAGAGTGTTGGACATCCTAACTGCGCAGGTATGGCTAAGCTCTTAATGTCTTTATTTTAAAACAAACTAAATGTATGATAGTGATCCCACACCACAAGAAATAGCCGACATTAAAATAATTAAAAATTGAAGCACAACAGTTTTACATTTATTAGAAATAGATGGAATTGTATGTTTCAGCCCATTCAGGCGGGTTTTGCTGGTGTACCAGATAGCAGAGATGCACTTCTTGTTGCTTCCAGTTGTCTGCAGTTTAAACTTTGATGGCTGAAAGACGAGGACAGGAAAGAGTATGTGAAGGAGCTTCTGACAGCAGAGTGTCACTCAACTACGCCCACAGAGGACCCTGCAGCTGCCTCAACAGCATCTGCCTGCACTGATGAAATTGACGTTTTTGTATTTGAGAGAGAGCCCAAGGACAGCTACTCTGCAGAGAAAGAAGTAATGGACTACTTGAGGTTATGAGGCTGAGATTCTGAACCAATTCTTAACCTCTAAAACATTTACATGAAGTTCAACCTCTTTAGTTTGGGAGGTATGGTGCTCTGACTGTCAAATAGGAGGTTTGAGAAGCTTCTGCTTATGAGATACAACCACGGTCTCACTTCTTTTTTTTAAACATCTTTTTTATTTCATATTGATATAACAACCAAAAATGAAAATTGTCCGCTTTTTTTTCTTTTTTTTTTCTTTTTTTTTTCCTTTTAAACACATAGTTTCCCACCCTCCCCGTCACTCCCCAGAGACACAAAAACAGAAAGAAAAAAAAAAATAATAAATATATATACAGTACAGGCCAAAAGTTTGGACACACCTTCTCATTCAATGCATTTTCTTTGTTTTCATTACTATTTAAATTGTAGATTCTCAAAACTATGAATGAACACATGTGGAATCATGTGCTTAAGAAAAAAGTGTGAAATAACTGAAAACATGTTTTATATTTTAGATTTCTCAAAGTAGCCACCCTTTGCTTTTTTGATAGCGCTGCAAACTTTAGCTGTTCTCTCAATGAGCTTCATGAGGTAGTCACCTGAGATGGTTTTTACTTCACAGGAGTGCCTGAAGTAACCCTGACAAGGTACTTCTGTCATCAAAACCAAAGGATGGCTATTTTAAAGAAACTAGAATATAAAACATTTTTTCGGTTATTTCATACTTTTTTTATAAGTACAAAATTCTACATGTGTTCATTCATAGTTTTGATGCCTTCAGTGATCATCTACAATGTAAATATTCATATAAAAAAATAAAGAAAAGACATTGAATGAGAAGGTGTGTCCAAACTTTTGGCCTGTACTGTATATATATAAAATAAAATAAAATAAAATAAACATATCTACATACCAACAAATAAAGAGCACAGAATCAGACATGCACCTTACAAAGAAACAAAACAAAAAAAGTAAGCAAACAAACAAGCTAATAAAAAAAAGAAAAAAGCAGCAACAATAACAACAATGAACTCTATCCAGGTGTGCATACATACAGGTCACACATGTGAACATATCCATATACATGCTCGTACAAATACATACCTGCTTCACCACAAATAGTCAACAGTCCTTGCTAAAGAAATTCTCCAATTCTGAAAATAATGGAGTCCAAAAATCTTGGAAGATATGAGTCCTATTGTGTTTTTCGGGGGTTAACTTTTCTAATGGTAAAAATGCTGACATCTGATCCAAAGAGCTCGAAAGTTGGCAGGAAATCATCTTTCCAGTGTAAAAGTATACATTTCTTCGTGAAATATGTCATTATAATTAGTAACTATAACTACTATAATTAGTATAATAAGTAAGAATTATAATTACGGTCTCACCTCTGAACAGTAATGCCCTGCTAAGTCTGAATTTTTATTCAGCTTAAGTACCAGTATATGCAAACTGTGTCCAGTCAGTTGTGTCACAAGGCAGTGTTTGCAGTTTGGCTGATTGTTGACCCGTGCAGGGTTAAGTACTGTTTAGATAAAGTCGGTTGACTTCCAAAAGGACAAAGCAAGTTGTCGATAATTATGGGGCAGAAAAAAATTAATGTATAACTTAAAGGTAAAGTAACAAATTACTTTTTAAACAGAGTAATAAGTAAAAAGTAACTTATTACTGTTTCTGAGAAACTTGTTCAACACTACATTTTAGGAAAGCAGTGCCCTTTTCAAAGGTAGCTGTGCTCTGACCCTATTGTTTTGTTTGTTGTCTGTTGTCATCTGTTGAGTATTATATCTTGCCCTATGTTGTACTGTAATTCTGTAAAACAAATTGGAGTTCATTTTTGCAATCTGATTTGATTTTCATCATGATCTGCTTCCAGCGATTAAGTGGGTTAATTGTGTATCATCTAATGACTGCTTGTATGCGTGTTCATGTTGCATCCATGTGTCTTTTTCTTACCATGTAGCTGACCCAGCGCAGACAGGTAGCAGCAGCCACCAGTACCAGTCTTCAGCAGAGCTAAATATTCCCATCAGCAGTGACACCAACATGCCGTTAAAACCATGGAGACCTCCTGCTATCTCAGCACTGCAAATATGCACACACAGAGCAGCAAGAAACATGGATTATAAATACAGCTTGTATTTTTTTCTTATAGTCTGTATTTTGGAGTACAGTTAAAGGGCATAACTACAGTCCTCAGGGTGACACAAAACATGTAAACAAATCAAGTATTAAAACAAAGTGCACCATTTTAGTTGAAGTTGTGTACAAAAGTTGCCTCTAAAAGTTTTCACAGCGTGTTTTAAGATTTTTTTTATGTTATTTATCTGTAGTATAGTTTGAAAGTGCATTATTATTATGTATTTTAAAATGAATGAGAGTTTCACATAGATATCTATGTGTATTTTTTGTAAAACGTTGTATTATTCCACCTGTCTTGCCCTAGGATAACAGCTGTTAGAGTAGAGGCCAGTACACCTAGAGTTCCCAGCAAGCCCTGCCAGGGGGAGTCCCAGTACAGGGCGACCAAGATCAGAGCACCGCTCAGCGGGTTGTTAGCCAGAGTCACTCTGGTCACCCCTCTCAGACACCACACCACCAGCTGCAGAAAAATAAACTTGTCTAAGGACACAGAGATAAAACATTTGGCTCAGTTTCCTTGACTACAATTCTTCTCAAAAACTTTTCCTCAAAAGAAAAAAAGAAAAAAAAAAAGGTAAACTCAACATCCTTAGTCAGATCTCTCGTTGTCATTTTTAATGAAAGTTACACCTTAAGTTTTTTCGGTATGTTTCATGTAAGGGGAAGGTTACACAGCCTAATATCTGTAATAATGAAATAAGCATTAGTTTACTGTATGAGTAGTTCATCACTCACAAATATTTTCTTACAGGGTGACGATGAAGAAAATTTTTTAGGATTATTCACAAGATGAGAATGTTCAGATTTGACATTTTGAAATACATCAAAAAAAAAAACAAACATAAAATACTAATCTATTAATTGTTCAAAAGTGTATGGTAAAACAGTTCCTACCCTGCATATACTTATCCATGTGCTCCATGTCCCCAGTAAACAACGAGAGAACTTTCAGCACTCGCTGACTGAAGATGAAATGTCTCTCGCTGGCCTCGACCATTCTTGTTTGTTTTTATCCACATCTGTTGGACAAGAAATAGTTCTCCTGAAAAAGCACTAGGTTCCACTGTACTTTATTGCTTCTTCTCCTCTTCAAGTCTTTTTCATTCCCCCTCTGATTTTCAGTCTCTCCCTTTTCCTCTTCGGGAGGGGTTGGGGTTTTATGGCGCTGACTTTGTTTGATTGGGTGACATATTCACTCCATGTCAGAGCAGCCATAGGGTAGAAAAGAGTTAAACAATATCCCCTCTAGTTAATGAGAAACATAAACTTAAACATATATTTGTCTTGCTCACGAAAGAAAACAAGCTAGCAAGAAAGTAAAAGAGAAACAAGTGTAGCAGAGAGGATCTGGATTCAGAGGCTGCAATCTGTGCAGCCTCTCCAGAAAGTAGGTCAACTCCTCCCCTTTCCCCTTTCCCCATCCCCCTTAATTGACAGAGCCTATTTAAGGCACCTGTGGAAGAAGAACTGCCTTCTTTTATATCTCAGAGATATATAACAAGGGAGGCCATGGGTACCATGGGAGGTCATGGGAGGGAATGAAAAAGCTGACAGATTGGCGAAAGAAGTATTGAAAAAAGGTCAGGTCGAGATGCTTAGCAGTACTTCTGAATCAGAATTGAAGAGGATAATCAAGGAGAAAATGTTTCACATGATACAGAGAGCAAAGGAAGGCACTTATACCGAGTTCAAAAGAGTGTAAAAGGTTGAAGTGAAGGAGGAAGAAATGGAAGTGAAGAGGTTGTACTAATAAGGCTGAGATTAGGGTATTTTTCTTAAAATAAAACATTGGAATTAGTCGGTGAACATGATACTGGGTTATGTGAAAGGTGTCAGGAAACAGAGATGGTAGAGCATGTTAAGATGTGGTGTTGGAGGTATGAGGAACAAAGAGGTGTGATGAGGAACAGGTTGAGGGGATGTGGGGTGAAGAAAAAAACACCGGGGGGTTTATTGAACATGGAAGATAGGATAGAGGGAAAGATGCTGCTAAGAGATTTATTACAGGATTAAGGAAGTTGGTTAGTTAGGGTAGTGCAAGGGTCACGTTTATTCATTTTTTTTCCCCATTATTAATTTTATTGTTTAGTTTTTTGTTTTTGAATATGGAACTGCAGTCATTGTCAAAGCCATTACTGCCACCTCTGAAAACTAAAGGTGTCAGCCAAGAAGAAGAAGAAGAAGAAGAAGGAGAAGACAAGCTGCCTTTTCTTCTTTGTCTGTGCCTGGTGACTGCCACGTGGTCTGAACTGAGGGAGGTAATTTTGCTTGAGCATATTAATCTAAAAATTTACCTTTTCATTAGCAGCAGAATTGTATTTGTTTTTAAATAGTCTCCTTCCTGTTTGCACTCTATTACCTGGTTATCTTGGTGTCCATTGATTTGAGGTTAAACACATCTCATTTCTTACTTAAACTTAACATTTGTATTTGTATTTTTCATAGTGGTGTAAAGCATGCTAGAGGATCTCTGTGTAAATGTATCCGTACAGGCAGCACTTACAAGCGCACACTATTTCCTCTTCTTAAGGTAATAGATTAAGAAAGACTGAGGTTATTGCAGCACAGTCGGCCCTATAAAAATATTTTAATCTTATTTTATTAATCCTGAAATCTAAATCTGAATTGCTTCTGGTTGTAATAATATCATCGCAGAACGATTAGAGAGAAATTCTAATTCCAGAACCCATGAAATGAGAACATTAAAAGTTTTTCTTTTCAATACTTGCCAATATTTTATATTAAGATACATACATTTACAATTTAGCTGTCTTTGTGCTCACAAAAGGGGGAAAAAACAGCACAGAAAACATGTGGCATTGCTTCTGAGCTCACAAACGCATATGCACATATGCATCCATACGCCTAGTTGCATCACAGCAAGCACTTCCACGCACACACGCACGCAGGCACACACAACACACACATACATACACTTACCTCGCTTTCCTCAATTTAATCTACTTTTCATTTTATTTCCTTAAACCAACTAACTGAGACTTCCCTTAAACTAATGGTATTAAAAAACAGTAAAAGAAGTTTTAAACAAGAAAATACAAATTTATAACTTAAGACATTCTCCTCATTTATGACATCTCACATTGATGTAATAAAATTATTAAGACATTTTTACAACATTGTAATGATATGGTTCATTTTGGTTTCCATGTATATGGTTACTATTCATCGAAGCAAGAGCTAAAAAAGAGATGAAAAGGCAGAGTTAGAAGAGAAGAAAACCATAGCTGCGCACAATCTCCATGACGATTGATCCTTTTATAAGCAGAAATGATGTTGTTTGTTACCAGATGGTTTTCAGTGACAGTGAAAGCCAGAGGGTTCCATTTGTCATGCAAAACTGTCCACGGTGAACCCCAGTAATGCAAAGATAAAGTGTTGAAAGACATGAGATCTTAAATGCCCCACCTAACACACACACACTCACACACACATACACACACAGAGGCACACAGCTTCAATCAAACTCCTCTCTGTTTACCATCTGTCCTTACTTAAAGAGTACTGAGGAACTTTTACAATAAATCTCACACATTCTTGTTCCAGTCAAGATTTGAACAGATCAGTAATAATAAAGAAACTGGATGACAGTAAATGGTTTTAATCTGCTGACAAGACGTGCCACTTGGCAATCTGGCGACGTGGATGCTCGCAGATCTCCCTCCAGTGCTCGCCAGGGGTGCCCACTACTGATGAGCCCAGGACCAGGCGCCCCAGGTTGGTGTTAGAAGAGCGTGAGTTGCCTGTGTCAGAGTCCATCAACAGCAGCTCCACACTGGTGTTCATCAGGCCCTCATCAGAAGGCAGGTCAAAGACAAAGAGCTCGTTGAAAACCGGATTAGGGGAGCACTTCTTCACATGAGTCTTTTTCTTGCACACGCGTTTCTTCCCATGGTACATGTTGACCTTGACGTAGGGATCTTAAATTAAGAAGGACAATAACAGACAATGAAAGTAAGGAACTAATCAATGCTGAATATCCATCCTTACAGTGGTTACAGAGTGGTTTATTATTCCTACAGTCGATCAATACAGAAACTTTCAAAGCAGAAATGAGGATGTTAGAGATAAGAAGTGTTGTTGTGTATGTTGTGGGTGTGTGAGAGAGTGAGAAAGAAAGAGAGGGCGAAGGGGAAAGAGTGTGTATGTGTGTGTAGATGTGTGTTCGTAAGTGCTTGTCACTAAGTGCTCTCTTTCATATCCTGCTCAGATTACTCCAGTGCAGTGGCTGAGTCATTCAGTACATTTCATATCGTTAGAAAAATTGATTTTCTGACTTTGTCGACCTGAAACTGGACTTTAAATATACATGTTAACATGATAGTCCGATGTGAAATGGCACTAAATAAAACCTCTGGATAATGCAGTACGGGATCAATTTTCTCTTTCATGTATATGCCCTTTAGAGTTTGCACACTGGGCTTTAACTCCGACATTTAATAAAGATGGATTACTAGGAAGTCAGGTAGTACAAAACCTTAACTAAAGAAGAAGGAGTAAAGTTCACAGTTTTGCCATCATTCAGCCCATTAGACATTTACTTCTTTCCCAGTGTTTGTAAACGAGGATGAATTAAATATCCTAAGTGAGCTTTTACCATTTTACCATAAATGATTGAGTTAAATACCATAGGCTCCAAGTTAGTTTGTCTGTTTTGGTCTATGCATTCGTGTTTGTCTTTATAAGCATGCATCTTATTGATCGAGATTAAGTACCTGTAGGCCCATTGTTCTCAGTCTTTGGCAGGTGACGAGCTTTTAGCACAACCACAGTCAGAGTATTGGTGGTAGACTGATAACACAGGGACAGCAGTAACTCTCCACGGCCTGTTGACTTCTGTGAAGAGACAGTGATAAAGATGAGCGACAGGGTAAAAGGAATAAAACACCAGAAGTGGCCATGGTAGAGAGGAGATAGACTTTCTGACGAGTTTATCAGCTTCTAACAAGATATTCAATGGCAATAAAACATTGTAAGGCTGAGTGCCTCAAAAATAGAGGCTACAGTCCTTGCTACAGCGATCACTGGTTCAATTTCCTTGCCTTTAAAACCTGATTTGATGTAATGTTGCAGCTCACTTGGTTGCTATGGCATTTGCAACAGTCCTTGAAAACAAGGCTGTGTATGTAGTCTTCCCTCTGGGGACACTGGATGTATTACATAAAGCAAGTGACAGCACAAGAGTTTTTTTTTTTCTTCTTTTGTTTTCATTTGCTTTAAAGGATTCTTTTTTCTGTCTTTGTGGTCTTCCATAATTGGGGTGAAATCTATACTGTACTGACACGCTGAATCAATTTCATAAACTGGTGATGACTCACAGATATATACACATGTGCACATATCTGAACGGCAAAGGACAAAAAAAGCTTTCTAAAGGCTGTTTATATCAGATGACTCAGTGTAACTCATAGAGAAAGAACCTTTCTAAAAACCTTGCATGAATTGTTTCTTTTGGGAAACATAGGACTTAACTATTTTTGACATTCACACTTTTTTGCAATTTGTAAAGCCCTGTTGTTGGTGCTTTAAAAAAAGATATTTGTCAATTAAATTAGTTTCTGGTTCTTCAATTTCATCTTAAAGTACAAGGACAGAAAAGCAGTACAACAGAATCTAGGTTTCAGTTATCAATCCTTCTCTTAATGGTAAGACCGTAAATATTATTCTATTCAACCTGATGGGCACATAGCTTTTAATTCACATCGAAAACAAATTCAAGTAGATGAAGTGGTTTAAACCTTTTTTTTACCTCTAAGAGAGTTTGAGAAGAAAGATTATGTAACTGTTAAAACCATCGATTCAATAACTAATTGGATATCAACTATTGAGGATTAATTATTCATTAACGGACCCGTAATGATGAAGCAGATCTGATGAGTCATTTTTGAGAGGGTTAATAAAATTGCTCCGGATCTTACCTTGACATTCCTCTTGATAATGTCACGGCTCATCAGGACTCGCCCCTCTGATAAATCAATCCCGGACAAGGGTACAAGGGTCTCTCCGATGACCTCATCGCGGCTGAACCTATCGAAGCTCAATACCACGAAATGAAGGGCCAACTCAGACACTCTAGCGAGCGGGATCCCGTAGAAGCTAAAGGTCTCATCAAAGGCGGGGTCCAGCGTCTTCCTCAGAACTCTGGTCTTCACTCTGTGCTTTTTCTCCGGCAGCAGCGTGAGCTTGATGTAAGGGTCAGAGGTCAGCGACTGATCGTCAGTTGGTGTAAGGCCATGGGCTTCCTGGATCAAAATCAGTTGACATTGTGTGAGACTTTTTTTAGGTTACAATAATTTTATAGACAACTGTGCACAATACACATACTCTACCTTAATATGGACGACAAATGCCTTTTTCTCTGGCTGGTATTCCAGAGAAAAATGGAGAGTTCCCAGCCCACTCTCTTTTTCCTCTCCCTGGGGCTTGTCAACAGCTGGGGTAGGTGCCTGACTTGAAAGGGTGCTCTGTGGTGAAGGGAGGTCGTGGTGATCAATCATCCCAGGTTGGGTGAACCCTGCATGTGGATAGGGCAGTTCCAAGTCTGGGGAGCTCCGCACCTTCTGATGGTGATGATGGAACGGTTTGGTTGTGAAGTTGCCATTCAGATCTCGTTTCTCCAGATCCAGGTGCAGAACCCCTCTTGAATCATTTGGACTTGCAGCCAGTTTTTCAGTACCAGCAGAACTCATTAGCGATGCAGTGTGGCAGTTTCCATTAACATCCGTTTTGTTGCTGTCATTAGCTGTCGCAGAAGCAGGTGCGGCGAACGTTTTCTTGCCGCTGAGGCTCTCTGGGTAGATATCAACCCCTTTAAGCATGTGCACAAACTTATAAGGAGGCGTCTTCTGAGATTTGGTGTTTTTGCGCTGGCAACAAATCCATGCAAAGGCTGACACAGTAAAGACAAGGCCAAAGACACTCATCACTGCGACACCAACTGGTACCGCCACTGTGGAAGACAGGGGAAGGGCGAGGAGGAAGGGAGGAACAGAAAAATATTTAGCCCATTATTGCCTTTTGTATCATATTTGATACATACTTTTATATACTTTTATCAAATCAATATGATCAACAAATTACTAACAAAAACCATCTTAATACAGTCCAATAAATGATGAAAATGTCCTGAAAAACATGAAAAACATCTAATGAATCAAACAAGATCAATGGATGTATTTATTAAATTTCAAGGATATTTTATTTTTTTGGTTTTTAGTAGTAATTGAAATAAACATTTCAGCTCCAAAAAAAATAGAATTTTCTGGCCATAATTTGTGGTTTCAGGCATTACAATTAAGTACAAATGCTTAGCTTCCTCAATCTCAATATGTTTATTGCTGCACATCTGATTCATTTTACGTCTGATAGATGTAGCTTGCCCAGCAGGCTTGTCCCAGAATGACTGAAAAGGAGGAAAACGAGGCAGTCTACCCAAAGTAGGTTGATTTTGTGTATGTACAACAAAAACACCTAAACATTTTGTTTTCAATACATGCCATATCTAATATCGTTAAATGGGATTATAATATTATAAAGTAATAAAAAAATAGTACTTTTGTTTCCTGTAATTTGAGAAAATGTGCCTCTAAAGGCTAGAGCTGTTGGTTTTATGATATTGAATGTGGCTCAATTGCAAATATGCATCAGTCTTAAGCAGTCAGGGATAAAATGTCTATTTCCTGCTGGTAGGGTCAGTGGAAAAGCACTTGACACCCATACAAAGGAGTAGGGGCGGGCGGGGACATTTGTATCTCTGGTGGTTTCACATATTAGCCTATGCCTTTTTCTTTGAATACGTTTTGTTCTGATGGAGGTAGGCATAGCATTCATCCACTTATCACCACCTTATTCACATTTATAGGGTGAGCAATAAAGAAGAAAATGGGCATATTATTCAGATTCAAATCACAGATCTTAAGGTTTTCACTTCTTTCTTTTCTTTACAATATCCTAACTGGCTGGGTGGGCTGCTCTGACATCTTCATTAGATAAAAATAAAGATATTGGACGCATGTTTTGAGGCTGCCGCTCAGCTGCACCTTATCAATATGGCGTAACCGAAGACGTCACCCCCGCTGGTTTTCCCCATGAATAGCCATCGCCCTCATGCTAGCACCAAAATGGAGGCTCGGTACCTCCCCAGACGACGTCTTTTGAGCGCAACGGTTGGCATTTAGACAAATCCCCGGTAAGCCTAGGCTATATATTTTCGTTAAGACGGACAACTTTAATTTTGATTTTAAACCAGACTAAATGTACATCATTAAAAAGCTACGGGCGTGTGATTTGTTACTTGAGATGGTAGTTAATGACACCCTGAAGACGCTCATTACCATCAACGCCTCATATGGTTGAGCTGTTCTGGATTAATGTAATGATAAAAAATGAGTTTATCCAGTTTATACTCACCAAGCTGATCACCTTCCACTACCATTGGAGCCATTGTCGCTGGCCAGGGTGCTGAAACTGTCCGTCTGCTTTAACACCGCCCTCCCTCGTCGACTGAGAAGATGCTTGCTTCAAATATCCGCAATATTTCCACTGTTTTTTTTTTATTTTCAGCAGTGTCCGTGGTTAAATTTAGCGTTAAAAACTGGTAAATGTCTCTTGTTTTTATCGGAGAGAAAGATGGAGGCGGGTGGGTGTATCTGTCCTCAGCCTGCTGCTGTTTCTCAGTGATGCGTGAGTGTCTCAGAGGCGGCAACACCCCGATTCTCTCTCTCTCTCTCTCTCTCCCTTCCTCTCTCTCAATCACACTCACACACACACACACACACACACAGAAAGAGAGAGAGAGAGAGTTGACTAAGCCCCCTCCCTTCCTGGGGACGATGAGCTCATCAGTGCTGACGCAGTTGTGACGGAGGATGGCTGTGAAATCAGGACCCCCGATACAGATACACCACGGGGATGACAATTTCCCCGAGGACTGCTAAGGAATGAACACCCTCAGTCAATTTTCAGTTCAGTTAAAAACAACTTTAATGGCATGAATGTCAGAGAAAATATTGCAATATTGCCAAGGGGTACACAACATTACGCATTGATCAATCAGCTTAGTGAATGAAATATACATTTGATTGATAAAGTCTACATAATGTAGTTGAATGGTCTCTGTCTTTCTCCCTAATTCTATGCCTCAGTAGACCAGAGTGCACAATGTAGTAGCTGTTGTATTTTGAATAACCATCCTGCAAAATACATTAGATACAATACTGTGGTTTCAGGGGCGAGACAAGGGGCATTAGGGAAAGCTGCCAGGAAGCCCACCACTGGGGGCCCACAGGTCAGGGGGGTAGTCCTCCATCACAGAAGTAGGGCAGGCTGGGATGGAGGTAAAAGGAGTGACCGGCCTGAGGGCAGACCAGGGGAGAAGGCACTGCTACCTGGTTGGCTGACCTGGGATCAGGCACTGAGACCCGACTATCGAACCTTTACTAGGATCCCTCTCCTGGGAGCAGCTACAGGGGTTGCCAAACAGGGCATAGAGTACATATGAAAGCATCAACAAAGACACAGGACTCAGCAGGGCCTCAGACAAGGACACAGGGGATGTCAGGACAAGAGTCGGCAGGGTGTCTAAAAAGGTCACAGGAGTTGGCAGGACCTCCAAATTGAAAAGCAGCGTGGCTTTAAAATTGCTCGGCAGCTTTGGCAGGAGGTGCCGCTGGGAGTTCCGTTTTTCATGTCTCTCTCTTTGGCCACCTTTGGTCCTGGGTAAAATTGCCAAGTGTGTTCCAAGCCAAGGGGACTGCTCAATAGGGCATTGGCCTCTCACATTAGAGTAGGCCTTTTTAAAAAATACCTTGTCCAAATCAAAATGATTTGATTTGGACCATGGTATGTCAGGTCTTTCTGTCACAATGGAACAAAAATGGAGGCCTCATGTGCAGAAACCAAGAGTTTATTGAACAAAAAAACAAAAAGTTAGATGAAATTGTTTGAACACTAGGAGCTTGATATAAGAAGTTCTGGACCAATCATAGATCCTTAGGGTACCCCACAAGTTATCTTACTGAACTTAAGCACAGTATCCTCAATTTGGATATCATGATGTCTATTTTCTAAATAACATCCCACCCAGGAAAAAATAACACCAATGAAAACAAAAGGAAATACAGAGCAGTGAACCTGAATTTGGTGACTGGTAGTAGACTTCCAAAGGCACAGACCCACCCCTCCCACACCGGTGAACATTCAGGGAAAGGACATTAAGACTGTGGACTCCTACAAGTACCTGGTCAAAGTCGACTCCACCTACAGAGGAAAATGAGGTCCTTTAATGTGCAGGGAACTGGGGACCTTGTGTGACTCTGAAGTGGCCTCAGCCATCTTTTATGGCTTGTCCTGCTGGAGCAGGAGCATCACGACTGCAGACATGATCAGACTGAACAAACTGGTGAGGAGGGCCAGCTCTGTCCTGGGCTGCCCTCTGGACCCTGTAGAGGTGGTGGGGGACAGAAGGATGATGGCTGAGCTGTGGTCTCTCACAAACAATGTTTCCCACCCCCTGCAGAGCAGCACTGGGCAGCCCCGTCAGTAACAGGCTTCCACACCCGTGGTATGTGACAAAGAGATACTTCAAGTCCTTCCTTCCTGCTGCAGTCAGACTGTTTATTAAGTTTAGTTCAATGTTATCTTTATATGTATTATACACAGGATGTATATTTATTATAACTGCAAATACATACATATATAATTACTAAAATAATGTGCAATTACATGTCCAACTTTTTCTTGTTCACTGTGTGAAACTATTTTCTTCTAGTTTTAGTCTTTCCTCTTATGTGACTTTTTGTTGTTGTTGTTGTTGTTTAGCTCTAAATTAACTTTTTATAATTATCTGTGAACTTTGTGCACGCTGAGACATTCTTCTATGTTCGCTGTGCTGATCCTTTGCTGCTGCTAACACTGCAAATTTTCCCACCAAGTTGTAAGGAGGACTTGTAAAAATTAACTCTCTAGCCAAGAGATTTAGGACTCATTATAATCTTTTACTGACCCCTGGTGTACATGGGACAGAATGCATCCTCGTATGTACACAAAAGAAACCAGCCACCCTTTACATTGAGACTGGCGACAACCATTTGTGAACCTCACACCCCACAGGAGAAGTCTCTCCTCTGGTCAAATGGGCAAGGTTTCGCGCAGAAACTCTTACTTGAGAGTTTCTAACCTATAGAGCTCTCTCAGCTATCTCAAAGGACATCAACTGAAGCGTCAATCACCTCCTGTTGGTCAATCTGAGAAGACAAAAGGAAGTTGTTTATCACCTACAGAATCTATTTCTGTCTACCAAGGTCCTCAGTGCTAGATTTACCACCTTTTACCCTTCAAAGATATTTGGAGCCGAGGCATGATGAGGGTACTGTGGGGAAACTAGCATTTTTTCAATGGTGCAATATGTAGTTATGATATCTAGCATTTAAAAAGAGTACTGTATCTTCTCTAATGTTTTTATTTTAATAATTTCTATATATTTTTTTACTTTACTTTCAAATTCTGTAAATTCGTGTACATCTTTTTATATTAAGGCCTAGATCTATAATAACACATTAATAAAAAGTCACAAAGAATTTTAAAAGACAATGTACAAAAAATAGAAGAGTCAAACTTGGCATGACAAGACATTAGTATGGAGTCCTCTTTAATGCCTATTTAATCACTTTATATGATTTTCAGACCAAAAAGCCTCAAGTCTGCTGTCTCTTACAGCTTATAATAAACAAACAATAACAAACATCAGCCCTTATAAAACTGACTCCGTAATTCACAGCTCCTATATTAAATTTGATAAGATATAAAATAAAGAAACAAGAAAATCTGAGGTAGATAATGTATATGTTTATGCTAGAACTTTGATTGTAACATGATGCTTTGACATGTATCAGTGTTTTATAATTCTACAATTCACTGTGTGTGTGTGTGTGTGCGTGCGTGCGTGCGTGCGTGCGTGTGTGCGTGCGTGCGTGTGTGTGTGTGTGTAGAGTGAAAAAGGTTTTTGTGGATAAACAAACTTAACTTTTCAATTATCCACTCAAGGAATATAATATTAGCCTAACTGGGCCATCCTGTTGCGTGAATCACCTGCCTGTTAATTCTGCAGTTGACTTTGCAAAGTCGGCAGAATAAACTTTGAAAAGTCCCGCAGCATGTGTTAGACATCACCGTTTACACATGGTAGTACACATAGTACAGGTACACATTGTATATACAGTCTATGCAAGGGATTCATGCAACAGGATGGCCCAGCCAGGCTAATATAACATGTCATTTGTCCTCTCCTCAAACACTACTATGAAGTCTGACAGCAGAGGAGTGGCACTTGGATATGTAGGTGGGAAGTTATTTGGTCAGGATGAGAAAATTAAGTTTTAGCCATGGGTGTGTAATGCTGATGTGCTCCTGGGAGGATCAGATCATCCGTTAAAGAAGTTTGCAGCTTGGTAAGTAATAAGATGGTTGGTTATATCTGCTATTATAGCTGCTGTCCAATGGTACAGGAGCTGTTTTTCCTCAACTTCTGATGTTTGAGTTGTTTAATTATAAGTAAAAAGCTGAGAAAAATCATTTTGACTTCAGATTTTATCAAATAGCAAAATCAAACTGAAGCACCAATGGGATCAAAAATAGGGTAGTAAATATTGTGCGTGTGTGTGTGTGTGTGTGTTTTTGAGTTGTTATGTGTATCTTTTGTGACTGGTATTTACATGATCAAACTGGAAAAAACCAATAAGTGACAATGACAGTAGGGTCACACTAATTTCTCTACCTTTTATTTTTATTCTGTTTTTTTTTTCTTTTCTAGTTTTACTGATAAAAGCTGTCACACAATAAGTCCTGCTGCTATGTCACCATGCAAAAGACTATTGAATCTCCTCGGATTTATGTTATCCTTGTTTCTCATCACGTTGTCCTTTCACCAATGGATGCTGTCTGTGGAAAAGAAGGTACTTTGAGTCTCTCTCTCTCTCTCTCTCTCTGTGTGTGTGTGTGTGTGTGTGTGTGTGTGTGTGTGTGTGTGTGTGTGTGTGTGTGTGTGTCTGTGTGTGTGTCTGTGTGTGTGTCTGTGTGCGTGTGCATGCACATCCTGTTTTTTGTTTGGAAAGGGATTTGGTTTGTGTAAATATGGAGTTGTGTTGCTTTTGTGCTCCACTGCATTTGAAATAGTCTGAACTTAATTGAGTGGATTAGCAGATGGCAAATGTATGACATTACCCCTGATTTCTTTAGGAAGACATAATCTTATTTTACTTACCTCGGCAGGAAGGATCTACCAGACCCAAGGACTGAGAAAGCAGCTGCTCGGAGAAATGTGTGATAGTAACAGAGCAGTACTCTTTGAAGGAAAGCACAGTTTGGAGGACTTCAGTGATAAAGAGCTCGAAAATCTTGTGGTGGATGATAATCATGGCGTCATCTACTGTTATATTCCAAAGGTCAATTTCTTTCATTACAGTACACTATAAATAATTTAAGAACCCTTTTCTTAGAAGAAAATGTTTAAAAAATACCAGAAATATAGAGGACGCCATGTTTAAAGTCTGCATATCAACGTTTGATTTGGTTGATATGGTAGCAAAAAGTACTTCTTTAGATAATGAAGGGTCAAAGTACAGGTCAAACCAAAAACGGTGAACACTGAATACCAGTTTGATGGTGGTCTGTCATATTTTATCATCCACAGGTGGCATGTACCAACTGGAAGAGGGTTATGGTTGTTCTGAACAAGAGTGAACCATATCAAGACCCAATGTCAATATCTGGTGACTTGGTACACCTCCCCAACATACTCACTAAACTAACCAGCTTCCCAAGAACAGAAATGAAGGTCAGTTTCTCAAGTAAAATCCTTAAATATCCATTTTTTTAATCAAAGGCATGAAAGATTCAGTTAATTTAATTACTTACTGAAATAACCCAAACAGACTGCGTGATAGAGGGTTGATGTATTTTTATATCTGTCAACCACAGGCAAAGCTGAAGCACTACATCAAGTTCTTGTTTGTCAGGGACCCATTCGTGCGCCTCATCTCTGCCTACCGGAATAAATTTCAAAGGCACAATGAGTACTTCTATCACTATTATGGCAGGGATATTCTGCGTCGATATGGTAACCACCCAGATCCACCACGGACTGCGCATGAAGCAATAGAATCTAAAGTACAACCTTCATTTTACAACTTTATTCAGTATCTGTTGGACCCTGATACAGAGAAGACAACGCCATTTGAACCCCACTGGAGGCAGATGCACCGCCTTTGCCATCCCTGCTTCATACAGTAAGGCCATTAATCTGAGGCTGTAGCTGTGAAAGCAAAGCCTTCTGTGTTATTTCTTAATCACTCAGCAAATGAACACATCATAGGGTGGAATTATTATCCTGCATATATCACTGTGGGGAACAAAAATGTGCAATGTGATTATAATTGGGTTTCAAAGTAAGCATAGAAAAGAAACCTATTATTATTTGTGATGGACTTAGGATTCCTAAAATACCTGCTACAGCCAAGGTTGCTAACTGACGGCTCAAAGGAATCAGGTGATTAAGATAAGATAAGACGAAGAACAAGAAAGAAAAGATAAGATATGAGATGAGTTAAACTGAGTTAAGTTAACAAAGATGAATGAGACGAGTTGAGTAGAGCTAAGTTGAGCTGAGTTTAGTTAAGATTAGGTGAGTTTAGCTAAGTGGAGCTGAGTTGACTTGAGTTCATTTGAGTTGAGTTATGTTGACTTGAGTTAACTTTAGTTTGGTTAGGTTAAGATAAGTAAAGATAACATAAGATGAGTTTAGTTGTGTTGAGTTTAGTTGAGCTGTGTTTAGATGAGAGAAGATAAGTTATGGGTTTGCTTAAGTTAAATTCAGTTTACTGAAGTTACGTTTAGGTAAGATAAAACATATATTACAATAAAATCAGATGAGAGAAAATCAGTTCAGTTAAATAATGTTAAGATGACAAAAAAATGAATTAATAATAAAATAAAATAAAAAAACTTGCCAGCTTAGGGGGAATTTACTTCATCTAGCAGCTCAAAAGGGAAAAGTGGACAGAGATGATTATCCAGAGATGATCATTTTAAATATGGACAACAACAGAAGCAGAAAAAAATGACAAGTACTAATGAACATTTGGAATAAATAATGGTTTAGCCATCACTAATGGAAAAATAAGCCTTACCTTTGAAATGACCTTCGTCCTCAAATTTGACCTTTTCTGTAGTTGATAACAGCAGAAATCTCTAATAACTCAATGCTTATTTTTTTAACTGTTTTTAACTTATAAAATTCTTGAAATGTCCCTCTAACAAGAGCAAAAATGACCAAACAACTGCTGAAACAAATGTTAAGTGCTTGTTTGTTTTGTTTGCAGATATGATTTTCTTGGCCATCAAGAATCTCTACAAGAGGACGCCGAGCAGCTACTGAGTATCTTAAAGCTCGAGGATGCCTTTAAATTCCCTTCTTCCTATGAAAACATGACCTCCCCTGAGTCTCTGCTGGACTGGTTCAGAACAGTACCCGTAGAGGACAGAAAGCAGCTGTATGATCTCTATGAAGCGGACTTTAAGCTCTTTGGCTATAGTATACCAGAGAAACTGCTTGATGGTTGAAAAAGTTGGGGTTTAAAATTTACTCTTCACTTTTAACTATAGCAAAGTAACTTCCACCTATACTTCTGAATCAAGCAATATCTTTCAATTTTTAAGAGCCATAGAAGGGTGATGATATTGTTGTTGTTGTATAGTTGGCTTCAGCCATCTGTCAAGCTTTTAGCATGACAAACAGAAAAAGTTTTCATTGCATGTGAGAGACACTCAGCAATATAAAACTCATCATAGACTTTTCTATTTTCAAACACATCCTGTCTTTTCCTGGTTTCATTGTCTCATTACAAAAATCTATTTTAAAACACATGTAAAACCAGAGGAAATGTTATGTCTTTAGTTCTTTTTAATGTCAAATGGCTTAAGTATTATTGCTCAGTTATATAGTATTTATTAAGCAAAAGAAGAAAGAAAGAAAAACTGTACTCCAGGCAAACTGTTGATGAAAAGCAAATGGATGTGAACTGTCAAAATATAAATCAAAACATTAAAAAAATTGACAACACACCCAAGGACTTGTGTGACCAAAAAATCTCTAAATTTGAAATACTTGAAGCTGCAGATTCACTTAAAGATAATAAATCTCCTAGAAACAACGGCATTACTGGTTAATTCTACAAAAGCTTTAAGGATGCCCTTACCCTGTTTCTGGCATGTGTTTTTGAAGAATCAATACCCAAGGGCGGACTCCCACCTTCTTTACAGCAAGGACTTATAATATTAATACACAAACCAAATAAAGACAAAATGAATATAGAACACTAGAGGTAACCTAATTAAACAATGATGCTAAAATATTTGCCTCCATCTTTGCGCAGATGATAAAAATGTTATACTATAGTAGAGTAAAAAATGTCACAGTATAGAATGGAAAAAATAGAGTTAGAAAATGGGAATTTCGCATAATATGAATATCAAAGTCCCCTGCTTTGGACTGCCCCCTAGAGGTCAGATATGTTTTCCCTGAAATTTGTCATCTGATTCTGAGAGTAGACGATGGGGTCGCCATTACAATCATGCCCAACATGTCTACTGTGGAATTGTGGAATAAACTGACCTCAAAACAGGTATGATGTGCAGAATCTGTTGTAACATGGGCTATTGTTAAGATGAACACTTCCATCCAGTGGTCAAAACCGTGCTTTTTTTTATTTAAGGTGGAATCAAAACTAAATCACAACTGTAGGTGAATGTGGTGCAAAGTTCAGCATCATTATCCACGCATTATTTGTTTAATTTATGTAACAAAAGGGTCACATCCTGACATCCCTTCACTTCCTCAAACTCATATTTTGATCACTGTCTTACGGAAAGCAATACCAGGCTGACAGCAAGTTTTGAAGGCTTTATTACAAAACAATATGACAAAATCAATACATTTACATGTTAAAATCCACACTCACAAAACGATGCGCTAGTGTCTTTATGTGTGGTTTGTTTCATACTGTGAGGCTGGAATGATTTTCACATCCTGTTGAAAAAAATCATTTGCCTTCTGCCTAGCTTTGCCTTGATGGCAGCTGTCATTTACATACACCTGTTGTGCGTTTTAAGATGGACAATGAGACAATCCAACATCCTCTTGGCAGGGACAGCTCATGCTGGTGCAGCAGTCCATCTAAGGGACACACAGTCTAGTTCTGGTCCTCTAGTTCCTTACAGTGTCATCTCTTTGTTTTAGTGTAAAACCAGGGAACACTCTCACCGGACAGTCTGTAGTGCAGCAGTCATTTAGTGCTTTTTCAGCCAGTCAGTAACTGGGAGTTAAGTAGTGTGTCAAAGCGATGAGATATAAATAATGACAGCAACTTCCTTCATGAGAAGAGAACAACAACATAAGTTAAGATCAACAACAATATGGCTTTTCCAGGTCTATATACGAAGACACTTCATTTTTGATTCTTTGCACTATTTATTCGTGCATTACACGTAACTCTTTGTCCACAGTCGAGTTCAGACTGCTCATAAACATGTTTTATAGGTGCATGTTTCGTATTTATTTAGCTGTGGTTCCTCCTGAGTGATTCACAATGATAGAAAAGGCTTTCTGTCTTGCATTTCTTCCCCACACACTTAAACGTACACTTAAACTGTATATTCCACGTACATCTTTGTAGTCTGTCTTCATGCCACATCTCCCATTCAAAGGCATTTGCAGGGAGCTCTTCTGCACACATCCCAGCAGCGTCCAGTTTATTTGGGAGATGCAAATTGATGCAATCGGTTGTACATTTATATCACCATTTCATATTGAACTTTCTTCACATTGAGCCAGTGGTGCTGGTGATTTAAACATGGGGAAGCTGGCTAAGTCTTCCACTAGTCCTTTCATCGCATCTCCCATTCCATCTTCCAGCCCGTCATCAGCTTCACCCCCATCCCCTGACTCCCTCTCTATCCTCTTCGGCCTCCCTCTCTTCCGCTCCTCTGTTCTTCCATCGAGCAGGTTTGCAGTTAATATTTCAGAGGTGAACTTCAGCCCGCTGTTACTTGTGTTGCAGTTAGCATACAGGGAATTTCCGTGGCCATTGCTTGGTTTGTTGTGAATCACTGCGCCACCATTACCATTATTGCTGAGGAGTGTTGTCGATGTGTTTGAGGTTGCAGTACCGTTACGTTTTTCCGTCAGTCTGAATCCCTCTGACAGCAGGCTGGCACTGCTAGGCGACTGTGGTGTGGCTGAAGAGCCCAGCAAGTCTCGTCCTTTCTCTGAAGATAGGGAATTGTCCGGCAGGTGATTACCCTTGTGGCCAATACTGCGCCTACGGGTAGCAAAGTACAGGAGACATATGCCAAACACTAAACCCCCGCAGAAGAAAAGGATGTAGATGGCCAAGACATGACGACCCCCTGCTGTTGCAATGGTTCCTCCAATACTTGGACCTTCAAGGGAAAGCTGGTAGGCTGCCCTACGACAGGGGGTGGGATCTCTGATACCTGGTCCTGCCTCCTAAAGTGGAGTTACATGACGCACAAAATAAAATCAATAAAAGTCTTATATTCATACATTCACAAAGCAGTTGTGGAATTATGACTTGGTATATTGAATGTTTTAACCTGGCATGTGCAGACGTATCTTCCAAGGCTGTCATCAGTCACTGTCACCTCCAGGTCAGAGTTGTGTTGCCTGGTATGTCTGTGTGGAGGGTGCTCCCAGCTACAGGGCCTGGGAGACAGCTGGGTGCACGGCAACAAAAGACGCAGGCCAATAGAAACTCGAAGTTCCCTGATGGCTGGGTTGCAGCGTCCTGAGGTAGAAAAAAAAAACAGGAAGTCAAAAATTTTATATCAAAAATCACAATGTACAGGGGATAATTTTTTAAATTTTGTCGCACACTTACCATCTTCGTTGTCACATTTTCTTAAGGCATCATCCACTATATCACCGGGACCAGGACTGGATAGCACACAAAATAGACCCACACATTTGTATTATTGTTTTAAAAGGAACAGAGAACTTACAGGTGTGTGCATTTCAGTGCTGTTTTCGTTGGCAATGACGTTGATGAAAATATTTCGTTGGTGAAAACAACACTGATGTATTTCTAGTTCTTTATCATTAGTTGGTATAGTCTAAAGTCCCAAACATATAGTTTTTTACTGATAACTTTTATCGAATGTTCAGATAACACACACTTTTCCACATAACAACATACTTTTGTATTACCTAAATATTTTAACGGCTGATATTTGCAGCAAAAACCCAACATGATTTTACTTAATGAACACAAATAGGTCAGGATAACAACAATAACTTTGTCATCCCCCCTTTTATAATTTATTTTAATCCTTTTTTTAATTGTAATATTATTGTACTCACTTTGCTGTTGTAGGCCTGCAGACTTCCTCAACTGTGCTCCACACACAGCCCAGTCCTCTGGCTCTGGCGCACACCTGACAGCTGGGATATAAAGCACAGCCCTCAGCCTGGACACTAGCCAGAGACAGAGGACTGCCCACCAGAGCCTTGCCCTAGAAAAACAGAGAACCAGAACAGAGTCACTGAGCAACATCTGGGATACTCTTATGTGGTGATTTAGTATACTTGCATTGTGGGATGTGTCAAATGCCAAAGGAGTCTACCTGGTGCAGTAGTATATTGTTAACAGGCTCTTGTGAGGTGAACAAAGCAACCTCCTGGAGTAAGGTGGTGTTCTGGCCCACCACTGCCACCCGGTGGAGCTCTCCACGGTCTTGACAAACACACATATTTAATATTGATTACAAAAAAACTTGTATTCAAATTATATTTTTCTTTTATATACACAACTTTGTTTTCTTCCCTTCAAAAATCCAATAGTAGGTATTTGACAGTATTTGGATATACATTTTTACATCTGCCAAATCCTTTCTTTGTTTCCCAAATTCTCTTTTGTTGTCTTACTTTGACAATTACTTCAAGTTGATCTCTCTACATCGATATTATCCCACTCTTGTGTTCTCACCTGTTCCAAGGTGCAGCACCGCTCCTTTCAGCTCTTCTCCGGTGCCTGTTTGTGTTACAGCTAGTTTGGTGTATGTGATTCCCTTACGAACCAGTAAAGGTGCTGCAGTGACACTGTTCTCCATCAGTGGGTGGTCTCTGACAAATGTCAGCACCTTATCAGGGAGTTTAAGGGAAGACTCATACCCCTCAGCCTTCAAAGCATGGTTCAGACACTAAAAATATATGTGAAAGAGGGAAAAATAGTCATTCACACGGAGTTTAACAAATAAAAAAACTACTCTATATTGAGAGGAGAGTTGAAAACATGTAGTTTTACTGTTCAGTACCTGACCAGGCCTTGGTGTGGGAACAGGTTCAGGATTGATCCAGTTTTCACAGGTTTTCTTCAGCTCTTTAAAGGGACCATCTAACACTTTGCTAATGTCAGATAAACTGAAAACACACACTGCTGATAACTCTTCACGCTCCCTGAAAAAAACGGGGAAATTAGGGCTTAGTATTCCCATTTTAAACTGAGGACACAAGACAACAGAAGGTATTGGTTTACAGTCAAAACTATGTATTTTAGGTGATATGTAACTTGATTAATGTCATAACACTAAATTAAGCATGTTATAAGGTGCTAAGTTATCATGTTAAAACAAAAGACTCATCATGTCATAATTCGATATAAAATATATGCTGTTTTTTGTTGTCCAACCAGCTCAGAGGTGTGTTACCACCACCCACTCTGTCATGTGTTGTAACATATCAACTAAATTTCAATAGTATATGCTGAGTTATATGATCCATTTTAGGCTAGAACAATACAAGTTATGGTGTTATAATGTGGAGAATAAAAGGAATGAAAATGTGGAAATTTTAATCTTTAAATCAAACTTTAAATACATCGTAACTTAAACGTACCAAACAAAATGGTTTGTACTTTTATTTTTCAGTGTTTCATTTGAACCTACCACTGGGAGGTGAACAGCCCATAGAAGTGTGTGCTACTGGGGTCGCCCGGTGTGTGCTGAGTGGTAAAAACATCAGTTAAGATGTTGTAGCGTTGACCACTAGGTTTGTCCTCACACACCAGCTCAGCCTTGAGGAAGGTGGTCCAACGTCGCTGCAGAGTCTTCATCCCTCCAACATCCGACTGTACAGATGGGAAAAAGATAAGTTAGTGGGCAGATTTTTGTATGAGAGGTTTTAATAAATAAGTGTAAATAAACAATTCACTTGTTAATTCAAATTAAGAGTGAAGTTACCTTGCAGACTCTTGCCACTCTGGGCACTTTGACTTTGGTGTACAGGTCATACTCTTTGGCTACCTCAGTAAAAAAGAAGTAAATTTTGTCATCATCTCCTGTTGGGTTGCTGTCTGGAGTTTGCTCGATGAAAGCTGAGCTCACGAACTCTGGGTCTGTCAAAGGCACACACAGACAATTATGTTTTTTTTGTTTGTTTTTAAGTTTTTGTTATAAAATTATGTGACATTTGGGATCAGATGAAGGACCGCCACTACTAGCACACAGTATACTTGTGTGACAGATGGAAAATAACAATGACTCTTGCACTATAAACCAAAACACATGGAGATGGGTGTGTGATAGGGCACTTTGTGTCTCACCACTGAGCCAGTTGATGGATCGTTCAGTTCTGATACGCTCCTGCTCAGGGCCCGTTGCTCGGGAGATATCAAACAGTGTCCCTAGGAAGTTACTCGTGGCTGCTGTGTATAGGGTACCACCTACACAAAAAAGGAATATGATTTATCAGACATGTTTGATTACGAAGTGTAAAATTACAATAAAAAATGAATAGAAAATCATACTTTGGAGTGGGTCTATAGCCTCATTATACAGACAATGAATATACAGATACCAAAGGGATAGTTCAATTTTTTTTCAAGTGGGGGATCCTGGCCCCAGTCACTAAAAGTGACATACACTGAGACAAAAATGAACAACCACGATTTAGTCTGCTTTCTTTGCTTTTATCAAGGAAATGATCAGCATACATCATGACAAGTCTTTTTATTATATAAAACAACTATCCATGGCCAAAATCCGTACTTTCATACTGTATTAATCCACCATGAGCAGGGCACCTTACAGCTTTTAACAAGTTATAAGGAAAAACTTTATTTTCATGAGCACAACCAGAATCATGTTTAACAGCCATCTGGGGTCATACAACCAAAAATAAACCAACTTTTAATCAGTGACACATTCAGCTTTATTGTCCCACCTGCCATAACAGCTGTGTAGTGCTGACTGGGCTCAAATGGACACTTGCCCTTCCCTGTCTCCATCTTTACGCCTCCATCTTCAGTTTTCTCTAGGGTGAATGAGGCGAGCTCCTGTAGGAGGACATCCAAAGAGAAAGAGACATTAAAACTCCAAGTGCAACACATAACTACCAAATGAAAAAACAGACAGTGTATAAATGAGTATTTTGATATGGCCTTAATATTTTTCTATTATCCTCAAAGTTTTTTGGGTTTAAGAAACAAAAACATGTTGTCAGCTGTAAATGACTGTTTACTTGACTTTTGTCACTGCTAAAAGCTTGAGTGAATTTAGTGTTCAAGGTGCCTTTGACTGATTCAATAAAATACTTACGACGGTTGACCGGCACTTTTCTTAGAGGACATTATGTAGTTTAGCCACAGAAAGACGGGGATGTTCACACCAATCGAAATAAAAATATTTCCATGCAGACAATAGAAAAAGCATGTCTGAGTCAACATACTGTCAAAGCACCTAATGTTGGTGCATACATATGCGTGATCATTGGTGTGTCATTCGATCCTCTGGCAGACCTCTTCTTGATGTCTTTCTCAATTTGAACAATAAAACATTAAGTACAAATCAAACACAAACTCTCATACTAACCAGGAAAGCACACTGAGGGTCAAAGGCATAGGTGCCACACACGTAGACGCGTCCATCACCGAGAAACTCCAGCAGACGTATGTAATTGTTGCAGTCGACCTGCAGAGGGAGACACATTCAACAATAAAGACCAACCAAATGATCATAAGCAGGTTCATTTTAGGAATGGCTTTTGTGCGCATTCGGGTATTGTTTCCACACAAAGTGCATTATGTTACGATTCTGTAAAGAACCAAAAGATTATTCAGCACTTAACTGGTAACTACAGGTCACTTGCAAAGACACTTTAAAATCAATTTCTTAGACGATTAAATACAAAAGAGAAAGAAGCTGGGGTTGGGTCAAATACAAACAAATGCTCATACAAAACTGCTTATGAATATGGTGTGAAATAAAGTTATAAACCAGCAATGTATTTTCTAATGATTTTAATGCACATCATCTGTGCTGTTTACTATGGTACTATGTTATGGTCGACGCCATCTTTGTTAATAAATCTTTCTGGCAGGATGTGGGCTGTGCAAAGTGATGCTGCCCCCACATACAACCTGCAGCACCTTTACATTTTAATCGGATTCGTCAGGAAATTTGAGTAATTTACAGGCCGCAGGAAGTCTCTAGGTGTTACTCACACTGTATTGTGCTTAACGTTGATGGTGTGAAAAGCAGCTGTATCGCACTGATTTGTTTCATGGAAAAAAGTGTACCAAAAGTGTGACCAAGACCAAGGTTTCTCCAATCTGCCGGTAGTTTGAATTTTTTACTTCTGTTTTTGTAAAGCAAGCACAATCAATTCCTTTATTCCTCTGTCATTTCTATGCTTCACATGAAAACAAGAATGTGTTTCATATATCCACCATTCAGTAATCCAGTGCAAAAGCAATTGTTAAAAGCTCTAAAAGTACTTAAGCTGAAAAACAGAGCTGTTTGTGATGAGGCCGATGACTATAGTGTCGTTGAAAACTTTATGATATAGTTAGTATTGACACTAGCAGAACAGACATGCACCAGCAGCATGAACAGTAAAGGGCTCAGTACAGAACCTTGTGGTGCTCCTGTGCTCACTGTTGTTTACTTTGATAACAGTAGTAGCCAATAATTGAATTTATTTATAAAGCTAATTTTAAGAGAAAACATCACAAAGTGAAATTCAATGTCAAGACATCATGTCGAAGTTAATCTTTGACACTCTTTACTGATCACTCCCTCCAACAAAAGCTCAGTTTTTGAAACACCTGAAGATCAACTTCAACATGATGTGTTATGATGATGCAGAAAGGAGGCATTGTAACTTGGATGAAATATTACCACATGAATGGGTTCTGGTTTTGTCCTCCATTATGAATTATGAGTTTAGGTCGGATTGGAACATGCATAATAGAGGAAAAAAATAGTTTCTGTCTACTGACGAAACAGCAGACTTTAGGGAACTCTTAAATTTTCTTTGTTCGGGTCTCTTGTAAACGTGTTTGTTCACAGGGGGGGATGAACACTGTATGAGAAGAAAATTTGTCAAAAGATGCCTGCAAATGGTTTAAAAAGAGGTGATTCTGGTCATTTTTTTTATACACAGACCTCCAGTTGACATTTAACCACAATGTCAAGAGACACTTTTTAAGAAGCCAAATACTGTATGTGTAAGAAAAACCCATCCAGGGTGAAACTACAGGGACTGGATTTTCAAAAACCACCACGGGGCTCTAGAGAACCAATTTGCCAGAACAACAATAGCAATAATATACTTTCTCTTTTCTGCCCTTTTTCTTTTCTTTTCTCTCAATTCTCTTAAACAGTGAGTTCGTTAACCTCTTCAAAAACTCATTCATTCCTAACGCCATCAGGGCACTGAATGATAGTAGGCCTATGTCTCGAACGAACTTGATTATAATCTGGTATCTGCTTTTACCAATGAAATGCTCTACCTATTATCTGTTTTTTTCTCATTAATATAATATAGTTAAATTTATGAAAAATGAAGTAATTCAACATGTGCAGTAGGCTGGAAGTCAATGGTTTTTGGTTAATTATAGTTGAAGCATAATGAGATATTCAACTGGAGTGCACAGTATGCTCTATTTATCAGTTTCTAGACTAGACAGTTGGCTGACATCTGTGATGTCACATTTTGCCTCACTTACTCTTACTCACTTTCTGTCTCTCAGTGAGCGGAAAAAAGACACCCACCCACGCACAACCCTGACAAATCTTGGCATGAGTCCCAGAACTCCGATCCAAAGCCTAACATCACCAGGTTATGGTAAAGCCACACACACACACACACACACACACACAAACCCGCAACCCCCACCCCTACTTCTCACATCACAAACACACACACACAGACAGACACAAATGCACTCTGATCCATGTATTTCTCGAACCATTTTTCAGTTTAGTAAGCTCAGTTACATTAAACATCATGGCCATGGCATTTACAGGAAATGTTTCGACTGTATCAAAGTCCTTTTTATCCTCTTTTAACCTTTTCAAGTCCTAGCTTTCAATATTCATGCAGAGTGGAATTAAATCAATATTCAGTGACTCATATCTGAAATTTGACACACAACATGGCTCTGTGCAGTTCCTGGACCTAAAAACTGTATAAAATATAGTATTTAAGCACTAATGGGCATAAACAAAAACCTGTTCTACCAGTTAACAGACAAGATTTCCATTTTCAGAAAAATATTTAAAGTGATCGAGGTTTTGTGCTCTCACCTCAGTCTTTCCTTTTGCCACACATGACCTCCTCTTCTCCTCAGGCACATCCCAAATAATCTGAACAAGAGGAAAGATCCAAACACAAATTCGTTAGTAAATCAGAAGAACACTGTAATTAAATCTGTGAGAGTCCACAGAAAACCTTAATCATCTATTATTAAAAAATGGGCTCATTAAAAAAAAACACCTCAAAGTCAAAAGGTACATAATTTATGACCAAAAAAAAAAAAAAAAAACTTAATTGAGATCACAGTCTACCTCATTATCCCAGGGCATCTTTTTTTTTGTATGGGAAAAATATATGGTAAAATATAAGGTATAACATTTGCCTCTGATGTTGGATGATTGAAAAAAGGATGGAAAAAAAAATGTAATCCAAAGTAAAAATATTTATATATATTGAAGCGCATTGTTTAATATGTTTGCTTGCGGGCTCTCACACAATATAAAACACAACACTTTGAATGCAATCTATCTTATTGGTAAACTGTTTTAAAAGTTAATCTGCAAACGTGTAAACTGTGTCTCTGATTTTCTGTTCAGGTTTAGTTCAATTAGTTGATAACAAATTTCAGCCAACAAGAGGGCACTAAGTGACAAATCAAGGCCATTAAAAAAGAGAGTGATGTAAACCTACCTTTTGGGGTTTTTGGTTCAGTTTATACGTGTCTACAGCCAGTATAGCATCCCTGGAACCAAGGAACAGCATTCCTGATGAGCGATCCAATAGGAAGGTGCTGAAGTTGGCTATGCCTTCAAACTTTTCCGGCCCTAGGATGGTGTCTGTGGAGCAAATGACAAATGATGATTATGTTATCTTGTCAAGTATCCAAACCAAGCCTCACTCATCAAATTTTCCTTATCTGTCAGTTTCACGATGTGTTTGCACTTCATCTTCCTGCTTTTGTAGAAAGTTATTGCCAGATGTTTCTTGTTAGCGGGGACTCTGCCCAACATGGTATGTGCACACTCAAAATACAGCTGAATACAAGAAAGGGAAGAGTCAACTCAAGAACGCCTCAAAGTACAAAGATGATGAAAGACAGGACTCACATGAATTTGAAGAATGAAGTCAATCTGTAAGGCGGTTTATGTATGTATGTTTGTCTTGTGAACTGTAGAGGGAAATGTATGAAATATGTCACTGTGGTTTACTGTGTAGCTACATTTGTGAACAAGACTCTTCTTTTCCTGCAAAAGTATTTAAAGAATCCATTTCCCCAAAGTTTCTTTTTGGGTATTTTTGTAATAATCAAAAGGACAGCTGAAGATTTACAGGAAATGCGGGAAGCAGAGAGTAGAGGAGAGTGGGTCATGGCCCAGAGTCTATCAAGCAGAACTAAAGCCTCTGTCCATGTGGAGCATGCTTAAACCTCGTAGCCAACAGCACTTCTGTATTCAAAAAAAAATCTGTGCTATCTGCCACGCTGTGAATGACAAAGTATTAAGCCGCCAGATAGAAAATTGGAATTTGAAAATTTGAGAATTACCTTTAAAAAACATCAAATCTTACTACAATGTAAGCTTCATGCAGGAAGTAACATTTATTTATCTTTAATTTTACATTTAATATTTTATGCTTTCCTTTAAAAAAAATAAATAAATAAAAAATAATTTAAAAAATGACCAAAATTATTGCTTTAACGTTGACTCTACTACATCAGACAGTTCATGTTGTTTAACCTTTAAAGGTCGATTGTAGCTTGTAATTTCTCATAAAATAACACTTTTGTGACTTTAATCTGGTAATTTGATGCCTTTTTTCAGGAATGCATAATTTTATTCTCAAAACCTCATTTAAAATCTTCAGACTTGAAGTACTTTTCTGGATGTCGAGGGTGCGCATGTCTTTTCTATTCCAGGGTCTATAGCTGTACAAAAGCTTTATGTGGCACATTCCAATTAAACACAGACAACAAACACAAGAACCCATTGTTCCTCTTATTAACTCATCAGGGGATAGATTAAAGACTAATGCTGACACAGAAAGACTGAGTTACTTTTTTAACCTTCAACAAACCAACAAAGAAAATGACACACACTATCACATACTTAGTCATACATTATTCATTTGATACACACAACCAAACAGGAACTGACTCATTACTAGAGACACTACATCTTAGATTAACTCATCAGTGCTACACATACAAATACATACCTGCTAGTGTTGAATAGATCATAGTATATTTAAGCATGTTTTGGAAAAATAAGAAAAAATAGTTTTCAGGTTTCCTTTATTTACCTAATTTACTTAAGATGCTCAGAATGCAGTGGTGATGGGGATGCTCCATACAAATTTCGTTGTTAACTTTGTTCAACAATAACGATAAGTAACTTGAAACTTGAAACTTGAACTTGAAGAAGACGGTACAGCTGGAGTGTTTCTGTCTTCCACTCGGCTCCCAGGTGTCACAATCAATTTAGCATTATCAGAAAACAATAGTTGTGATTTGACACTACATGAATAAAAACTGATTGATTGATTATCAAATACATACTACTTAATGCTTTTTTTAACCTGTAGGTAAATGCATAGGAACTAGAACAATGTTAATACAGCACAAAGACAACTTAACAAATACTACATATGAAAATAACAGAAGAATATGGATCAATGTCAGGCTACAAACTAAATATGTCTAAAACTCAGGTTTTAACTTTTAACTATAAGCCAAATAAAAAAATCAGGAAGAAATATAACTTAAATTGGAATGCTAGGTCAATTAAATACCTAGGAGTGATAATAACTCAGGAACTTGACAGAACTTATGAGACAAACTACAAGTTAATAAACAATAAAATTCAAAGAGATGTAGCAAAGTGGTCAACACTAATAATGGACTTCAGTTCAAGAATTGAGGTGGTCAAGATGAACCTCCTACCTAGGTTGTTGTTTCTTTTTCTGTCGCTCCCAGTTCGAATACCAGACACACAATTCTCAGCATGGGATAAGCTAATATCCAGATTCATTTGGGCTGGAGCCAGACCGAGGATAAGACTCAAGACCCTTCAGCTAGACAAAGAAAATGGAGGATTGGCACTGCCAGACTTAAGAGGGTATTATTATGCAGCACAGTTAAGATATGTTGTGTATTGGTGCTCTCCGAATTATCAAGCCCGATGGAAGGACATTGAGATGAGCCAAGGCCAAGCACCTCCACAGTCAAGGTTAAGTGGGAAAGAATACAGAGACCTTAAGGGAGAAAACTTGGTTGTGAGAGGAACATTAGAAATATGGTATGAGGTGGTGAAAAAATATAAATTAACAGGAGATTGTAAACTGTTGATTTGGCCCTCTTGCACCTCTAGGTTCAGACCAGGAATGTTAGATAAGACCTTTGAAAAGTGGAGAGACAAAGGAATAACAGCCACATGTACACTTATAGATAAGCAACATTTCAAATCATTTACATTGCTGAAAAATGAGTTTGGATTAGAAAATGAAGATCTATATAGATATTTCCAATTAAGACACTTTTATGAGACAGAAGTTAAGAGGGAAATTTCTGTGGAGGGGAATGATGTGATCGAAATATTAACAGGCGCGTTCAAGCAAACCCCCTTAAGAATTGTCTCAAAGCTATACAAAGGTTTGTTGAAGCAACAGGGAAAAAACACAATGTATATAAAAGAGAAATGGGAAAAGGAACTCGACATTGAATTATCTGAGAGTGATTGGCAGACCATGCTCAAGACCCAACATACATCAACAAGTTCTAAAACATGGAGGGAGTTCGGTTGGAAAAATTTGACACGTCTATTTATTACACCAAAAATCAAAAATAAACAATTAGGTCAACAACAGCATTGTTGGAGACAATGTGGGCAACTGAATGCCAACCACTCTCATATATTTTGGTCATGTACGAAAATACAGACATTTTGGGATGAGGTCCTGAGAGTCATGGGTAAAGTTTTTGGATATAATTTACCCAAAGATCCCCGGTTTATTTATCTTGGACTGATATTAGAAGATGTAATGGGTAAAGAGGACATATACCTGTTCAAGATCCTATCTCTTGCAGCTAAGAAAGCCATCACAAGAACTTGGCTAAGAACTGATCCACCTGAACTGAGTGACTGGCTGACCATTGTAGAGGAAATCCGATCAATGGAACAAATGACCTACAGACTACGAATTAAAGCTGAGCTATATGCTGTAAGATGGACTAAATGGCACCTGTATGTAACTGAGTAGTGTTTGCCCCCCTTGTTCTTGTTCTTGTCTTGTTTTGTTTTGTACAATATTTGCGTGTATGTTTGAAAGTTTGCCTTAAAAGATAAAAATAAAGTTAAAAAAAAAAAAAAAAAAACAAATACTACATATGAACCATAAACTTTATATTTCAGTGCAATAATTCGGCAATGTGTAATATAAAGAAAAGCTGAGCTCCCAGGCAGCTAACACTCTGCACTTTAGCATCCGGCAGTTTAGCACTATGGCACTTCAATTAGCACCCCACACTTAATAATTCACTGTGTATAATTAGCATGGTCCCCCAACTCCCGACCTGATTTGTTGTGGCATCTATGTTGTTTAGGTCATCGACAGTTCATGTATACTGCTTGTCTTTTAATACGCTCTGATTTTGTTCCATTGACACCAACCTGCTAATGGGACTGGGGATGGAACTTAGCCACCTAGCTTTAATCTCATGTATTTACATGTAAATATTCTCAAATCTTAAATTTCATTTCCATCAGGATGCGCAAGTAAATCAAAGAAAAATCGAAATACCATTACCAATCTAAAGCAGGTGAGAAGTACCTTGTGATTACATATAAGGGCATTTTCTAAAATAAATGAATAGGAGTAGAAGTTTGCAGAAATCCCTAACACTGACCGATGTGATGAAGTGGTCTCAAAGTACCACTGTGTTACATTTGGATAAATGGAACTCCGCGCAAACATGGTTTTCCACTTAGAGCTTTTTCTGAGTTGTTCTGTGGAGTGAAAAGATCCAACACACTGACATCTGCCTGTAACTGAATCACAGACATTTTCATCCAGCCAGTCTGTGTCTGTGTCTGTTTCCCCTCACCATTTCACATGAATGCCATTTTTCATTCACTAAGGAGCCATCTGTTCAGCTAAGCGCCTGCAGGCAGTCATAATTGCGAGCCTCAGTGCGATTTGCTCGCACAGGGCCTCCAGACTCAGAAAATCAGCCAATGTGAAGAGGGTGTACACATTTTGTAAAAAGCAGATGCATGTGACAGACAGAAGTGGACACACATACGCATGTCCTTCTGTTCATCATGCACAGGTATAAAGAAGGTTGTTCTCATAAGCGGTTCTAGTTTAGTTGTGTATCCTCTCAAACTTATAAAGATAACACTTCCCTCCACAATCTGAGAAAAAACTTCACAGTCACTGTCAGAAGTCTCCTTGTCACCCTTTTGTCATCTCTGTCCATCTATATTGTCATCCATGTATCCTTCTGTTGGCCTGCAGCATCTGATAGACACAGCTCTATTCACTGCTTTATCTATTCTGCGACACATCCATGAGGCCACACACACACCTAGGGTGACATGAGGGTTAGTGACACAGGCTAAAGGCAAGGTCTGTGGGGATGTCCTTGTACATTTGTCCTCACTGGATGTGCGGGTACATGATGCCACACACAGATTTGCACACACAAGCACACATTGACACCACCTGCTGTGCAACCTAATGTGAGGAAATGAATGCTACAGCTCCACCATCTGCCCCCTAGCACACACACTTACACACACACACACAGCTCTAACCCTTCAGTTCAGAAAAAACATACGACAAATCCTAATCAAGGGTCAGATTTAATTAACATATATATTACCAAATACGCAAAACACAAACTTGTCTTCTATCTTTAATGTTTTAAAAGTAGCTGTTTGTTTGAAAGAATATTTGATTCAATTGGATGAGACATCTGTCACATTAGAAGAGAGGATACTCTGCAGATTGGGTAAATGACCCCTCTTGACAGCAGGAGCCTGCAGCTTGCCACGTATCAAATATCACCTCTTCCCTCCTTTGTAGCAGGGTCAAACCATGTCCCCATGCTCTCTGTCTTTTTTGATTATTTTGCAAACAAATTCCCTCTTGAGAGGTAATTTTGTCACTGTGGTTGACATACATAATCTTGCATTAAAGATCCACTCTGATGAAAATCATGTTTTTCTTGTTGTCTACATGTTCATATGGCATTTTTCTGATGGTAGAGGTCAAATCACGAGAAACTAAGATTAAAATTACATTTCTGAGTATTTCTGCATTCAAATCCACACAAACAGCAGGTTCAGACACAGTGAGATTTTCTATGTCACATATCCAAGCTCCGCCCCCTGTGCCTAGCTCTGCAGGCCAGACTCGTAGAGGTAGAGAGGACGATTGCAGAACAAGCATGTGTGTTAGCAGATTACAATGCTCGTAAGAAAGCTAATTATGATATTAGCTTTCATCATGCCCCTGAGGACATTAGTATCCGAGAGCTGAATAGCTCCAATATAACCTGCTACTATGTTAGGCTGCAAGCTAATGTGAAGAGGAGTGTGCAGAGCAGTGCTGTCTCCGCCCACGACTCAGAGGTGAATTACTAATGAGCCCTTGAAAATGACACAGGTAACGTGAATTTGGCTAAAAACTTCATCATCATAGTTTAAAGACCACTGAGAACACTTTAAGTTGTAAAAAAATATGATCGGAGTGGGACTTTAACTGGATTTAGGTGTACAAATAAACTGTACTGCAATATTGGTTGATTTGGTCAACTTGTAAGCAGTAGGGATGGGGATGAATACTCAAGTAATTAAGTACTTATTACTTGAGTATCATTACACAACTCAGGCATGTGTTGTTCTGGGCTGAAGTACTGCAGCTTAATTAGCTATATGCATCATATCAGCTGTGATCAGGAAAAGTGATACATGCAAGTAAAAAAAAAGATGGCAATAACATGTTGTGAAAGATATGCAATATAAAAGTTGCATATCATAGAAAAAATAGTTTAACCACATGCACATAAAGCACAGGGAGAAGACAGCTGAAACATTTGATATACAGTCTCCCATCACAGTGTTTGTTTGCCCTGTTAGAAGACGTTAGTGTGATGATACTAGAGCGGATATAAGCTTACAAATAACAAAAATGATGACATGCTCTGATTAAGTTTTGTGGAAGTTTTTCAACAGGGGTTCAACAGGAGTTCAAAAAAATCTAACGATAGATATTGTGTTTTGCGCAAAAAATATTCCAATATTGGCAATTTTTCATACTGCCCTGCTCTAGTTCATCATAAAAAAAAAAAAAAAAATGAAGACAGCTTTTGGTAATCTGAGGCCTAATGGTCTGGGTGAAAAGCATCACAGTCACACACTGTAGTCCCGAAGCAAATGAATATGAAATTAAAAAATATAGCAGAAAAATGATAGTTGTGTACTTCAGATTTACCAAAGATGAGCAGTTCCATATCAAAATAGATTTGGGTGATGTGTCTAGACAACCCGGTGACCTTCTACATGTAGAAAAAAATTCTCAGGGTATATTTAAAAAGAGCTTGGTGTGAGTATAAATGAATAAGTAGCCCTAAAATACAACATCCTCTCTCATGCCATGAATCATTCATTCATAATGCATTAAACATGACTGAGAGGCAGCCAGGGAGAGAGACCAACGGTGTGTGTGTGTGTGTGTGTGTGTGTGTGTGTGTGTGTGTGTGTGTGTTTGTGTGTGTGTGTGGGTGCGTGCGTGCGTGCGTGCGTGCGTGCGTGCGTGTCAGGGTGTGTGGTGTATCCATTAAGGGTTTAATAAACTGGATTTGGCTTTAAGGGACAAAACCCTGGTTTCTGGCTGCAGGGCATGAGGGATTGGACCAACCAGGATTTGATAAATTATACACCTGTCTCCAGCATCTGTCAATCAAAACTGATGGGATGTAGAGAAGAGATGCAGAGAGGCATGCACTCTCCTGCACAATCTCTTCACAGTTATAAAAACACACACACACAGGACCACCAATTGTGCTATAAACCCACAACAAGTTGTTCCGTTTATTTACCAAGCGTGTAACAGTCTGATGGAAGAAATCTGTCGTTTTAATGACAAACCAGCTTTTAACAGCTTGGCCGACTAGAAAACACACCTGTGCGGGCTCTGGTCCAACACTCCAGAATGCATCACATGAGGGAGTATGACTGTTAATAAGAAAACAGCAGAATTCAAAGCTTCACTGTCATATAAGTTAAACTGAACTGCCACACAAAACATGGATAAGTATCAACCTCAGGTTTTTGTGGTTCACTGACATTGTTGGGCAAATAACTCGGAAATTATAATAATTTACTATCAAAAAAAAAAAGTAATTTGTTGAGTCAGAGCACCAAAACTAAACAGGATGAACGTCATGTAAATGTTTTAGAGGTTAAGAACTGGTTTAGAGTCTCAGCCTCATAACCTCAAGTAGTCCATTACTTCTTTCTCTGCAGAGTAGCTGTCCTTGGGCTCTCTCTCAAATACAAAAACGTCAATTTCGTCAGCGCTGGCAGATGTTGCTGAGGCAGCTGCAGGGTCCTCTGTGGGCGTAGTTGAGTGACACTCTGCTGTCGGAAGCTCCTTCCGATACTCTTCCCTGTTGTCATCTTTCAGCCATCAAAGTTTAAACTCCAGACAACTGGTAGAAGCAGGAAGAGCATCTCTGCTATCCTGTACACCAGCAAAACCAGTCTGGATAGCCTGAACTTAGACGTACTTCTACAATTACGCCAGGAAGGCTAGCTGTCTTTCTGGAGAGGGTAGCTTTCTAGGAAAGTGTCTTTGACATCAGGTTTTAGGGGGTTGGTAACAGAGTCAGAGTCATAACAACAGTTGCTCCCTTGTAAGATGTCCAACGCTGCCGTAAGCGGCTTCATTACACTGCAGTACCCTGCAGGAATTTGTACTCCTTGTCGCTGATGCACTTAATTCCCTGTTTCAGGCATAAGCTATTTGGCTCATTAATGGGAATTTCTGTGATTCTGGACACAGCTTTGTGAAACGAATACCAGCGGGTGGATGAGGGAAAACCAGACTCAAAGTTTATCTCTCCCAGTGTGGCCTTTAGATTAGACTCTATCACTGCTTATTCTCTCTCGAAATAGCCAGCAAATGTCTTTCTCTGTCGCAGTATTGCGTTGCTCTTTGTGGGTATATTTTCTATTTTTTTCACAGTAATGAGGGTGAGTCAACTGTGGAAATGGGTGACATCTCCTTTTCGATATACCCAGCTTCTGCAGGTCTTCTTGTCCAATCAAGGTCTCATGACTGTGTACTGATCCAGTGAAATCCAGTCTCCATTGCTTGAAGAGACAAGTCAACCAGTTTAACATTGCTGTGCTACTTTAGCAAGTGCTTCAATAAATTTGATGGCATACTTTTAGCAGTTGAAAGTGTTTTGCTACTTGTGCAAAATTTACAGATTATGACAATGTTCTTCACATCTTTGAATCTTTGACGGAAGCAAACTCAAAATAATGGCAGTACCTCCAGTACCTCTTTTCCATTCATCCTCCATACTGCCTTTATCTGTAGCTAGTAGCCGCCAAAACCTGCTATTACCTGCTGCGCTAAAACATCATTGATGGGCCGCCCAGGACAAAAACAACCAGGTAACACAGTAATGCAGCGTTATTTCGATTAGTTACTGTAATTTAACTGTTTTGGATATTGTAATCCCTTACATTAGTCATTACTGCAAAAAGTAATCTAATTACTTATAAAACATTACTACCCAACACTTGTCATTGATCATACAATCTTTAACTTTTGGGGATGCATATATCACAAAAAGACCGAAAGTTACATTTGGGTCAGGGAAATTCAGAAGTTCATTATAATCCTAAATTTGTTTGTAAATCACTTCCACTAAAAAAACGAAATAAAATCACAACAGTGAAGATGGTTACTGAGATTTGAGATTTGGTTTTATGGTAAAATTGTTCACATACACATTGTAAAAAAGTGTATTTAAGTGCACTATACTCTTAAAAATCAAAATGAATACCTCAGCCTGTGTCTTAGATTAAAGGTAATTTCTTTCCGTAGACTTATTGTTCCTCCCTAACCTTGATTAGGCAGAACATCCGTGGTCACTATTATAACAAAAGCACATGTGTATGACAGAGATCAAGAGAGTCGTCAAAAGGGGAAAGACAAGCCTCCTCTTGTAATGGTCACGGCCAGTTTCAGCGATTTTCTGGTCAATAAAAGGACCTTACAAAGGCCTCAAAGCATCAAAGCTCTGTGCTGTTAGATCTACAAAGACTGGCAGTCATTTAGCTCCTCATACTTCACTCCGTACAAAGCACTGCAGCTGAATCCTACACAGATTAAAACCCAATGGTCTGGAAGAACAATAACTTTGTGAGAGTGTCTGCCGTCTGGTTTTGTCTATTTACTCATAACTGTGCAATATTGCAGACAGACTGCACATGAAGTTGCAGATCAGTGTTTCTACTAACTGTATGGAAAAGAAGTTTGTTCTGCTACATGTTAAAACCTCACATTTTCCAAACTATTAATTGTCAGTAAGAGCACTCAGAAGTGAAAGGCTTTATTGCAACCTGACAAGGTCAAATTATCATTCAACTTCTCTATGAAGCTAAAATAAAATGGGAACTATGTTTTAATGTTAGCCAAACAAGGGAACAAAACATGCATCCACACACACCTTTAAAAGAGGAAAAATGTTAGTTGAAAGCTTTGATAAAGTTACAGCGAGTAGTTGGACGGCTTTTTGGATTCAGACTGATACAACTGATATTTTGTGAACCAGGAATTAGGAATGGACATATCAACATCCCACTGAGCAATAGACGGCTATTAGATGTGTAGTTTTTTTAGACCAAATTTCAACCATCTAGATTCTTTAATTTGATCTAAATGTTGCACTTTAACCCATTATTCGATAACTATTTATTTAAAAAAGCAACTGTGATTTGCATAACTGATCTCCAAGTACTTAACCAAATAATTATAATAGACATTGAGCAATATACAGTGTTGTATAGATATAGACCAGATTTAGACTTGGTCTAAATTTAGACCTGTGGTAGCCTGATTTTAGACCAGTCGTCTAGACGACATTTAGACATCCATTAGACCAAAACATGCTCAGTGGGATGGGAGCAGAAAAACACAAATTAATACAATTTTGTAGCTCAATTCTGTATCATGAATTTGAATTTTTTCTAAAGTGATGTCTATCCTTGTTAAACTAACCAGCCTTTCAAATTACATACATGCTTTGTTCCTGTTTTAAGCAAATATGACACCTTTCGCCACAGTGTCTAAACGCTCACAGAAGATAGTGTTTTTGTAAGTATTGAGGAGAAGACTTTATCCAGTCTAAATGACCCTGACAATGATGGTTTCTCCAACTAGATTCATCGTCATCGGAAAACATGAAACCACATGTACACAGCAGAAGTTCAAAACAATACAAGAACTTTTTTTTTTTTTTATCCCCAATGGAAATTCAGCAAGAAGTAAGAGGTATGCAGAGGGAAAAAAAGTGTAGAAATGAGGAAAGTGAATAATACAAGGACGCTGGCAGGGGTGGAAGTCAGTGGTTGGGCAGCAGGTTTGTAGGTGAGAAAAAGGAAATCCAAGGACGGAGCATAGTCACCACTTCTCTCCTTCTAATGAGTATTGTTATTTCTTGTTGTCGATATTTGGTTAGCATTAGTTTAATAATAAAAAAAATATTTACATAGCTGTACATTAAATTCTGTCTTCTCCCACTCCCCCCATGTTCCTCCAGTCCCTCCACCTTCCCTTTCCCTTCCTCTCGTCTCTCACTCTGGCTCTGAGTGATAAGCAGCAGCACCACTAATCAGGCTTGCCCTAAATTCGTCCATGCCCTGCAGGATTAGCATGTGCATGTGTGAGTATGTGAGCAATGTGTTTGTGTATGTTGGTTTTAGATGTAGCCCCAACACATTTAGTGTGTTTACTGAGTGTCAAATGTGTATGACGCAGCTTCTTTAAGAATAAGTTAATGAATCAACAAAAATCAAATCATTTATATCTAAATTTAAGAAAGACAGTACAACCAGCTGTGATCATGCTCTCCTGTTGTGTTATATTAACACCTCAGCACATCTTCCTTCATAATCGTTTAACTAAAGGGTATCAGATTCTTAAAATTTTCTTTTACTATAATCAAAGTTAGGAAAAATCATGAGGGGATGAATGACAATTAAAATATATTAATATGTTTTTTTGACACATATTATTGTCCAAAATTCTTCTGTTAGTTGTTGAAGAGTCTATTAATCCTTCAAACTCCTGGGAGAAATATGCTGTTTGCTTTGATTTTGGCGCCCCCGATGGTGAAACCATGCTTCTTTTAACTTTGCTGATCATGCTTTTTCATGTGTAAGTAGTGATGTGCAAAATGTCCACGACTCAATCCTTCATGGCTGTCAAACTTTTTATTTGCTTCTGTACCTCATGAATAGGTGTCACGTTTCAGACTGTTTTATAACCAGTTAAAAAGTCTTGGAGAGGGGTTTTAATCATGAAAATATGCTTTAGTAGAATTGAGAAAATGTGTGTTATATATAGAAACTAAGAGAAACTCTTTCTGGGTTCTTTGTTTCTTTCTTTGTGTGTAATACAGACAGAGTCTCATGGGCATGGCCTGTCCAAAGTTCTGGACATTGGATTCAGACTAAACAATAAGAAACTCCCTGTCTCTTTAAAACCAAACAAAGCCAGAGTAACCATAACATCTGCCAGACTGAAGCAGGTGTTCTGCTCTGTGAATACAAGGCTGTGAAACATCCTCACAGACCGTTGCCTTTGGGAAAACATAAAGCTCAGTGCAGTCATAAAAATAGTGATATTTCCCTTTAACATTGTTCATATGAAACAAAACATCGAAAGTGAACCAGGGCCTGAGCAACAAATGGTGTGAGAATGAAACAATTGCAGTTTTTAGGCACCTGGACCCGCTCAAAAACTTGTGATAGTCTGGTACAAAAAAAAATTTAAAAAGTATATTTTGTTGGATCTAAGAATAGGTGTGGCAAATTGGCTCACTAGCAGCCCCGAGTCGTTTTGCAAAATACAGCCTCTTGGGTCAGTTTCATTTTGAACACATACTCAATTTCTTGGGATTTGTTGACAGGAAGTCTGCAACCCTAAAAAACTTGTGAAAATCACAGATTCTGGCCCATTGACTGAAATTCTTCGAGGGTAAACTCCTCATTCAGAGAAACCTCATATTCCCACAGTATCTGCATGTGGTGGCACATGCATATCACATATTGCATGTGCTGATGCAACAGCTGGTCAGGGTCACATGTTTGTCCCCCAAAGACCTCTGGTGTCAAAAGCTCACTGCGCCGTTTGAGCTGAAGGAACAACAGCAGCTAAACCAACAGGCTAAGTCAGACCTTTGCACACAAGGACTTATGACAAGTAGAGCAAATCAAATATGTGTTCAAAGACATTTCATTTTGAGGAGGTTTATAATCTCTTTTAAAAATATAGCCAAAACTTGAACATTCAATGCACAGAAATTATAGAGCAGCTTCCTCTAACCTCTTTAGGATGAAAACCACCTGTTTGTTAATTCTGATGTGATGAAGAAGGAGAACTTTTAGGTATAGACTTATGATTGAAACTACTCCAAAAACATCTAAAATACTTCCACTGAGTAAAACTAAGTAGCTATAGTTAACCAGGAAGTCTAGTTTGATGACAATCAGTATGTTTACATGCACAGTTAAGTGATTTAACAGGACCACTGCCCTTGTCCCAGTTTACGTACACTGGGCAAGAATCAATGCCTTAGGTTACTGCCTACAAACTCAAATTAGTGTCTCATTTTCATTCACCTGGACGAGCAGATCTACTTAACACAAAAACAGTTAAAAAGGCCACTTAAAGACACATAGGCTGTTTTACATTGATGGCTTGTTTGCTCTGTTGTGATTTAGATGAAAAGATGCTGCATCGTTGGAGCTCCGGCCTCTCCTGATGTTTATTGAATATCATGCATTTGCTCATTGTCAGTTGCAATTGAAATTGCCTATCAGCTTTATTACCGCATCTGTTGGTAGTTGAATACCAACATCAGCGTGTTGTGTCAAGCAGTTGTTTCAGTTGGTTAGTAGTAGAGCTGAGCAATTAATCAGATTTTAATAATTACAATTAAGGCTCCCTATGATCATTAACTTACAATAATAGAGACTGAAAAAAGTTTGGGAGGATGAGGTAAACTGCTGCACATCTGTCTGTATCCTGTCCATTACAGCTAAAACCTACTATCAATCCTGAATGATGCCAAACACTTAAAAAAAAAAAATCTTCAGGGTTTTTGCTTCCAATAATATTGCACATGGTAACTACAGTATAGTAAAAGATTGTAATCACACGCTTCCCCCCCCAAAAAATAAAAAACATTAAAAAAAATAAAAAATAAATAAATAAATTACAAAATAAATAAATAATAATAATAACAATAATAATAATAATAATAATAATAATAATAATAATAATTTAAAAAAAAACCTCTAATGATATTGTGCCACATCCAAAACACCCATAAAGTTTCGGGCTTGGCCTGAAGTAGCAGGTATTAATTAACCAGCATGTTAGAGTGAAATTTGGCCTCTGATGGAGGCCCAAGATCAAAGCTTTTAACATTTAGCCAATGGCAATGGAGCCCTGAGGGCGTGTGTGGGGGAGTGTAATTGTGTGGGAAGCTTTGTGGATGCCAGCCCATATTGCTGCAATCTGAACAAATAATCAAGTCACTGTGTAGGTTTGAATGACATGCAGGCTCAATAACCCTCAAAATCTCCCTGATGTTCGACACTTTATTCCAGTTCTTATCCTTTTGTATTATAAACAGTTCATCCTCTCTTCAGGAGGCTCTCCTGGAACTCTGTGTCTCATAATGGCCCTTTCTGAGTGGGGAGAAATGCCTTAATGCTTCCCTCTTCACTTTTGTGCTCTTCTTCTCTCCTCTCAGTTTCACTTAAGATCAAGAATAATGGCCAGATTGTTTTCAAGACTCAAACGACTCTAAATCCCCCTTGGGCCTGCCTATAAGAGTGAATCACATTCACAAAAGCATTCCTTTTTTCATGCTTTAAACTTCCTATGTTCATGCCATTTTATGGCCCGAGTAACAGAAACACCTCTCTGTGTGGCTGTTGGTTCAGTCGAATAAATCATAGATGCTGATTTAAACATGACACCCTCTTTGACCTCTGACCCTTTTCTCCATTCAATCAGATCCTTTCACACACTTTTCACACAACAGTGTCTGATGATCAATGTGTGTGAGTGTATATGTGTGTGTCAGTGTGTGTCTGATGACCTTGCAGCTGCACTAAAAACCAGTCTCACCAAGCAGCATGATGAAGGAATAAATTCAACACATCCTTTCTGTTTTTATTGGCGGCCATACTTCTTTTCTTCCGCTTCAGACTCTGTTATCAAGGTCTGCTGGATCATAGTATGTTCTGTTGCTGTCTAATATTCCTTCCTTTTTATATATCACTCTTTGTGTCTGCAGTTTTAAAAGCTACTTGGGCATGTTAGGTTTTCTATGTGAGCAGAGTGAGAGAGAAGTGTAACATTGAAAAAGAAGCACAAAGAAATCTGAAATCATTAAGATTGTGCAGAGAGTAGGGAAAGGACAGCAAATATGGAGAACAGGAAGAGCAGCAGATGGAAGAGATACAGAAATGAAGAGGTAGAGATAAAGTGTTCAAGTAATGAAAAAGAAACACCAACGAAAGTTATAATTTCAAAAATCAAACTGCAGAAAGTTTTCACATTGTGCAAAATGTCTCTTTTTTGATACTCATATGAAAATATGTAACATCATTGTAATGATTAATACAGATTACTACCAATTTTAACCTTGTGAATGAATTTAAAGATGTGTTTTGTATTCTGTTTAGATATTAGTTTTAGAGTTTTATAAACAGATTTTTGATTTCTGAGATTCTGCATGCCATCTAACTGTAAACCACTTCAAAACCGTCAAACATCTTATTGATTTCTTTTGCCCCTGAAAAAAAGCACTCTAACTTACTGAGGCCATTTTCCATGCCTTTTTCTGCAGGGGTGGCTGCTGTGGATCTGTGTGCATGTCTATGGTGATATATAGCAGCAAAGGCCAAGGGGTCAAGTGCTCTGTTCTAGTAAAATGGGTGTGTGTTTAAAGGGATGACAGCTTGATTTGTCCGACTGGACACTTTCAAGATAAAAAGACTAAATCTTAAGAGCAGATGGAACATCATGCAGGATGTATTTCTGGTTTAAACATCAGTCTTTATGAGTCTGATTTATCGAGGCAAGTTTGAAAAACACTCTAATTCAGAATCAGGAGTCATATGGAAAAATAATTATCTGCTGCCATTACCAACCAACCTTGTAATTGATGTTACAGGCCACAAGTATGCCAAAGATTGTTTGCAGGTACACTTTCAACAGGTATTAGCTTGGCTATAAAAAAACATGGCATTAAGTAGGGATGGGCGATAAATTGTCAGAAAATTCCCCCATGATAAATATTTGCCATCTCACGATAAACACAATAAATGCAAGTTGATGACAGAAGCACAAGTGACAGACTCACAGCAATAGCCCACACAGAGCTGAGTAACGAACAAACATGGCCGAAGGTAAAGAAGACATCTCTGAGGAGCTTGTTGCTAAATGAGGCTCAACATGAGGGATTTCCTTCAAGATTGGGGTTTAGACCAGTGAAACCAGGTATGCCTGACATCTGACAGTGGATCTGCTCACTCTATTCACTCTGTGCAATAAGAGTTTTCAATAAATGTTGAAAGTGTTTTTACATTTCACTAGTTTTCTCTATAATCTACCCCTAAACTTGTGCATAAGTATCTTATTTGACTATGCCAACTGGTAAGTGCCTTTCAAGAACAATGATTGTGGTGTACTCAAGACAGAATTAGTCAAAAACATATCAAGGAATTGTAATATTTTTTAACTGGACATTTATTATTAACGCCAGAATGGAAAATATTATCGTGATAATTTTTTGGCCTACTATATCGCCCATCACTCGCGTTAAGAAATATATATATATATATTCCAGAAAAAAGTTTTAAACTTCTGAAGGAAAAAACTCCTGATTTAAAATATTCTCCATGAAAGTGAAGTGTAAAGGTGATAAAACATCTGGTCCGAAATGATAGTCTTCTTTAGGTTTGTGATGAGTTGAATAACCCATGAGCCACTCCTTTTACACACACACACACACACACACACACACACACACACACACACACACACACACACACACACACACACACACACACACACACAGTCAGGCATTAATAAAACATTTGTTAAGAGATCATGGGTGTGTATGTGTATGTGTATGTGGCTATGTGTCACTAACAATAGATCACAGCAGTGTCACGAGGGACGGACGCCCTTGCAGACAGCGACCTCCGAGCTTTCATTGAAAATCTTCATTCTTACTTGTGCATGATTGTCTGTGCATCAAGCTGGTGAGAAATCAAATATATATTTCCTGATAAATTGCCCTTGATAAATTGAGATTGTAATGTGTCGTGTGTGCATAGCATAAGAGTCTCACATCACTCTCTTTAAACCTGGAAACACCGGTTGTGTGAGAGTGTCTTGGTTAGGCAATAACCTTTTCAAGAGGAAATTTTAGACAGGTGGGAAAGTAACCCATTCTTTCAGTGAACACAAGCATGCATTTTTTGCATATTTTTAACACAATTATGACACACACACAAGCACACACATTCGCACACTGAGGACAGTATTGCTAAATAAATTATGTTCATTATTTCCACATGACTACAGCTCCTGTGCTGATTCACTGCACTGTCAGTCAGCTGGAGGGTCCACACACACTCACGCAGCAGAAATCTCAAACACGGGGGTAAAACATGCTCTTTCAAATTAGTACATGCACACACACACACATACACACACTCTGCAGCACACAGCATTAAGTTTAACTAAAACATTACACAGGAAGAATCTTGTTTGCCTCAATCCCGGTCTACTTTTGGAGGCAGAGAAACAGAGAAACAGAGGAAGACAGTTAAAGGCTTAGGCAGAAGTAAAGGCAGACTGTATGAAACATTTAAACTGAGGCAGGATAACTGCAGGGTGAGACGAAGTTCAGACATTTGTTCACTACAATGCAATTTTAAGGCTGGTAGGAGCTTCAGGAAGATTATTGGTTGCTGTTGGTCTTTTTTTCTTGGTGTAAGTCCTTTTGTTAACTTTAAAACACGTGCAACACTTTCAAATGTTGTCTTGTCAAAACAGCCTCCAGCAATAAGAAACCAATTCAGGATTGGCTTACCTAAGCTGTGTTTGTGCTCAATTAAGTTATGTTGGAAACTTCCTCTCTCTAGAAGGAGAAAAAAGACTTTACATAAAGGTAAAGTTTAAACTTCAATGTGCAGTTTTTGGCTTTGCAGATGAACCCTTGTCAATGTCGCTCATCAGTTTAGGAACCAGAATCCCTAAATCCAATTCAGGGTTTAACATTGAAATGAATTAAAAGCTGCAACCCACGAACTCTAAACTTAATTTAAGGGGGTTTTGTGCCTTTAAGGGAAGCTCTGGCATGTTTGTGTACCTCAAACTTTGATTCAGTGATGTAACCTTAAATATCCAACCGCCTCCTCTTTACTCCCAAAACCAATCTCCTGCCACCTTCAGGGTAGATTTGCTTTTGAAGTGCTTTTTGCAAAATTACCAACTAGCACAAAGGAAAGGTTTTAAATGAATCCTTCTTTATTTACAACCTGATTTTAGATAAGGTTGACTGTTAAAATTGACTGTCATTTGTGATCTCTACCAATCTGGTTTAAAGATGAATCCCAGAGCAGAGACTGCACTTATCGAATTTGTAAATGGCCTGAGGTTAAACATGGATAGAGAAATGTCTTCTGTCCTGTTGCTGCTTGATTTGAGTGCAGCCTTTGACATGGTGGACCATAAAATTCTCTTTGACAGACTTCACAGTGTTATTGTTATTTCTGGCACTGTTTTGAACTGGTTTAAATCCTTTCTTACTGATAGAGAATATTATGTTAGTTTGGGTGAATTCTCATATGGACATTATGAAAATAACTGTGGTATCCCCCAGGGGTCATATTTAGGTCCTATTCTTTTTAACCTTTATAGAATCCCTCTTACATGTATATGTGTATATATGTACATTTATACACACTCACGCATATATATATATATATATATATATATATATATATATATATATATATATATATATATATACACACACACACACACACAAATATATATATATATATATATATATATATATATAGAGAGAGAGAGAGAGAGAGAATATTGGTTGTGTAGAGGAAGCGCTGATAGAGGCGAAAAGCTTCATATACACTAAACTCACTCACACATACAGAGAGATGTACTTGATGGCTGGTGGGTTTCAGCCCTGCAGCAAACACTGTTTCCCAATAGACAGACTGCAATACCCATAAAGCTGTTTCCCTTCCCCCAACCTCTGATAACGTATGCAGCTATACAGTTATAGGCTCATTTCCTCTACAGCGAACTATGCTCTGATAAAATGAATATTTTTTAATTATTTTGAAATTAAAGGTGCCCGAGAATCCAAACCATATAAGGTGATTAATGACCAGGGAGTTAGAGTGCTGGACAAAGTCCTTACTAACCCTTCACTATCTGCCTTTCCCTATTATTCAATCAGTCAATAAATGCTAATAATACTTTGTAATGCATGCATTTATTGGGTGTATTGACATTGCCAAAAGAATAAAAATGTGGTTTACCCTGTTATAGGAGATGTAATGTGAATGCTACTGTGGTCAAAGATAAATAACACAACGGGATCCAAGCATGCTTATCTCAGCACCTTTCCAAACACACCTTCACATTTTCCTTACAAGCATTGTCATAGCTCTTGATTTCGTAGGATAAAATTTACTGTTTAATTGCGTACAAAGGTCCCAATGTTGTAAATTGTGTCTAACTTTTCCTCACTTTGGCTTTAGTAGGTCCATGTATCATGTGCATGGATTAACAGTCCTTCAACTGTAACATGGAGCCAAAAGATGGAGTTAATCATCTCCCAGTCAAATGGTTGGTGGTTTGAAACAAGCTATTGTCATCAAATGTCAAAGTGTCCTTGAGCAAGACACTAAACCCCAATTTGCTCCCAGTGGCATGGCAAGTGGTGTGTGAATGAGATTAGTTAAGACTAATGAACACGTGTGAATGGGTGATTGTCATATCCAGTTTCGAGGGAGTTCGACAGGCTGGAGGACTAAAAAAAGTACCATGTTTACAGTATATTTGCTATTTACATTGAGAATAATGTAAAACCCAATTCATATTACTCATATGTGCTAATGTATTAGCCCAATATAAAAGAGAGAGTCCCATTCTGACCAATAACTGCTTTAAATATACAATTTATTTGCACTTACATCTATCTTTAGTGTATATTTTTAATGTAAATGCCGCCACACAATCAGAGACTCAGTTTAGATTTACTGTAAATCTATTTCAGTGGTCATTGATTGTCAGGAACCGTGACACAGAGATTAAAGCTAGCGTCTAAGTCGATATTCTTGTCAGAGGGGTTGCCTTGATCTATTCATTCACCCCGGACCCCTCCCCTATCTTTCAAACACACACACAGGCCCATTGTGACAAAATGCTGACATAGGTAGAATATCCTGGTTTGGAGATGAGTTTTTCAGTCCCACAAGTCCAGCCCCCTTTCCTGATGTAATTCATTTAAAGGCTGATTTAATTCTCCTCTCCTCTGCTCTGTCTCTCTACACTTGCTTACATATGGTAAAGACAAGGTTTTGTCTGAGTAAATGTGTAACTTTGGTCTCTGATTTATGTTTTTATTGACACAAAGTGCCAATAACCTGGATGAGTTCACAAGATCCCAGGAATATGGTTCCAGTGGTCCAAGATTTCATTGCAGAATCATGCAAGTTCCTTTTACAAATCAGTTTTAAAAATTGCATTCAGCCTAGTTCATTTTCTCAGGTTTCTCATTATCCTCCAGCCAGAGGAACGCATATCCCTTGAGTCCTCATGGATGTTACATTAAATCCAATAAATACTCTCATTCCTAAATTTACTGTATTCAAATAACAAACAAACCCTGTCCTCCTCCAGAGTGGCAATAACCTGCTGTTATCCAAAGCTAATGCTAGCTCTGTGTCTGCACTCGAGTTTAAAGGTCATTTCCTATGTTGCTTTGCATCTCCATTCTCCTCGGTGACGTCACTGTCACTCTGGGCGACAAGAGGAAATAAGAAGGCGGGGCTTTCCTTCCTGACCCCATCTGCAATACAATAGTCTCACACACACATGCGCACGCACACGCAATCACAAACACACACACAAAATCAGTGCTTTGGTAGAGTAGGAAAAACCCTCATGTGCAAAATGTGTATGTATGTGAATTTGTGTTTGTTGCTTTTTGCACCCTAACTGCTGCTAATGCTTTTGCTTTTTAATGAGCCACAGCAACAAGTAGAAGTGAATCTAGGAAACACTTAACCTGATTACAGACAGACAACAGAGAGCAAAGGTCTGAATTCTGACTCAGTTTAATAATCAACATACTTAATTATACTTGCCTAGATATCCTGAAAAATTCACGGTTACACTCAGTGGAAATTCAACATAAACAACTAGCATGAGACATATTTTGCATCGTACTTTTCACTTGCCTTTCACCGTCTCATAACTGAAGTGTCTAGTCTAAGCTTGTATACATACTTTGTAATTTCATGTTTAATGTTTTTACATAGAGGGCAAAGTTTACCAGAGTTAATTCCTTGCAGGTGCACACATACTTGGCCAATAAAGCTGATTCTGATATCCCTCAGTGGTAGCTAGTCTTTCATTCTTTCTTGTTGATCGCTCACACCTGCATGACCTACTTTACAACCGACTCACTCCTCATATGTAGACAAACTCTCACAGTAGGTCAGCTCTGGTCAGTCATAAACCATAACCTTGTCTGAGTGCTCAACATCAAGATAAGGAAGAGAAAGAGGGGGGAGCAAAGGGACTTGTGACCGTAGTAAAAGGTTGTACTCTGTAGTTTGAGGAAGCTAATTACATTAGCTCGAGTCTTTTCCTGGAAGGCCATTTTCCCAGTGGCAACATCCTCCATATGTTTCCCCCTCATTGCTCACTAACTGAGACACAAGGGGCAGTTGGATTTGACCTCGTTTTGATTTCAGATTCCATAATCTCTGCTCATGTGAACATTTTTGGTAAAAGTATCAGGATTAACTGTTTTCCTTATTTGCTTGTCAGCCATTTTGTTTTCTTTTGTTGAGCAGGAGTGATTGGACAAAGGTCATTCCAGATATTAAAATCACAAATATGTGGTTAATGGCTTTAAGACTTTGGAAATAGTATACTCAACATCAATGGGAATTCAAGGGGATGCAGAATAAATTAGTCATTCTGTCTTCTTATTATTATCTGTTGTCAGTACCAAACAACTTAAAGGGAGGATATCATGCTTTTCCACATTTACAACAGAAACTGCAAAGTTACAAAGTTTGGTGTCCATACAAGTATGCAAAGTTTCAAATTACAAGGTAAACCTATTTTGTTATAATCTGAAAAAGTAGATGTTCAAATCTCGGACAAATGCACGAAAAAGCAAGACCACAGTTTATGTACGAGATTAACTAAATTCTGATGCAAGAATTATAGACTCTAGCAGGTCCAAAACATCGAGCTCTGACCTTGGCCAGCTTCCAGAAAGACTCTAAGAAGTGGCCAATCAGAGGTAAGTAGGCTTGTAGAAGGAGGGGCCTTAAAGAGACAGCAGTTAAAACGAACAGTTTCAGACGGAGGCCAAAATGATAATATTTTAATAAACCACTGTGAGAAATTTGGGGCTTTTTTGATCTAATAGTCAAGTCAAGCTATTAAAGAGTTATTGGAAAGGAAATTTTGAGTCTGAAAAAAATGCATAATACCCCCGCTTCAGATAAAGTTCAAACAGCGGGAGGCTGTGGCACATTTGGTAGAGTCGTCTCCCAATTGGAAGGTTGAGCCGACTAAATGTCAAAGTGTCCTTTGGGAAGACACATGACCCAACCTGCACCCACTGGTTGCACCCATTGGTGTGTGGATGGAGTGGACTCTATACATCACAGCCTCTGCCACCAGTGTGTGAATGTGGTGTGAATGGGTGAATGTGACATGGGATGTTAAGTGCTCTGGGTGATCAGAAGACTATAAAAATAACCAAGTTACCATTTACCTCTATTTGAAAATGTTTATGTTCTATTAGTTTTGCCTTTTTTTAAGCAGCTGTACAAAAAAAATAGCATATATTCATTATTGTAGTTTTAATCAGGGAGTTGCTTCAATATCATTTAGTTATTTTACTATTTTAATTAAGCTGTAAGCTAGTCTCGTATTTCCTGTGTGCATTGCATAATTTTCATCAGCACACAAAAATGTCACACTTACAACTCATACATTTTGGAGTACACTTAACTCGTTTTAATGGGGTCAAATTTAACATAAGGATAGCACAGGGAATATCGAGGCAGGAAAAACCATGGCAACTTCCTGCATCTATTTAAGAAGCTGAATTACTTAAACTATGTTATAATAGTCAGAAAAACCCTAAATGTTAAGGTCCCAGAAAATAGAGTCCAATAATAGCGGTGTATTCATTAACCCTAAGCATCTTTTATTTTATCATTGCATAAAGATTTAAACCTCAGTTTGGAAATACAAATCAAAAGTAATAGAATTTTAAGAAGACAATGTCCCTCCTCTCCACTGTATTTTACTGAACTGACCTCAAATTGACATTAACCTGGAAATATTGCTTTGTTATAAAATGCTGGAAGGCTGCAGAGCAGGATGTGTTCCCTTTAAAGCTATAATTAACTTTTCAGAAAGCTCGTGCCACATCACTGTTTCAGCATGCTGTGATGTTTGCACTGCCTCATGTGCACAGAAAAGAGGACGTCAGCACAGTGACAGTGCAGCATCACAGCACAGGTGATTTATGTTCCAGTCAGTCTACTATTCTGCCACCCAGTCCCAGACCTCTGCATGAGAGAGAGAGAGAGGATTTCAATTCAGTGCAGCTGAGTAAAAAAGAAAGTGAGGCTGCAGCCAGGACTTCATGAAGTATTGAAAGGATGAGTCTCATTACATCCACCTTTAGCCTGAGGAGACAGTGTGCAGGAACAAAAACTCTGCTGAGCTGCTGCTGTCATTATGTAATCAGCACTCAACATCAGCATGTAAGGCAGGGGAGAGAAACGTGTTCAAGACGCACCCTTACTTTGAGAGCCATTTAGTATGTCCCCATCCACCACACAGACAAACACACACACATGCACGGAGCAGAGAGCAGTGTGATGCTTTCATACTGACATAGACAGCACCTGCTTCCAAGGCAAATCTAAGTGATGTTAACCTCCCAAACAAAGACAGCACGTCTCTGCTGTCAAAGTAAATAAAAGTGAATCCTCCCCCTTCTTTCCTTCTGTCACCTCTCTCTGAGGAAAGAAAAAAAAAGTAGTTTTCTTCAAGTTAATTTGCTGTCTTTCTTTCCTTTGGCTTCCCTAGAGTGTGACTTTCCCCCCAGCCACCTCTCTCTGTCAGCGCTGGCTCCATCCACTGTGTAAGCCAGCAGGGGTGGCCGCTCTCATCTAATAAGCCTCTGTCACACAGATTAATCCTCACTGAAGATGAATCCCCCCCATGTAATGGGTCAAACCAACTGCCTGCTTGATTAAACCCAAAGGGAGAGACAGAGTGGGTCACACAGCGAGAGAGCAAGGGAGGGAGTGATAGATCGGGGGGATAAAAACTTCTCTTCTCATCTCTCCTCCTCCTTCTCTCAGGCCTCCATCAGTCTATAAGACATGACAGCTCTTCTTGACTTCCCACCCTTATTTCTCATATTTCTGTTCTCTACCCATCCAATTTAATTTTCTGTTGGTGATGAGAAAATAATACATGTCTTTCTCTCTCAGCTCTGTGGGTTTGTGCTTCCATTCTGAGCATCCCACAACAACGAGATCCCAAATATACTCAATTAAAAAAAGCCAAAGCTTTTTAAGTCTTGATTCCTCGTAGTTCTTCGCATAATTTGTATGACTGAGTTTAGCATCGGTGAAGTCATCCATTTGTTTCTAAAGTGTAGTTTTGAAAACAATCTGCTGCAGTCGCCATATTAGAATTGCTGACTCAACCTACCAGGGGCGGGTTTTACGCTGCGTTCCAGTTACCTTGGAAGTGGGACGTCGGAGCTGGGGATGAGATAACTCAGAGTTGATGGCGTTCCAGTAAACAAGTCGGAAATCCAAGATTTTCTGACTTGGAGCTTGGAAATCCTGTCTTCCGAGTACAACTGGAATGCAGCATTAGCCTCCTCACAAGTGACTACAGTGTGTGTGCCTGTCAGTCAAGTCAGCTCTGCCTCTGATTTGCCAATTATGTATCCTGAATAATGTCATAGGAAACAGGTAAAAAAAAGTTTGAAGCTAATCAGCCCAAAACTTTTTTGGCTGTAAATGTGAATTTTTGCTCTAAAAACTGGCTTTTGTGGCTCAGTCAGCCCGTTTACAAGCCCAGCTAAGGCAAGCTGTCATTATATCTTGATTAGGCAATTTAACGCTTGTTCCAGTTTACATGTACTGGGCAAAAATTTTGAAATACATTGTTCAATACTGTTTTAAATATAAGTTTGTCAACTTTAGGATTAAACAAATACTACCAAAATCCCTTAAATTTGATAGTTGGTGACCAAAATACAGAAAATTATTGTATTATGCTGTTTGATTTGACAGCTTTTAAAATTTTCAAATGTTCTCCTCAAGATTGATTTTAAAAACAAATGTTAAATACAAGAATAATACACTAATACACTAAGAATAATCAAACAACTATTTTAATCTATTGGACTCCCTGCTCTCATAACAAATGGTAGATGTGTAGACAAACACGTGCACAACACACAAACATGCAGAGAAACAATGAGTGATTCTTATTCAAAGATGAGCGACCCAAAACAAAAGCAGAGTGAATTCCAGCACAGCTGCACCACCCAGTTCTTTAGGACTACCTTTGCATAACAGACAGGTGTACACACACGTTCATTGTTGTTGTCTGTGTGTGTGTGTGTGTGTGTGTGTGTGTGTGTACGTTACACTCTATCAGGTAAGCTCTACTTCTTGCATCTTAAGGAGCTTAATATTAGAGTCATCCTCACATGTATACACGTTTGTTGTTGCTAACCCTGATTAGTGGTCAGAGATCTCTGGGACACATTTTTGTCATTCTGCAGTTTACAGCTTTTCGAAATGATAATAAAGTTTGATTTGAGCTAATACTAGTTTTTTTTCATAGATATGAGAGACTGTACCTGCTTTTTTTGAGTGCACAGCATATTATTAAGGTCTTCACCACAGGTTGATAGCATCCAGGCCTGACAGCAATGATGTCTTACAAAGGCTGGCTGACAAGTCATCAACAAATGCAGATACACTAATTCTTATGAAGAGAAAACAACAACAACGAAACTGTTAAAAAAAACATGAACTTGTTTCCCTCAGTAAAGGGTATGCATTATCAAGCCAGAAGAGGATGATGTTATTAATCCTTTCTACATTACAGCTGAAGTTGGCAGTATTAAACACGTGTAATAAAGTTGGCATGGGTCTTAAAATGGTATACACACAAAAACACACATTTTAGCACACAAACAAAACTTATCTAATGTGTTCTACTAAATTAACAGACAGTTAAATGGCCAGGAGTAAATATTTGACTACTACATTAACTCCCTCTTTCTTGTTCCCTGTGCCTGGCAACAAAACACAGTATAGTTCAATCTGTAGTTTGTAATATCTTAAAGTTGAGGCTAAAATACATAAATATGTTTTCCTTTACAGTCATCTCACTCTACGGCAAAGTAACACACTTTCTGTACTTTGGTGCACTGAGATCAAATTGGAGTGTTATGGATCTTTAACTCTAACAACCATCTGAAACAGCGGTGATGAAGGGATGAAAAAAAAAGAGTGAAATTAGTGCAGACTAACATGCACGTTTCTCTAAATTATTCAGCAGTCATCACAATCTTTTATGACCCCAAGGACATGAATATCCTGCAGTGTGGAATTATATTAGAAAAAACTATTTCAGATCATGTTTACCCTTGTCAGTGGGTCTCCACTAACTCTGGCTTAAAAATAAAATTTATGAGATTTATTTGTTGACCATTTACCCAAGACCCTACAAAATCCATTGTGATTTTTTATATGTTTTAATTTTATTCTCCAATCCATTTTTTCCCATTTTAATGCACACCTACATTTCAATTTCAATGAAAACTCCTTATTCAATATTGACACAAAAGGCTGAGGGCTATGATTCAGTCATGTTGGTAGTATTATGAGATACTTCACTGTGTTAACACAAACTTACATGTAGTCCAAACTACTTCAGAATGTTCTTACAATGCTTTAAATGAACATCATGCTGCCTCTTCCACTTACTGAACCAAATCTCCCTCTATCTTACTTTCCAAACCCAGCATCACTGCAGCAGACGGGTGTTCACCTTGAGTCTGGTTCTGCTGCGGTTTCTGCCCGTTAACAAGACATTTCTCCCCACCAATCTAGCTTGTTAAGTTTTCCAAAGTGGAACTGTGGCTGACTGAGCTGAAACTACATTCATTTATACTCATCTGTTATCCACATGTGTGTAACATTCCCGCATCTGTTTGGGACAAAAAAAGCACCATGCTTGGTTAAAGTCAGCCTGACACTCTTTTTACAATGTGCAGGCTCAGACTAGATGAACACAACGAAAGCATGCGAAAAAGACAAGTATGGATGACGCAAAATTTGAGTATGATTTTATTTCCATTAGAAGGATGACTCTGAAAGATGAGGTGATACTTAGAAAAACGGAACACTTCCTTCCAGCGTTTTTACACACTGATTCATGAATATTTCATCAAGCTCATGAGCAGAAACATGCTCATTCTTTCTAACCTTGAATCAAAGTGTGACTCTCACAGTCATTTTGGTATTTTTCGATTTGTAGGTATATTAGTTTGCTCACATTCAAGGCCTGGTCTCCACTGAACTGATTTTATTTCATGAAGTGCTTTCCCCGTTGAAACGGGGTTAAAACCTGGGTTAAACTAAGGGCAGTATTGCTGTTAAAAATCCAGTAAGACAGCACGACACAGTAAACAGTAGCTGTTTATTGTGTATTGAGAGGATTATTTGCGAAGGTTTGAACATAACAGCTCACAGGAGTAAGCCATTAATACTGTTAATCAACACTGAAAACAAATAAAACCAACCTCATAATAAATCAGCAAGTCTGCACAGCCATGAACCCTCTGTACTGAACAGCCATGTGTTTTCTGAAATGTGTGTAATAGGTCACCGATGAAGTATAACTTCCTACGCCCCGAGCAGATCCTGGAAGAACAAAGTCAAATGTGTCAAGGAGCTTTTCAAAGAACAGGACACACATGGATGCACTGAGACAAATTTAATCCGAACATTAACACCCTGCCAATGGCTGTTAAAGTAGCCACCTACCAGGCCTTGGATAAACTCATTATCAAAGTAATTCACATTAGCTACCAAACGAAAAGCTTATTTCCTCTTCCTTCCTGACCCCCCATGGTTCACCCAAACCCATATGTTTACATGGTTTAAGTCCACATGACATCTCAGTGTCTTTAATGTATTAAGTCCTCCCTTTCAATTCCCAAATAGTGCATTAGGCGGGCTCACTACAATAATATACACATGCACATAAAAACACACACAAACATTATCCCATTAACAGATTGCTGTTCTTTCAATTTATGCTAGTTCACTGACTGAATGAACTTAATTTTGAAGGATAAGCCATTAGCATAAGCCTTCCTGAAATTCCTCTTAACAACCATTTGTCTGTAACATTTCAAGAATGATTTGGAGCAATGTTATCAGCTCAAAGTAAACCACACTCTTGTTGATTTGATGCATCTTTTATCCATCAGTTTTCCCCTCATTTTTAAGCAGATAATGTTGCCTTAACAGCACGACAGACAAATATACTTTATGTACTTTCATCCTTATGATAATTTGATTTTTTAAAGATTAAACATGATTAAGATACTATCAAAAAACAACCTATGGTACTCACATTTTTATTTCAAACAAGCTAAGAAAGGTCACCTTCTTTTATTAATAGTTCATTTGTTTGTTTGTTTGTTCGTTGGTTTGTGTTAGATAAGGTAAATAAATGCATGTAATTTTTTTTAACAAAACACATTTCAACATTAGGCCAACCAGATTAATTCTTAATTGAATTTACAGCTAAAAGGAAAGAGATTAAATTCTAGTAATGATAGCAGTTGTGATATTTGGTTTTTGGCCGTTCTGAAAAACTAATTTTCTTTACTCATTTTAGATGACCTTTAAAAATATGTTTCTTCTAACATTAAGGCAAACATTTTCATTTATTTAAATGATGAAGATTACGCATGTGCTCGTAATTTCCACATTTGTGTGTACAACCTCTTACCGGTGCTGGTGACATTTCATCTTGCTTGATTTCATTCCGCTCTGCACAAGCTGGACGCTCATTTCTTTTCTGTCCCATTTGGAAGAGGGGGCCGTTACGTAAAAGCACTTAAGCTGATGAGATTGCACAAGACTGTGATGCCATGAGGCCATTCAACTGAACACTGATATGATGTCCTATTGGAAAGTCAAGACTTTAAATCATGACAGGTTCAGATTCCTGTAAGAACTCGAGGGTCTGGTTTCACATTGTGTCTCTGAATGTGCATGTTATAAGACTTTTATTCTTATAAATGGGTGGACTGTCTTTTTCTTCTATAAAGGGCAAACAAGAGATCCCAACATGCACTTCATTTTTTTGTTGTCTTTTCTTTTGATTGTTAATCTTTGATTTCAGTGCTATTGCGTCTATGTATGGTGCGTCTGTATAATCATTTGTCATGCTAAAATGCCATCAGTGGTTAGATAGATGATGCTTTCAGGAGGCCCCTCTGCCCAACGGGTACAAAAACAAACATAATACACATATGAATGTGAATTCACACCAACAACACACATTTTAGACAGCCTGTCTTTTGCTGTAATATTGAGCTAAAAGATGAAAGTATAGCATCTGTCTGGCTCTAAAGAGCATCTCTCTTGCTTTCTCTATTCCCCCTGGACACGGAAAATCTCAAACGCATACACAATATACACATAGAGGCACAGCAGACACCTCAATTATGATAATGTGGATCAGCATTAATGTACTCTTATAGCATGGCTGGCTTTCAACAATGTTGTGTGTATGTGCTTCAGTGTGTGTGTGTGTGTGTGTGTGTGTGTGTGTGTGTGTGTGTGTGTGTGTGTGTGTGTGTGTGTGTGTGTGTGTGTGTGTGTGTGTGTGTGTGTGTGTGTGTGTGTGTGTGTGTGTGTGTGTCCCAGACAGGGGGGACACAAGAGAAAGGAGGGGCAGCTACTGTATCTCATTTAACACAGGTTCTCCCTCAAAGAGAGCAAAATGCTCAGGCCTTCAGCGTTTCACCCTCACTACACGCAGTAAAGCAGACATATACAGACACAGACTTTCCCATTATGTTAGAATGAAAGTTTTTTTGTGAATGCAACAAAGGAAATTATGAAAAAAAAACAAACATGAAGAGAATTAGAGTCAGGGGAAATGCTCGAGCAGCTGTCCCAAGACAAAAAAAGGATGCACCAAAATGAGAATAATACACCATGATGAAACTGTGAGGATTTTGGTGCTTCATTCACAGAGTATACAGGCCTTGGGGACATAAACTCACTGTGTGGTTTTCTTTGTAGATTTGCGCTTTAGCCAAAATTGGTCTTAAATTTTGTCAAAAGAAAATCCTATTTTTGAGTCAAAACAATATAAAATACCAAAATGCATCCCTATTTGTCAGACTAAAAAGATAAGCATCTTACTAAGGCCTCTGAAACTCAACTGGACCATTTGATTGATATAACAATTTAGAGGATGTGTGAAACTTGAGCAAAACGTGCAAAAAACATCTTATCATTCGTCAACATCAGCAACACTGCAGGATTGTTATCAACACATTTCTCTGGTCCAGTTACTTACAACTTTATCTACATTTTCTACATTTAAATACTACTCAACTGTGCCAAGATACCAGCTGTCATTTGTGGTTGTTTGAATCTAGACAGTCGAGCATTACAGCCTTATGGCGGTCGTCTCTAACCAAAGCCACCAAAGTCCCTGTTATTGGCAGGTGGATGCACTAAAGCCGAGACATTATCATGATTTAAATGGTACAGTAATAAAAATAACTCAGAAATAACTTTTTACATTGATACAGGTGACTCCACCCCATCCAGTCAAAGAGGGAAAAACAGGTGAGGAGATGGAGGACGGTTCAAAAGTTGTAGCGGCTGGAGTAGACGAAGTTAATGTGGGAGGGGGTGAGCAGCTTGTGGAGCAGTTATCAAAGTGAACTGCTCAATATATCGTGATATTGATTTGAGGCCATATCGCCCAGTCCTATCAGTGAGGGTGACAACATTTAACCATATACACACATCACTTGTGTTAATATCTCTGCACTCATAGGATTGTTTGAGGAAGCATCTTTAAACTGCTCCCCTTGAAAAGGTGTGTCCCCTCTCTCATCTGCTCTGCAGTCCTCCATCAAAACCCTAAACCCCCCTTACCTCCAACCCTCCCTTTAATTACCACCACCTCAGACTCCAATTAAAGGAAACCACAATAAAGGCAGCAGGGAAGGGGGCCAAGGGGCGGTGAGCGGGGATTGAGAGGAGACAGCAGAGAGAGACAGAGGGGGTAATTTAATGAGAGATTTGTACACTTACACTCATGTACATATATGTGAAATCAAAAACTCCTGTTTTACATGCAGCAAATGAAGCATTTCAGAAATTTGAATTCAACTTGCTAAATGATCAAACAAAGGTTTAACAAGGAACATGATGAGTGTGCATTAATGTGTGCACACACTGCAAGAGGGGGTATGAATATTAACCTACATGTGCATTTGCTTGTTTGTTTGTGTGTGTGTGTGTGTGTGTGTGTGTGTGTGTGTGTGTGTGTGTGTGTGTGTGTGTGTGTGTGTGTGTGTGTGAGAGAGAGAGAGAGAGAGAGAGAGAGAGAGAGAGAGAGAGAGAGAGAGAGAGAGAGAGAGAGAGAGAGAGAGAGAGAGAGATTGAGGGGGACTGCTGACAGTATTTCCTTTGTGTCCTGCCCAAGCCTGTTTCCTGCCATTAAGGTTCTTGGTGTTCTTCTCCTTTCTTTGACAGCCCACACTGGCACTCACAGACACACACCACACACACAAACTTCATTTAAAGCGGGACTCCAAACACAATTTTGGGTATAAGAAAAACAAAAGGGGAAGCACTTCAGATCAACAAGTCGTTAAAAAAAACAACATACGAGGAGAGAAAACAAGAAAACAACACTGTCATGATCGGCCTTTGAATCAGACCATCAAGACAAACCCACAAACACACACACGCACAGCCTCACTGTGATTAAAAAACATAATGAAAAAACTATTAGTGCAGCTTAAGATACTATCAGTCAAAAGACATGGGAGGAAGCAGCCCTGACTGTAAAGATGTCTTTGTGTGACTGTGTGTATACTTGTGTAGGTGTGTGTCTGAGGATGAAAGCAGTCTAATGGTTGTGTGCCAAACACTAATGCCAAAAGGCACAAACACAAACACACACACAGAAAACCTGTGCACGTCTTGGACAGTCAACATTTTTTCCTTTTTGTTTATGTGCTGCATATGCTAGTGTTTTTGTTGCACCCACTGTTTGACCAGGTGTGTTTATTTTTTTTTATTTTTTATTCTATTTATTTGGATCCCCAATAGCTACTTCCTAAGTAACAGCTACTCTTCCTGACAGTAAACATTCATATAGATAAAAATGATAAAAGTCCAAACAGGATTATTGTACATGTTAAAATCATAACTAAAACAAGAATTATGATGACATAACATTTGCAATTACAACAGACACCAATAAAGGCCAAGATAAATCTACTGGTAATCAAAAGGTAATCTCATTGGCATGTGTTGTCTGTTGTCACAGCCTAGTCTAGGTGTTCTGTTTCCTTTTGCAACAATAAAAAAAAGTTCACCATGGCAGTGTTACACAGGTCACCAAAATAATAATTATAATAATTGTAATCAAATATCTTGAATACCTATCTTGTTACCATGGTCATGGTAGGAGTTGTACCTCACTCTCCATGACATGCCAAAGCTCCTGCGCTGTGTGCAATTCTACATGAAAACACACACTTGTCTTCCATTTTCATCCTGCTCTGAATTCGCATAACACCATCCGTGGTGAGCTGCTGTTTTCTCTAGGAACCGGTTAGACCAAAGGGTGTCCTGTTTACATCTGCAGGCCAGTTCAACCTGATGGTACAGTTGTGCTGTGAAAGTTCAGCAGCTGAGTGTTTGTAATTATCTCGTGTTTTTCAGTGTTATTACCTGGTTAATGACATATTTAAAGACGTGGAGGACGGTGCAGGAAGAAGCTTGATGCTCGCTGGTCTTAAACGCACTCCATGGAGCATCAAACTGATTGTTTAATGTACTCTAATAAGGACACATTACAAAGCACAAATACTAATCCTGGCACTGGAGATTACAAGAGATCTCCTCAGCACTCACACTCAGCAGTCAGCACTCTTTGGCTTCTCCCAGCTTCCAACTGTCACTAAAAGTGAAAAATGCCGACAGGCGCAAATGTGGAATAAGCTGACTGTTCATGCCGGTCAGAGCAGCTTTAGTGTGAGGAGTTTCACTGCAAAAAGAGGTGTCCAGCTTTTTCAACCGTCTCTTCCAACACAAACAGTGAGACAGGAACATGCTGTGGGTGATTGTAGTAGCTTCAGGTGGAAACGAAAATGCAATTTTAAGATCAATGGACAAAAAAGTGTGGCTGGTTCACAAAGTGCTTATTTGTGTTTGTGTGGAAGGGAAGAGCCAAGAAAGTGTAGTAGTCTAGGAGAAAGAGAAAGCTGTGTGTTCTTGTGTTTGTGTGTTCAAGTGTGAGTGTGTTTCCTTTTCCCATTCTACTCCTCCCTTTGCCTCAAAACTGGTCTTGCAAAAACAGCAATACACATTTAAACAATAGCCGAGAATAATAACAAAACAACTTACAAAACCAACTTCTCAATTGTTGAAAACTGATTAAATCAAATCCATAAATATTTTTATGCCAACGCGACAAACAGTTTCATGACAAACTCTGAAAGAGATTTAAGGAATGACATAAAAACATTATTTCAGTCTTTTCGCTAAACACTTCACCACCCCACATGCATGCCAATGCTCACACATGCAGCAGACAGATCGATTGGACAATCGATTGAGGACTTTTGTAGGTTCAAGACTTCCAATAAGAAGAAGTAAACAGTCACCAAATCTCTGAGGACGTTCCCGTTGTGTCTGCGGTGTGTGTCTGTTTGAATGGCCAACAAAAAGCTAACAGATTCAATGGATGCTGTCATTGGCAGATTGAGAAAAAGGTGACCCTGTGTGACCTCTGACCCTATCTAAAACCAGGGCCTCATGTGTTCGTCTGGTAGATGTTGTGCGAGATGAGATGGACCAATTACACCGTCTTTCTCTCAGTCTCCTATCATACCCAGTCGCCTCTGTCTCTTTTGTTCACTTCTTATCACAACTGTTTTGTTTCCTTCGCCTCCTCAGCCTTCTTTTCTCAGGTCATTACACCAAACATCAAAATTAATCAGTGTCCTCTTTTTCGTGTTATCCTTCACTTCACCTTGAGTTTGTGAACAGTAGAATCAATATTGAATGAAATGACTGATTATGGTGCAGCAGTATTAAACAGCATGGCCGTTCTTAGATTCAGTTTAAATCCTATCCCATTAGTTGGAGGCTGTCTTATTCACGATGTCCCTGAGGCTTTTTCAGGTTTGATTAAAAGGTTCACTTGAACTTGTAATTAAATAGAACAAGGGGTGGAAAAGAGAGAAAACTCTTCAGCTCAACTGTGTCCCCCTGTGTCTTTCACTGAATTTTTTAACTGCTCTCTTTGCATTTTAATTCTTTTAACTTGCTTTCTATCAAATGAGATTTTCATGCAACAGTGCTTGAAGTAAAGGAAATTAGAGCAGAAGCAGGACTGAACACCAGTGACTTCATGAGAGTATATGCCTGAGCCATGCATCGCAATGACTTCTACCAAGGCCAGCAATAGGTATTACACATCAAACTGTTGCACTCATCACTTATGCTGCGTTCCAGTTGTACTTGTAAATTGGGATTTCAGACCTCAGAGTCGGAAATTCATCTGGGAACGCCCCCCTGAGTTCAGATGTCTGACTCGGAAAGTCAGACGATCCTCACCAACGCCGACTTGACGACAACGTCATAATCCAAGATGGCAGCATTTTGTTTTTGTGGTATATGTTGTACTGCCCAACGTCTAACTGTGAACACGGTGCTATGGTGTTTGTAAGGGTAAAATACCGTGTCATGCGTTGTTACAACTGGTACAGCTAACAACAACTAACAACAACAAACAACTGCTAACAACAACTGACAACGGCTAACTACAGCTGACATTTGTAAACAAATTATATATTGTGAATCTTCTTTTACTTCTTGCCAAATATCATATTCATTATGCCAAATTTGCAAACCATCGTCCAAATGTTATTGTTCTTAAAGCTGTACTATCTTCTTATCTAGAAACTATAAAACATTGTAAAAACACTAAAGCTATCAAAACTAAAAGAATATGTGATGAATACATTAATGATTTATAACCTCGAGCATTTTCTTTTCTTTTTAGTTTTTTGTTTGAATTGATGCCTATAATATTGTTTTGTGTCTACCTTTTGTCCTTTGGTTTGTATTTGTACTGTTAATATGTGTCAATAATAATAATTTAAAAAAAAAAAAAAAAAAAAAACAGCTAATAACGGCTAGCAGTAGGCGTCCATCTTAGTTTTCCGACTTGTTTACTGGAACACCATCAACTCCAGTGTAGCGTCATTCCCAGCTGCGACATCCAACTTCCAAGGTAATTGGAATGCTGCATTAGCTTCTAGACTTTAACTCATCAGTCAAGACACTAACCTTTTAAAAGGGTGCAAGTTATGAAATAGCAACATCTGCAAGATTGTTGTGAACAAGGGCGTGGAAACAAACCTGTACAGAGGATTTAACGTATGGAGGATGAGAGGGAGACTTCACCCTGTGGTAAGCAGTGTGCTTTATGCTTAAACTGTCAGCAGTGTTTAGCAGGAGGTTGAGATGAGCAAATCAGAACAAGAGGTGCAGATTAAGGTCTGAACATCACTGAGAACTCCAATCGTGAATTCATCCTGGGAATGTAACATTAAAAAATGGCTTACGTCGGCTGTGTGAGTGTGAGTGTGTATGGCCTTTGACATCTGACCTTTACTCTGAAAAGCTCCACTCACAAGAGTGTCTGTGTGGGCTGACCACAAACAATGCAGGGGAGTGCAAGAACAGCTCTGCTCACATGTTCAGCAGTAATGCGATTCCCAAAATCAGAGAGAGTATATTGTACTCATTATTGCACAGGGAGTGCATTATGAATAAACATGCATGAGAAGCTTCTGAACTTTGCAAACAATTTTGGATGAAGGAGAAAATGTAGTCGATGACAGCAGAAAAACTCCCCCTCTCTTCCTCCCTTTATTCATTCAATTTCTCCTCTGTCATGTTCCTTAACTTTTCTTCACTCATTATTTATACAAAAAGAGTAAATCGTTTTCTGCTTAGAAAGCCGCACTAAGCAGCATTCGATTAATAAACTGTCACTTGGCACCAAGCGAGTGGCACGCAGCTCTGTGCCATTTGCTTGTAAAGTTTTGTCTTTTCAACATCCTATCCTAGCCTGTCAAGGTTCTATTTTTCAACCTGCTTCCAGCAACACTTCCATTCTATTCAACCAACCGGAGCATGTGCAGAACGCTTAGGACAGCTTCAGTTTGATTGAGCCGTATACATGACTGAGAAAAGTGATTTCCAACAGCATTTTACAGGTACGGTAGTCTGACTATGAGGAGTTGGATTTAGTTCAAAAGTCCAGTTTCAATCACACTGAGGAGATACATTGATTTTGTTGAACATTTTTTTTTTTGTCTTGGCTGAAATTCACATTTAAGTTTGATGCCAGGGTTTGATATCAGAGGGGAAAAAAATGAAGATAGCACAAAAAAAAAAAAAAAAAAAAGACAGAATTGATAGGAGATAAGGGAACAGAGGAAAAAGTAAACAGCTCATTGTTATGCTTCAGTACACTCAGCTCAGGCTTATCAGCCATAACTAAAAAAAAAGTGCCAAAGGAATCTCTGCCTCCCTCCATTCCCAAGGTAACACTCAACTCCACCAGGCCCCATCGACTACAATCAAAAGAAAAAGAGGGATGAAGGCTTAACAGGACAAAGTGAGAAACCGACAGAGAATGAGATGTAGGAATGAGAGGGATGAAAGTCTATTTTTCTTGTCTTTGGATATCCGCTTCAGACTCCCTGGTGAGAACAACAATGCAGCTTCAACCCAAACACATAATCTACTGTAGTCCACTTATACTGTCACAAGCAAAGCCGCTCCTCAGTTTAGTGGTTGAACTCCTCCTGGCCTTGTCCCAAGACACTTCTAAAAAAATGAAAATAAAATCTCCAAAACAAATATCTATTTTCCTGAAAGCCCAATATTATCTCAGAGATAATCTGCATTCCAGGATAAAATACCATATGTTGCATGTATCACTCTCTTTACGGATGATGGCAGTGTTTAAAAAGAAATAGTCATGACATAAATAAAGAGCTAGCCAAAGTGAACACCCTCCTCCAGAAATGTGTCTTCATTTCTATACAACAATGTTAAAAATTCATATTTTTACGGCTTCGTTTGCTTTTAGAGGATCAAAAAGGACTCTGTTCAACAACATAACCCCAAAGATGGCTGTTACGCTCATTTTCTGCATTAAAAAAAAAGCTAATTTGAGTTCACAAACACCTTTCAGTGACAGCGCTGTTTTTTGTTTTTCTAGAAGAAAGAAGAAATTCAATCAGCTTGATAGCCAAACCTTCAGCACTGATGGATACCTCTTTGTTCAACTATTAGTGTTTTTTTATCGTGAAGCAACAGTTTTAATTCATGAGAAACCTCAACCAGATAACAGTCACTCATAACCCTCCCAACGCACAACAGCATACTGTAAAAAAAGAGCCTTACTGTACTCCAGCCTGCTTTGTTTAGTCTTTGTTGTAAGGGACTCCCATCCATCCACCCACACACTAACATACTTCACTGTAAGCCAAGTGCAAATGTTGGCTTAAAAACAGGAAACTACAATAGAGTAATAAAATCTCCTGCTCACTGAAATCTGCTGGGGTGAGAAGAGATTCAGTAAAGCTCCTGTTGGCTGTAAACAAAGAACAAGTATTGTCCTTTTGAGCAGAAAGGGAAACTGATTTCTCAGATGAGTTGGTGGTACAGGAGATGGACACTGGGTGGCCTAACAGACTAAAACCTTAAATACCTGTACAGATTCTGACTATCCAAGCCGATCGCATTAGACGTAGCTCCCTACTTCAATGTAAATAGCCCTGATTTATGCTGTCAGTGCACTGCTGGGAGCCTGGCCCTCCCCTGTGTGCCGACACCCTAATGAGTTTCATGTGAGGAGCATTAAATCCCCCGCTAGACCAGTGAAACTAACTGGGGCAAGCATTCTTAAGCATTTTCTGATCCAGTCAAAACAGACTAGCACACTGACATGTAGCTCAAATCAGTCAACCTTGTTGGTATTTTCAGAATCAAAAAAAATCCCCTAATGTCATAGTAGTCAGGTGCACATCAAAAAGACCAATGGTGTGGTCTCAAAGTGATTATTTTTTGTTCCAAATCTGACAGCGAATCTTTAGATTTAAGCTAAAAACAGCTCAAATTTCCCAAGAGAACCTGTTGAGCGATTATGGAATAAATGTCCAATCAATGCAGCTCTACTGTTAAGCCACATTTATATACAGTGTGTTCTGGTTATACAGTAGTTCTTGTTTCTACATACAGTACAGAAACCTTTTGACACTCACATGTTTTGATCTTAAAATCTTGTTTACAACTAAAGCATCGTGACACAAATGTGCACCTTGTAATTGTGCTGCCGAGCCAAAATGCTAAACTATTCATGAACAGAAAATTATAAAGTAAATGAGCTTGTTTGCCACCTCTTCAAGTGAAAATCCAGCACTTGGGTGGTAACTTCATTATGCTGAGTAATTTCAACCGAGAAGTTTTACGACTTCTTTCCAAATCCTGAGCCAGACAGTTTCAGTGTTTCCACATCAGTCTAATTAGCGACAAACTATTCGGTATTAAATCTTGCAAGACCAACAAACCCAAATAATGTGGTAGAAAAAAAAAAACACAAGGGCTTCAATGACTTTTTGAAATGAAAGTATTTTTAAAAATTAGGGGACCATTCATTATACATCAGCGAGGAAAGTCCACCCATGAAAACAAAATGAATTTCTTTTTCTTTAGCTTTTGCAACAGATTTTTTCTCCCTTTCAACTATTTTCCTTTTGTTTTTGCAGATTAAATAACCATATAATCAAACTTGGCTTAACATACTCACACCAATATACACACAGGCATCACCACTTTATAAAAGAGTCTCTTCTTCTTGCACACTCAGGAAAAAACATCTCAACAAGGTTCGAAACTGCTTTGAATACTGCAAGAGATAAGCATGTTCTCTATCTTTCCAAACAAGGACTACAAATATTGATGGATTTTCAACCACAGAAAATGCTGAAAACAACTGACTCCCATAAACAAGCAGACTGTTATCTCAGTGTCTTAGTGTCAGTGTCTATCTGAGTGTTTTCCTTCTTCTCATTTCTGTTTATTGGCACTCTCTCCAAACTATTTGTAGTGGGGCCAGCATACCACTGGCCAAAGTTGCATAATAACACACACAGATGAGGAGCTAACTCACAGACACTGTATGAAAAAAAAAACAAAAACAAATGAGTCTGGATCCATGGAAAACAGGGTGAAGGTAGATCACAGGCTGAAAAAACAAAAGGGTTAGAGCACATTAAGGCTCTGATGCAGAGAACAACGTCTGAGCAAAGCCCATTAAAACAGTCAGGTGACTGGGGTGCGGGCTAATGGTCAATGGACATTCAGTGACGCAATCTCTACATTTTTTCTGGATATGGGTGTAAACCCCATCGAGGGGTAGAGAAGTAAAATAAGACAAAAAGATGATGAAAAAAGAGGGACTATGTGGGATTATGAAGAAAGCATTAGGGTCAGATTTAGAATATACTAGATTACAAAGAAGGACATATTCATACTGTCACACTCGTGCAGATGCAATCCAATATCCCAAGGGTCACAACAAAAGCCCTCTTTGACTGAAACCCAATAATCTTTTATTTTGTGATGGATGTCCCCTCTCATTTTATGTTTTCCAGTTTAAGTGTCAGTCAGTTTCCAGGAAACAGGAAGGCTGGCGTGTCCGTGCTGCTGACCCCAACAGTCCCAGCACAAAGGCTGCTTGTTAGAGAGCTGAGCTTCTCTTCTATTCGCTCTTATCCCGATCTGTGTCTGGTCCTCTCTCTCACCCTTCATTATTTCTCCACTCAACATTTTTGAGTATAGTAGTGAGCGAGACGCCCAATCCACTTTTCAAGAAGAGTCTGGGCTGTTCAGCGAGCCAAAGAGCCCTCTCTGATAAATCTGAATCCCTGCCAGCCTTTACAGAGACACTGATCCCCACCTCTGGCTCCAGGATCAGGACAAATGAAAAGGCAATTTCCCAACAAACAGTAAGTGGATTTGAGGAAACCACTACTTGTCTAGATGAAACAGCAGGCATGGTGCTTCTTCACAGTCTGCACAAGTTCTTGCCGTGAAGCAGAAAGAGTCTGGCACCTCCTTGCTTCGCCAGCATGACCATTTATCAAGCCATAATAAAGGCAGAAGGCAGCTCTTTGGCACCGCGCCCCGCGTGCGCAAAACAGCAGCGTGGAGCACAGACTGAGGATGCAGGAAGAGTCCAGGTGTGGGTGAATCTATGTTGGTTCATACCTGCCATACTTAGATACTTATAGAGGTGTCAGGGGGAGATATTTCAGTTGACACATGGCAACATTTGCGTAATGGTCTGGCCCTACACATGACATTGTTGTGATCACTGTCATCATCATTATCAATGAGGAAGTCACCTTTACCCCTCTCATTTAGCATATAATAGAGTAATACTCAACCTTAATTCAAAACACAGCATGTAAGCGTGATCAAAGTTGCAAAAATGAGAAATCCACTCAGGAAGCACTCAAATCACCGCTACTGTTGCCCACTGGAGTTTTGTTGTCGTTGTTGCACTCACCTCCCAGTCCGGCCAGAGTCGCTGCCCGGGAGGCTCCAGGGAGCAGGCATAACACCGGAAGCAGGATCAACATCGCACCGCCAGGACTCATGATCATAATTCAGGTCCTTTCCTGGTCCAGGGTGGAGATGGAAGTCCGTGCGATAAAATGTAAACACAAGAGTCCCGGACTAATGGTTTCAGCTGTGAGGCATCCTGATCCAGGCTGCAGGTTTTTTTTTCCGAGTTCAAGACGCGCAAAGCTCAGATAAAAGAATCAACACTTCCTCAAATCCTTAATATTCTTTCTCTCCTTCAGGTCTAACTGCTTTTATTTCCGTGGCTGTGATCTGCACAAAGCGCACAGAAGTGCTCGGCGCCCGCTCAGCGCAACAGTGAGGCTTGAATTATCCCCTTAAAAGAGAGCGATATATACAGAGAGCCAGGTGGGAAATTACTCTAGTTCTATTTCAGGCAGAAACTGAATGCAAAAGTAATCCAAAGTAGTGTCCACTCGTGCTTAAAAATGACCGATGTCTTAGGTTATGGAAGGTGCTGCAGCCTCACTCTTCTTATCTCCGCTCTATGCCCCGTTGTCGTCGAGTCTGTCCCGCTGCTATAAATAAAAAAAACCTGGTTGTATTTGATTTTAAATCCTATGAGGGAATAAAGCATGAAAATCCAAGGTCCAAGGAGTAATAAGAGTCCTGGCGCGCAGTGCAGCAGGAGCTGGAGTGCAGGCGCTGGAGCAGAGTAAAAGGGGATATGAAGGCTACTGACCGGCTCAGGGGTGTGCTGCTGCTGCCTGCTGTATGGCTCGAGCGCTGACAGACTACGAGCTAACCGTCTCGCGCCCCGCCTTCCGGAAAAAGCCAGCGCGAGAAGACACAACAGGTACGAGGATAATGACACAACAGACAGGTGCACTGCAGACTGATCCTCACACGCACAAATGACCACCAGTCTGTTTTTAACTTGAGTGGAGTATTTCTGCGAAGGTCTTTTATTATTAAATGTTGAAACAAAGTGCGGAAATGACAGCCAGTGGGGGTAAGGTAGGTAGCTGTACAGGTAGGTAGTAGTTTTGATTATGGCCACCTTCAGGTCATATTTGCGGAAGAGTCTGTCTGGCCACATAATGAGCAGATGTAAAGGCTGGTCTACTTAACACGAGACCTGTCATTACCAATATAATCCCAGTGTGCCCCATGTGTCTACTCATGTTCAAACTCAAGTGTCAGACTCAGAAATCCACTCAGTTATTGGTTACTCTGGAGTAAATTGCCTGTTTTTTTTAAGTTTTGTCGAGAAATATGTATTAATAAAATTTCATATTCATTGCATATATAACGATAAACATTGCACTATTGTGTCCACATCAGGACTGCCATACTGTTTCCATTCACTTTCTTCCATTCACCTTCTTCCTTATATTTATACTGTTACACTGTTTATGCTGTTTATATTTTTACTTTGTAAAATGAGGGTATTTAGGGTCATGTTTTGTTTAGCTTAGTTGTTTATTCTTATATTTATACTTATATAGATTTATCCTTATAGTTTATTTCTATGCACCGTGGGTCTGAGATGATGTATCTCATATTTGACAATCAATTTGAATTTGACTTTGACTTGATTATGATATTCCAAAATACACACCTAAAAATGATATTAAACAAACAAAAGTCAAAAGGTCAAACAGTAGGCTATAGTCTTTCTTTAGTCCATATCAAAAAGCTATGGAGGCCAACAACCGCCACTGCTGCAAATAAAAAAGAATGGAAAAAAAGACATCACAACCGGTTACCGATGCAAAATAAAGAAACCAAAGCCCGCTGCAAATTAAAAAAAGAAATGGTGCAGATAAAAAAAAAATAGAAGCCACAACGGGAGTTAATGATGCAAAAAATTGTGGCGATGATTAAAAAAAAAAAGTTATTTACTGCAAAAATAAAAGGATGCAAATAAAATGTAGCATGTAGCGCCTTAGTTGAACTAAAGCTAACACTACACCGGCATCCACCAGTTCAACTTCAGATCAACTCAGGCGCAACATGGCCTAACCAAATGACACATTACAAAGTAAACGAAGCGAAATTTAACAAAAACCTTTCCACTTCCCTCTTTGCTCGTCTTCTCGCTGCTGTTGCCTTCTGTGCCTAGATCATAAAACACCGGTGCATCATCATTATTCGTCCTCACCAGCTCACTTCTGTTGTGGCTTTTTTTTTTTTTTCATCAGTAACTTCCGTTGTGACGTCTTTTTTTGCATTTTTTTTATTTGCAGCAGTGGCGGTTCTTGGTTCACCATAAAAAACAACAGTCACTCAGAAAAACTCAAAAGTTACAAAGAATATTTGGGTAGATCCACAAAATGCAGGAAGTGGAAGACACAGGGTACACATGTAAAGATGTAGCCACACTTGACCCGATGAACTGACAGACAGAGAGGAGTGTCATCAAACAGGAGGGACTAGAAAAAGGGCAGGAAGTAAAACTAAACCAGAAACATGGGCAAGTAACACAAGAAACAAAAGTGAAAATTTATGCACTGAAATACACTGGAAACAGCAACTGAAGAATACACCAAGGTAAATACAAAACTAATCCAGAGTAAGGATCAGGATCTGCAAAATTAAAAAGTAAATAAAAAAGAGCAAAAAGTAGGAAAGCAAAAAACAAAAGCAACAGATGACAGTAGGGGGGATATGTTCAAACAAGTTATGAAACTCAAAATTCAAATAGTTGTCTCAAATTACAATTACAAGATATCCATGCAAATGTTTACAATTAACCAGGACTGATCCCTCGGCTTTTTACAAACTGCTTCCTCCTTAATCCATCTGTTAGTCATCTGACGTCATGGTGGGATGGGGGGTGGGGGAGTCTGCTGAAGATGATTAAGAGTCGATGTGAGGTCAGTGGTCAGCCCTTAACCACACTTTTAATCCACAGAAAGGTTGTCTCTGCAATATGTTGTTAATTTACCTAGAGTTTTACATCTTAACTGCTTCAAAAATACAAGTCCGTGTGATCTGTGAGATAAATCATGCTAAATCACGAGCATACCATTCCCACTGGCCTCTTTTTCCTCCAGGAGTAGGAGAAGTGCACAGTTGGAAGTGCTAGTGGCTGATTTCACGGAGTAGGAGTTCAGACATACACTCAGCAAAGAGAGGGGTCACAAAGTAGTGTGGATTAGAGGATTTGGTTGAAAAGGGGGGGAGTGGTGAGGGGTCAGAGGTGAGGAAGTGTTGAAAAAGAAAAAGCCAAAAGGAGAAAAGAAGTGAGCAGCGCCATCTCTGAGTGAGCCTAATTAACTTCACACTGAGCGTATCTCATCTTTTATGTGGCCACTGACTCTGAATGACCACACTTCACTCGCAGTCAAAAAGCTGCTTCCACCATCGCGGAAGAAGAAGAAGAAAAAGAAGAAGAAGATAAATGTAGACTGACACTTTAATACAAGAAGTGTCACTTTCTGTAACAGGGATGTATCAAAGTCCTATATTTGTGAAATTAACTGCTGCCCTCTTCTGAACAGGTAAGGGAAGTTCTTCAAATATACAACACAGTGTATTAGAAATGTAGCGGTAAATGGGTATGAGTATGAGAAGCAGAGAGCAAGAACAGGCTAAATACATCTGCAGCTCATCTGATTTGTATGGCGGCCCTGGGGTGCAAAACACAATGGCGAAAAGGAAAACACAATGGCAAATCAAAAAACGCAACAAAAAATCAGAAAACACAAAAGGAGAAAACAAAACAGCTGAAAGAGAAAATACAACAAAAAAGGAGAAAACACCAAAAAAGGAGAAAACACAACACAAAAGAAGAAAACACAACACAAAAAGAGAAAACACCATGGCAAATCAGAAAACACAACGGCAAATCAGAACACAGCACAAAATCAGAAAACACAACAGCAAATCTGAAAACACAATAGCAAAAGAGAAAACACAACACAAACAGAGAAAACACAACACAGAGAAAACACAACACAAAAAGAGCAAACAACACAAACAGAGAAAACACAACGCACATAAGAAAACACAATGGCAAATAAGAAACACAAAGGCAAATAAGAAAACACAACACAAAATGATAAAACACAATGGTTAATGACATTGTGTTATATGTATTTGTGTTGTGTTTTTATAAGTTGCCTTTGTGTTTTTTCTGATATTGTGTTGTGTTTTCCACTTTGCCGCTGTGTTTTGCACCTCAGGGCCACCGTAGATTGGAACCTTCATTCCTCTGACATGCAATACAAAATTTGCATAAATTGAGTATTCAGATTGGCACAAACTAACCAGGAACACCAACCAGAGAGGAGTGTGTCCTTAAAGGGATTACCATGGTTGCTGATCTGGCCCCTCACATTAATATTCAGACCCTGATGTAAGGAAGCTGCAATCTGTGACCCTGCACTCCTTTGGTTAATGTGTGTGTCAAAGTGCCTGTTTGTCTATGCACTGTCACAAGTCTCCAGTGACAATGCTGTGACTGTGTCACAGGCTGTGTCTTCATGAGTGCATTTGCTCAAAGCACACATGCATATGTGTTCACAATGTGTCGGCCAAGACCGGTTTATGTCCAATGTTACACATGTGGGGATTTGTACATGTGAGTCTGGGTGGATATACTGTATGTATAGGGCTAATTGGTGAGAAGCATGAGATCTGAGCTGTGGGGTTGACATAAAGACATCAGGCAAAAGAAAGTTAGAGAAAGAAAGACAAGTCAAATGAAGTTAAATGGTGATTATGATCACAAATGAGCAGAAGTGCACACAGACACACATGCATGTGGCGTTGACCTTGAACATCAAGGCAGTCTGGGTACACTGTGTTTATTTTTAAATAAGTAAAATGTTGTTTGTGAAGCCTGTCCCAAGTGTTAAATCTAGTAAATGAAGATCTGATCTGTTCCTGAGTAGAGTATTGCACACTGTCATGGTTTAAAATTGTGTTATTCCACCGCAACAGCATGAGAACGGTTGTGTTTGTGAGTGTGCGAGAGTGTGTGTAAGAGATAAAGAGCAGGGGGGATAGGGGGGTCATAAAAGCAGAGGACTTTTAGTGCAAGGGACCTTCAGCTTTCTCTCTCTCTCTCTTTCTCTCTCTCTCTCTCTATAAGAAACACTTAATCAGGTGACAGCTTCCATTGCTTGATATAAATCAATACATTACGTACCCTGATTTACTGTATCTCTACCTCCCCTCACTGACCCATCTCTAAATGCATCTCTTTTTCCTCTTCTTTGAAAATCTACGAATTTTAGCTGTCAACCTTATGCATCATATAAAATTAAGAGCATAAATCATGAGCCAAGTGTGTGCATTTCAGCCAGTATGTCTAACTGAACAAAGATTACAAGGCAAGCCAGAAGGTCAATCCCCACTCTCCATGATATCCACTATATTTGGTGTTAGCAACACAGCTGGGTGCAAACCGATTTATCCCCCATCTCTTACTTCAGGTGAGGAGGAAATGGAACAAACAGCTTAAGACCTGTTTCACAAATCCTCCAACAATGGTTTCTGCTGTTTCATTTCAGGTGGAGCTTGAAGGGATTCTGCAAGTCTGTAACGGTTTACTGAGCCCAGGCAAGCCTTGAGATTTGGATCAAGACTCAAATTCAATTACTTTCATCATGTGCAAATGATCCATGAATGTGTGCGTCTGGGTGTGTTTTGACCAGGTCACTTGGAATAAACAAAAATATTAACCTAGAGCCAGAGAGCTATTACAAGGAAATCATTCAAGATCTCATGTGAATGATAAGCAGTGGTTTTGAATTGCACATGTCTAATACGCTAGCCTTCTGAAAAAAGGTGA